GGATCGCGTCCTCAACCTCAACTTGAAACGTGTCTTTCAACTCACGCAAGCTGTCACACCCCTTCTCGAAGCCGCTTCTACCCCGAGCTCCCCAGCACGTATCATCAATATTGGCAGCGTCGATGGATTGCGCGTCCCCGCCCTCGAGACTTTTGCGTACTCCGCTTCCAAGGCCGGTCTTCACCATATGAGCAGAGTATTGGCGAGCCACCTGGGCAAGCGCGGTATCACGAGCAACACGATTGCTTGTGGTCCTTTCCAGAGCAAGATGATGAAGGCTACACTGGAGAAATTCAAAGATGTCATTGAGAGCGGTATCCCATTAGGGCGAATTGGTAGCCCGGAAGACGTTGCGGGTACATGTATCTGGCTTTCGAGCCGGGCAGGTTCTTACGTCAATGGCGCTACCATTGCGCTTGATGGCGGCAGCGTTGTTGGAGCTAAGCTCTGAAAAAAGAGAGATAGATGCTCGTAGGCAGCAACATGTTCTCGTTCTACAACTCCCGATGTGACTGATTTCTCCTAGTGGCAATGTTCTTATTCGATAGCAAACGTCTTCCGCTGTTCCGTAAAGCATTAATTCTAATCCGCAGAGGGCTGGCACTAGTGAACATTGTCCAATACCTGGATTCGAACATGGGCCTTATCTACAGAACTGTCACAAACCTTCACGCGCGAATCTCAGATAGCCATACGAAAGGTGGTATATTGAATTGCTACAAGCTGCTACATCAGACCGCTATGTTGGATAACAGTCACGTAGCCTCCTCGTGCCTTGCGGCAAAGTCTACTCTGAAGATCGTGCTCTACCTCGTACATGCTCTGGAGATAGGAACACGTCCTGATTCTGTGAAACACCAACTGTTACCACAAACACTTTAGCAGGTAACGGAGATACCCTTGATAGGCGGGCCAAGAGCGTAGCATTGGCCAGGCGTAGTGACGTTAGCAAATTGGGTGACGCTGGTGCAACTCGCGTCGGTCCAGATGGCCACTGTTTAGAATCAGCTGCTATACCCAGGCAACCTCTTTTTTTCTATCAGAAAGACACTTACCCTTGCAACCAATATTGGCGTAGTTTAGCCTTAAGCTCCCTTGGCAAGAGTCAGTGATGGCGTTACATCCGGCGCGAAGATCGCCAGAGCCGGCTATGTTGCAAATGGTTTCGGTGCAGCCAGGACCGGTGAAGCGGTCGACAGAGGCAACAGCAGCAACCTGACGAGATGCGAAATCCGAAGCCGGAGAGGCAGTAGCCAGGCTAAGAGCGGCAACGATGATGGTGAGGGCATACATATTGACAAGAAAATGATTTTGAGTGAGGGAAAAGTGAAGATGGAATGTTGTGGTTGTGAGCTGAAGATGAGATTGATGAAGAGCGGAAAGGAAATGCCTTTTTATACTTCTGCCCATCCCCCGAGAAATGCTAACTTCATTCTAAAAGTCTGATAAGGTGAGACACCAACACCTTTTCGGGATATTGGGAAGACGTAGCAACATCCTTTTTTGTGCTGATGTTGTTGGTGATGAGAGCTTGGATGTACAGTGCTTCACGGCGTACCCCACGCATGACCAATCGTGTCAGCACTGTGTCAAAGCGACTGTCAGATACTGGAAGCGATACTAGTGAGCTAGACAAGTCGATGTTGGTGTGTTCTAGCAAAGGATCTATTTGTAAAATGAGAAATATGAGCTCGGGAATAGTCGGACACAGAGCAAGCCGGTCGAGTTCTAGGCAGTGCGCGATGTTCGTCGGAGCAATCTCACGAGTATAGGAGACTCATGGATATAAAGAACGAATTGCATGAATCATCAGGGAAGACTTTTCACCTGCTTTTACAGGTGGCCACGTCAAATTCATTCCTGAGAGCCGCACGATTGCTACGTCATCCAGCAAGCCTAAAAATCCAAAGGTTGTTGAAGACTCTAAGAATCAAGGAGCAAGACTGTAAGACATGTTAGATATCACACATGGAGGCGCTCAATCTAGTTTAGCCGTGACTGTTTGGCTTCGACGTGGTAAGGTAGAACGCGCGTCTATCATGCATTGAGTGATGAACTGTGGCCCAGAAAAACATCAACCCTCAAAGGACTTGTAGAGGGTCCAATATCTCACATAAACAAAATCCAGTGTAAACGTGGTTGGTTCATCAATACAAACAAAGTGGGTCTTGCGATGTGGTTCGTATCCAAAAGAGAGCTATCATTGCGTTGATCATTTGCTTGCTCTGTAGGTGAAAGTCAGCTCGTGTGAGATGCTGATATCGCGGGAGTTTCTGCGACTTTGGCTATCAGTCTGATGTGCTTAGCGTCTCAATAAGCTTCCACAAGTTGGGTCTCGGGTTACAAGCACTTGGCGGGCCGATCCTATCGTGTACTGCTGCTGACGCTTACCGCATCACATTTGTGGCTTGCACAGTCGACCTTACCGGTTCGTGGCTTAAATTTGCAGTTCCATACAACAGATTTTATCCTCCGTCTGTGTAGGTAAACATACCAACAGGTGATCAATAGTAACAACATGACTACCTTGTGATGAGCCAGGCTATCTGATCTTTGGTTCCAGAGAGACTTTGAGATAGGTACATTCGTGGGTTTTGAACCTAGACGTCATGGTAGGATTACCGGATAAATACAGGTTCGCATCCTAGGCGTGCCTGCATATGCAGACATCTTACGAGACCAGACAACCTGGTTGTTGGAGACATGCAGGCAGTCAGCTCTAATCCCTGTATGATAGGAGGGTGAAAAGTCACCCTACTATGTATCCTTGGCCGAAGCGAACACAAGCTCAAGACCACTGCTGATAGTCACATGAAGATCAGAGAAATCTTAGTACATCTGTTGATCTGGAGGAGGCTCACTTGAGATTATCTCAGCTATGTATATATGCTTTTGTCAGATGTTCTTCCATACGCTACCTTGCATCGTCGTTCTCGTACTCCTCGCCACGTATTTACTGTAATCTCTTCTCCATCGCGTATTTGCTGTGAAGCGTAAGAGCTCTACCTACGCGAGACCAACTGCTCCCTTGAATGGAATGGAGCGGCTCCTTGACTTCTTGGGGATGTACTCAGGCTCTTCCTCGCTGCTAGCATCGACCTCTTTTATAGAACGCTTCTTCGCTCGCGACTTCTTAGCTTTAGGCTCAGCAACTGGAGCTGTGGTATCTCCTATCTTGATTGAGCCATCTCCTTCTGCTTCTTCCATCTTGACAGTAACAGATGCAACCTTCGGTGAACCAACCATTTCTTCAACCTGGTCTCTCATGCTTGGTACATTCTTTGCAGGGAGTGGTGGAGAAGCGGTATCTTCTGGCTTCATATCCAATTTTTGTTCTGGTTCTTCGGCCTTTGTCGCAGCTTCGAAAGCCTCAGCATCCTCTTCCTCCATCTCTTTCTTCACAACAGGCTTCTTGGCTTTCACCTTCTTTGGCTTCTTGGGTGACTCGATTCTACGCTCTGGCGGTTCGACGATCTTGCGCGTCTCGAAAGTCTTGGTCACAACTTCCTCGAAGTCTACAGGAAGAAAACCAACGCCGTCGATTGAGTCTTCGCCCGCCCGGATCAACACTTGTTCCAGGTCGTAGGTGGACATGCATATCTCCTCGACGTTAGTCGTGCTGCATGAGCATTGAAGAGGGACTCACCCAGTGCTTGTAGACCATGGTTTCATGCTCCCCGTCGAACGGAATGGACAGGCCTAGCCTGAGTTCACCCTTCGTGATCTTCAAATTCTTGTCAAGACAGTTGCCGCCACGGCAAGCGCACACGCGGCGAGCGACGTCGATCTTGTAGAAGCTCACATCCGTGTACTCTTTAGCGTATTTCCGAGCGTCCTTGGCTAGGTCTTCGCGTATGCCCTTGAAGTCTTTGTCGACAGGTTTGCCCTCTTCGAAAGCTAGCCGGACCTGCTCTTGACTCTCCGGGCTGAGTCGATCATAGCCTGGTGCCTTCGTCGGGTCGTCTCCGGTGATTTCCTTCAAACCTGCGATCTGGTGCTTGGTAGCGCAGCCCCTGAAGCCATATTAGTACGTTTCGCTGACCACTACTCTAGGCCTCTAGGATTACAGATGCATGTAGATTACTCACCAGTGGCGCCAGGCCATGTACCACCTAGTCGATTCTCCATCGTCGTACAGCGTGTGAGTACCAATACGTAGTTCTCCTTTCACGATCTTGACCTTGTTGCGCTTGCAGGCTGCCTGGTTGCAGATGGCTTGACCACTATTAGCTTGCTCTATGGATTGTTAACCAGACACTTGAGTGAGAAATGGCGCTCAGAACCCACCGAGACGCCACTTGGGGCCTTTGTTGTCCATGCTGTCAGTTTCAAGGCTCTGGTGCGTGTGGTGCGGGTGGCCAGCTGGAATGAAGTGATGTGTGGTGAGATGTGAGAGTACTGAGGCAGGTGCACTTGTTACGAGCAAACACGTGCTGCTTGGCAGCGAAAGAGGAGGCAGCGACAGCGACGTTTTCTGGAAGCAACATACTGCTCACTCTCTTTTGATACTGACAAAAAGCTCTGGGCGAGACCGAGGAAAGATGAGCAGTGAGACGATGTCAGAATCAGGTAGCTTTAGACATTGAGTTCCAAAAAAAAAGTGAGTTTCTTTGTACAATTTAGAAACCTCCTGAGACCTGAGTGCCCTCGCATTTCACACGACGAGCTTTTTCAAAAAGCTCAAATACTACGAAAAACACGATGTGGCTGTTGAAGTTCAGATAAGCATAGCAATGAGTATGAATGCTTGACATCGACTGCGCTATGAGTGTACTCGAAAATAAATTTACGAAAAGGGTAAGCAAGTAATCAGCAATGGAAAGACGTGAGATCTAGTTGATTTGCACTTGAAGAAAGTGGCACTCGTATCGGTGAATGCTACCTATCCAGATGCTATGGTCAAGGCCCAACTCTGTTTGCTGCGCCACGCTCTCTTCATTCGGCGACCAACTAGAAGCCCCTCACGATCTTGTGATCTAGTCGAACTCCATACGACGTGTATCTTGGAGACCTCCGGCCATGGTAGTAGAAAACTGATGTCAAGGTAGAGCTTTAGGTTTTTCCTCTCGATGAGCTTGGACAGTGACGGAACGGAGACGGTGCGGAGAAGAGCGGGGAAAGTCCGCAGGTTTTAGTCTCCACAACGCGGGATGACTCCGACGTAGCACCTGGAGATCCCACACCCCAACAAGCGTATCTGTAACTGGGAAAGTTTTCGAGAATCGTGAGTCACTTGTTTGATCGTAGAAGGGTATAAGACACAACACAAGCATTCTCAGAAGCATCAATTGCTTCGCCCCCACCTTGGCAATCTCGACCTCCTACCCCAAACATGGCAGAATCTTCAATGGATACTAAGCTATATGTCAGTGGAGAAGATGCAAGATCGTTTGTAACCGCAGTTCTGGTTGGCAATGGAGTCGCCCCCGAGAACGCCAACATCGTCGCCAAATGTCTCGTAGCAGCCGACCTCCGTGGCGTCGACACCCACGGCATGAACCGAATCCCTTCGTACATGGAACGCGTACGCCAAGGCGTCTTGAATAGTGCAGCAACACCTACCGTCACTCAAGTCACGCCAGTCGTCGCCCAAGTCGACGCCAACAATGGTTTCGGATTCCTTGCCGCCGATGCTGGTATGGCTGCATGTATCGAGTCTGCGAAGACGTATGGTATCGGCATGGCCAGTATCAAGCATTCCAATCACTTTGGTATGAGCGCTTGGGTAGTTCAGAAGGCCCTCGATGCCGATATGATGAGTTTGGTATTCACAAACTCTAGTCCTGCGTTGCCGGCTTGGGGTGGTAAGAGTAAGCTGCTGGGTGTTTCGCCAATTGCATGTGGCGCGCCTGGCAAAGACCAGCCGTTCGTGTTGGACATGGCGCCATCGATTGCAGCTAGAGGAAAGATCTACAAAGCAAAGAGGAGGGGAGAGAAGATACCTTTGGACTGGGCCTTGGATAAAGATGGGAAGCCGACCGATGACCCAGAAGCGGCATTAGATGGCGGCGTAATGCTCCCTATGGGTGGCCCCAAGGGTTCAGGTCTAGCTGTAATGATGGATGTCTTCTCTGGCGTACTTTCCGGTTCGGCATTTGCAGGCGATGTAACCAATCCTTACGATCCGTCTAGACCATCAGACGTCGGTCACTTCCTCGTCGCTGTGAAACCAGACCTTTTCATGAGCTTAGATGACTTCAGGGAGAGGATGCAGATCTTGTACGACAGAGTCACGGGTGCTGAGAAGGCAGCTGGGGTAGAGAGAATCTACTTCCCAGGTGAGCTCGAGCAGATACAACAGCGGGAAAGAGAGCAGAGTGGCATTCCATTGGTTCAAGCGGAAGTACACGCGCTAAATGCAGAGGCAGCAAGGGTTGGCGCAAAACCGTTAGTTGTGAAGTAAGCTTAGGAAGAGAGTATGATGCATGAAGATGCAAAAACTTCAATTCAATTAGTTGAAACACTTTCAGAGGCCCATCAGTCATACGTGACCTCTAAAGTAACGATCAAAGTGCGGAGATTTAATGCGACTATAGCACGCAATCATACTGCTTACTCCTCCAGGAAGCTTTCGATCGTTTGCGCGTACCTTGCAGCGTCCCCCAAGCCCAACCACCCATCTCCCTCCTCATTGCCATCCGCAAAGGCAAAGAGGCACCCCATAACATCCCTTCCGACAATCGGTATCTCCTTCTGCATATCACTCCAATCCCAGCCGATAATCTCCACTTGCTCAGTATCGAAGTGGTGAACTTGAATCACTACTGGACCATCATTTTCGCTACTCTGGAAAGACGAACTCGTGGCTGACGTAACGCGGATCTCGCCATATTCGCAATTGATAGTCCAGGTGAGGGCCGGCGTTCCAGGAAATGGCTGGCCGCGACGAAACAGAAAGGAAAGTGTTGCGTTGGGAACAGTAAGCGGCGAGGGTTCTATAGCGGCATGTACGGAAAGGAGGTCGGGGACGTTTGATGTTGTTTTCTCAACAACCTGCATACTTTTAGGGTCGCGTATGCGAACGTTGGGGCGCTGAATCTGTGTTTTAGAGTGGACGGATGCTGGATCGAGTTGGCCGACGACCGAAAGTACGGCGTCAAGCACTGCTACCGTTAGCACTAAACAAGTTTTGCGCCGATGAGGTGCTTACCATGACCAACACCTATCACGATCGGATTGCCGCCGATGTCCTTGTCTGCAAAGTATTTCAAACCTAGGGGTAAAATCTCCCTGTCCATCGTTCCACCGAAAGCACGAACGTCGGAGCTCAGCACTTTGCCTAATCTACCTTTTCCACTATCCAAGACATCTCGCAACTTGACCACCGGTGGCGCCCAGCGTCTCTGCAGACCCACCGCAACCCTTGATCCACTCTTCTTCGCCGCTTCAATGAGCTCATTGATATGTTCTCTGTTGGCAGCAATTGGCCATTCGACGTAAACATCCTTACCAGCTTTGACACTTGGAAGGATCGTCTCGAAATGCTTATCAACCCGTGTATTGCATATTACCAGATCGATGTCTGGATCCGCCGCAAGATCTTCTGGCGACCCGTATGCCTTGGTTCCGTCTGGAAGTCCATATTTCTGAATCGCCGACTTTGCAGCGTCAACGCTGCTGTTTGACAATGCGCTGATGGTGATCTTCGAGCGGCCAGTTGCAGTAAGGAGAGCTGGGAGGTGGGCCGCCGAAGCCCACGATGTGACAGCTGAAGAAGAAAGCCCAATGAGCGCGGCACGAATTGGTTGAGTAGTTGATTTCATGGTTGCAAGGATGCCTTTGTAGATTTGAATACAGTCCTTTGAGTTTGCCATTTCGTGATGCTTTAAGTATTTCGATATCCCATAAGGCGTCTGCTTTGTAATGCAGCGCATTTGTAAGCCCGCATGAGGAAAGCGCGAATCGAAGGATCTGACGCTGTACTTTCAGAGTCTCAGCAGACAATCAAAGAAGCATAGCGGCAAGCTGAAGACAACATGTTCCAGCAGTCAAATGCAAGGGCTGCATCCATATCAGGCGTCCAATATCTTTTTCCTAATGATGTTTTGTCGCGATCCTTTCCTTATAGATCGTTCCCACTCGCTGCGGAATCCTCTATCAAGACGTTCAGATACGTTCATTTAGAATGCTAACCATATCAGTAACGATAACAAGCCCTGATACAGGTCAACTGTTCAATGCAGGCTTCGTTTTCGGAGGGGATGTGACCAAAGGAAACTGTGTCTCCGTGATTATGCGTGTGGTAAACACCACAGATAAACAAAGCTTGACAAAGATGAAAGGAAGCTTGGGTCCTTGTCAACTATGCTAAATGTGAAGACCAGGTAGCTTCAGCCAAGAGTGTGCGACGACGTGGCTCGGCCTCGGGAGCATGAAGACCAGTGGGCTTGCAGAGGCGCAGCAAGATTGGTTATAAATGCGATAGGTCCCAGGATTACTTAGCGCATGTTGTCCAACTGGGCTCAGGGATTGTGTAGTAGGTTGACATCGCCATGTGAGAGGTGCCATTGTTCCAGCATTATATCTCCCGTCGGCATGGTGCACGGTACTGTCAGATTTCCAGCTGGGTTCTGTCAGCCGTTAGTTGGGATGTGTTGAGGAAGCGACACGAGAGACGCGAATGCGATGATTTCATCGCGGAAAGTTTATTTGGTTCGGACATCTTGGGCAACGTATTGGATATTTCACCGTGGATGTGCCGGCTGACGGATGGGGAGGCTAGTGGGAAAAAGGACTAGACGACACGCCACTATCGCTCTAGGGGATCGTGATGTATACTCCTAGCGTCAGCGATCATCTCGAACGGCTTCCCGCCGCTCCCGGCATGCTCAGCCCTGCATGTCGAACCAGTAACGATACGAAGAACAGAGTTCTTCTCCTAGGGTGCCATCCGTGGTAGCCTTGGGAGTGCTGGTTAGTGGAAACGGTTTTGACCCCTTTTATGATTGCATCTTGCTCGATAGTCTTGCATAGTCGGTGACAACTGCATTGTCTTTTCCTAATTTTTTCCTTTTACGAGGCTGTGGCGGCTGGGAGTTGACCACTAACTAATTCATCCCCCTCCCGCTTGTCTGACTTCGCCACGCTTCTTACGACTGACCTGTCTCCCAACTCTACTTCTTCTCTCCTGGCAACCCTCCTAGGCTTCACCAACATGCCGGGCCCTATCATGTCATACAACAAACTGGCGATCATCAGTGGTGTGTTTGTTATCATATGCATTCTGATAATTTCGACGACAGCCGGGCTGCATGAAAGCGGTTCCAAGGTGGTCGAGAAGATTAAGGAATCCGCAAAGGAAGCAGCCAACGATGTCTGCAACAACGACCGCCCAGTTTTTGGCAAGCCTACGATCAGCGACTCCTTCCTCAGGCTCTACGAATCCATACGGCACCCCATAGACGATCCATCGTATACCGACGCGTCGGGAAAAGTACACGAAGTGAAAGAAGATGCGCCATGGTGGAGAGAACCACTTAGGAGCGAAATATTGATTGTGGACATCGATACTAGGGTACCCAACAAGAAGAATGAGCTGTGGAACAAAGACCGTCTGAACTGGGAGACGATGAAGTCGGAGGGCGATGGTGGTATGGTCAGCGCGGCCTTTATGAACCACTTCTTTTACGGTTCGTACCAACTTGCGATTTTCACGTCGTCGCTGTAGCACTGACATTGTACAGCGCAAATACACGGCTACGACTACCGCTTCATCAATGCGCACGACATGGAGGGAATGCACAACACATGGGTGAAGCCGCACGTTCTCCACGCCCTCCTTAAGAAGTACAAGTTTGTCATCTTTATTGACGCCGACGCAACGATAAGCCACCTCGAAGTCCCGATCGAATGGCTCTTCAATCGCTGGGGTATCACACCGGAAACCAGCATCGCCATGCCCTTTGATACACGACAAACGCTCAACGGCGACGAACACGCGTCCGAAGATAGCCGCGGGAAGCTCGCCCTCAACACTGGCGTTGTTATTGCGCAGTCCCTTCCACATACCTTCGATATGCTAGATGCATGGAAAGAGTGCCCGACTGGTGTGCGCTATCCAGACTGCAAGCGGTGGGCCAAGGAGTGGTCACACGAGCAGAAGGCGTTTTCGGAATACATTCGATACGATTTCAATCCGAACGGTACCAACATTGTCGAGATACCATGCAACGATGCGATGGGATACCCGGGTCTGACCGAGCATACATGGATTACGAGCAAGTGTACAGGCCAGTTTATCAGGCACCACACGATCGATAAACAGCGAACGAAACAAAGCACCGAGGCAGCTATGATGCAGAGCTTGACTGATTTGCTGCACCAGGAGTTGCATGGAAAGCGGGATACGTACTTTGTCAAGGAGAGCAAGGAGAGCAAGAAGACTAAGGTTGGCGGGGACGAGCCTGATCTTATACGCCTCACGAGTAGCAGATGAGGTTTGGAGGAAAGCTCAGTCAAAGCTTAGCATGCGGGTCGGAGTTTTTGGTATATGCATTAATACGGCGAGGCCACCCGCGACCTCGATACGAGATGGCAGATATATAAGATACCCCCAACGTTTAGGTCGCACTGTTTTTAGTTATGTATTACGAATCAATGTGAGTGTCAAGAGGGTTCGAAACAGCCTTGTCAGTATAGATGGTCGATCCGGCGGGACTCGCATGGCATACGGGCCGGCGGGCGAACATATTGGAGAGGGGCCGTTCGCGCTAAGGCTGGTAGGAGCTAGTGTACGCCCCGCTGCTGATGCACCTGCACGGGACCGAGGCACGACTGCGCGCCTGTGAAACGCCGTCGCTGACATGGCTCTGAAGCTTATAGCTGGCCATTGGCGTCTACTACCAGTTCCAGGACCCGTACTCCTGCCCGCTCACACGATACCACGCAGACCATCATGGCGGAACTAGCCCCTTTCGAGCACACGCCCATGGACGACATCGCGCCCACGTGCGCAAAGGTACGCGCCAGCTTCCTCTCGCACAAGACCAAGCCGCTCGAGTACCGCATCCAACAGCTGCGGAAGCTGTACTGGGGCTTCAAGGACAATGAAGAGCTCATCAAGGAGGCGTGCAAGCGCGACCTGGGCAAGCCGTCGTTCGAGACATACCTGACCGAGATCTCGTGGTGCATGAACGACTGCATCTGGATGGCCAACAACGTGCCGCGCTTCGCAAAGGACGAGAAGGCGACCGACATCCCGTGGACAAACATGCCCCTCAGTCCACGCATCAAGAAGGACCCATTGGGCACCGTGCTCATCATTGGCGCCTACAACTTCCCCATCCAACTCACCCTCGGCCCTCTCATCGGCGCCATCGCAGCAGGATGCACGGCCATCGTCAAACCCTCCGAGTCGGCCCCCAACGCCGCCGTCGCAATCGAGAAGATCCTGCGCGAGTCCCTCGACCCTGACTGCTACACGTGCATCCAGGGCGCCATCCCCGAGACGACGGCCCTGCTCGACCAGAAGTGGGACAAGATCTTCTACACTGGCGGAGAGGTCGTCGCCAAGATCATCGCGAAGAAGGCGGCCGAGACGCTCACGCCCCTCACGCTCGAGCTGGGAGGCAGGAACCCCGCCATTGTCACAAAGCACGCCGACCCAAAGCTCGCCGCGAGGAGGTTACTATGGGCCAAGACACTCAACGCAGGCCAGGTCTGCCTCAGCCAGAACTGCACCTTTGTCGACCGCGAGATCGTCCCGGCCTTCATCGAGGAGATGAAGAAGCAGCTCCATGATTTCTACCCAGACGGCGCTCGGAACTCGCCCGACTATGGCCGCATAGTCAACGAGCGCCAGTTCCAGCGCATGAAGAAGATGCTCGACGCTAGCAACGGCAAGATTGTCATCGGCGGCACAATGGACGAATCCGACCTCTTCATCGAACCCACCGTCGTCCAGATCAACGACATGAACGACAGCATGGTCACCTCCGAATCCTTCGGCCCCCTCCTACCCATCCTGCCCGTCGCCAACCTAGACGAAGCCATTCGGATCGCAAACGAGATCCACGACACCCCCCTCGGCACCTACGCCTTTGGAAATAAGGCCGAGTTGGAACAAATCATGGGACAAACGCGCAGCGGAGGTGCCTCTCTCAACGACGGTTTCTTTCACGGCTCCATACCCACCATGCCTTTTGGTGGCGTCGGAACAAGTGGCCAGGGCGCATACAGAGGCAAGGCCAGTTTCGATACCTTTACCCACCGCAGGAGTGTGACTACCACACCAGCCTGGCTTGAGGGTCTCATGGCCGTCAGGTACCCGCCATACACACTCGCAAAGCAGAAGAAGTTTATTGGCATGAACGACGTCAAACCCAACTTTGATCGTCAGGGTAGAGCACTTGGCTGGGGTGCGTGGTTTATGGGTCTAGTAGGCCTGAAAAGCTTGGCTGCTGTTGTTGGTAAGTAATAAATCCGAAAACATGGTGAGAGACTATTCGACAGGCTAACATATATAGCGGCCGTCGCCATTAGGCTTTATTTGCAGCGGAGGGCAAAGATGTAGGGGACGAGCTGTGGGATGACGCATCTCAAAGGCGGATGGTAGGGGGTGATATGTTTATACCTGGCAGTATACCTTGGCGATGTTCATAACCTTTGATCTTCTTACTCAAAAGACCTACCTTTGATTCGCGCATCATACCTCGCATTCCGACAACCGTGCTATCCACATGGCGAGACTACCAGGCCTAATCTTCAACTACAACCATCTGAGACATTCGCCCACCCCCCGCTTGTCTCTAGACTACTAGATACGCCCGGACGTGTCCAGCCCAACAAGCAAACCACCAGGTCTCACGTCCATCAACAAACTTTCTGATGCGGTCGTTGTATATTACAACTATAGAAGCACATCCACAAATCAGACTAACCATAACCTCAAGTTCGCTAGTCAGCTTATTAGCAAATTTACAACAATGACACCATTCTTCCTTAACGGCAAAAGCCCAAGGGCCATGCAGCGAGAGCTCTTGACTAACGACTATCACGGTCGCGAACACTACCAACAAGATACAAGTATACAGTCAACTTCAACAGGACTAGGGCGTCGAACACGCATCGTGCACCCATCTCCTTTCGGAAGCACCCAAGGCCCGTCCAGCTATGAGCGCCTCCCATCATGGTTCACATCACGCGGCTCTATATACCCGTATATTCCCAAGCGTCTTTCAACTTCCATGTCTGCTGCTGAAATCGCGCACAGGAGTGTTACTTACGATCTTTACAACTCACACTTTTCAATTCACCCTCTTGGATCAGAAAGATACAGCAATCGCTATACTACATACTATCCGGACCGTCAACCTGAGTACCCGCTCGTCCAAAAGAGGAAGAAGAAGAAGAAGGCGGACGATGCACATGTGCAGCAGAAAAGGGATAAGCTAGTGTTTGTGAGGACGAGAGGAAATAGAGTTGAGGATCGTGGATGGAGGAAGACTGAGAAGGAGGTAGAATGGCTTAGGGGACGGCGCTGGATGTGAGGGGTAAATTATTGCCTGCCTTACTTGTCTTCTCTAACAGGGAATGATCTAGAATGTTTTCCACATAGTGTTGGGTGGTGGTGGCCTAATTGCATATAAGCATGCATTCCTGCAGGATTCAACATGTGAGTACCGCGAAGTTGGTTAGGAAGATAAGTGGACATGGCCCTCTTAGTCTCACGAAGATCCTCCATTTGTGACAAGCGCAAGGGTGATTGGCTTCTTAGCATCAGGGCTATGCCCGTGTATGGTCTTTATTGTAGGCTTTGTAATATACAAGATGTTCGACCAAGATTAAAACGACATGAAGCGGGTATGTAACACATGAGTTTGAATGTCCCAACAATGCAATCTTCGTGAGTAGTAAGATATAACTTATGTATGGCAACCGAAATATAGAGTGTGATCGCAACGTACTCGAGAGTACAAACTGCAAATAACGAATCGCAGGAGCATAAAGCAAGTAAACAGGGGTATCCGCCGTAAACAGTCATGAAATCGTATCCTTCTTGCCCGTACATACCAATGCCGCGCTATGAAGAAAGCAGAGACGAAACACAAAAATCGGAGCAGAGAAGATTGGACAGTATAACAGGGTATGCAAAGCGATGTGAAAATCCAAGATGCAGGGTGCAGGCCCAGAAGTAGGGAAGAGGAGCGAACGAAACAAGCGACTGGGTTATATTCCCCAATCACTCCAGCCTTTCTTTAGAATGCGTTCAATGGATCCGACGACACCTTCGAGAAGCTCGCCAAGCCTATCGCCAGACTTGTTGATCCAGGTATCGGCAGCTCCACTCTGGTCTTCAAGCGGGACGCCACGAAGTCGGAGTTTGACCCAGAGAAGTAGGCTTACGCAGCCTGCTTGACGACGTGCATGATCTGCGGGAGACTGGCGTAGGGAAATAGTGTTATCGGAGAGGGCTAGGGTATCGGTGAGGAAACTTATGGTGTTGATGATGATCTGCGCATGCGAAAGAAGAGGATTTTCCGCTGTAGCTTCAATGATTGGTGATTGCGGCTGGCTATTGGAAGGTGCTAGTGTGTGTCGAACTGATGAAGATGAAGCATGGCCTATGGATTGTGCTGAAGGGGTTGTAGGTACCCAGGCTGACTTGAAGATCGGTGACGATTCGGAATGACTCTGCCGTCGGCTTTGCTGTTTGGCTACCTGGTGTAGTCCTTTCGTTCGTGTGTTCGCTGCGACTGTGATGATCCACAGAACTAGAGCGGCAAAGAAGATGCTCATATCTGTACCCACCTCTAATGGCACAGAATCTCGCTGCTCCTCGACAGCTTGTTGCAGAATCCTGATTGATAATTTTAGTGCTTCCTTGACCGGTACACCTTCTGGCTCGCTGGTAGACCATAGCTGTGTGACCCATGTGCGAAGCGTAGTCTTTAGTGCAGCAAAGGCTTGTGGGGTTGCGACCTTCTCCGAGAAGATCCATGACTCGCTCGCAACGGCTACAAGTGCACGGATAGGGGTCACTTGCACCAGTTTTGCTACGAGAAGCATTCGTGTGGTGGCAGGCGCAGAATCGAGAAGAGATTCAAGGTTCGAAGCTGTCGAGGAGGAAATGTATGGTGCCGGGGTTTCGTTGCGATTGTAGTGCACGGCGAGTATGACAAATGATTGGAAAGTATCAAGAGGGCCTGTTAGAGACCTGGGAGTTATTTCGTCAACGTATGATGGTGTATAAAGATGCCGTTGGGCAGCTGTAGCCCATTCGGTCGAAGTCGTCGCATCCCAAAGAGAACTGTCTGCCGGCAACGGAATGTCCAAATGACAATCGTGGATCAAGGAAGGTAAAGATTCACGAGCGAGTAGGAGACGCTGCTGTAACTCAAGAACGAAACAAGACAAGAGCAGGCGTTGCCAGGTGGCTAGCTCGACCCAGTGAGCCCAATGGTTCGGAGAAGGGCTTGCGACCAAATCCGCCATCTTTGGAGTCATGCTCCTGCAATTCTCAATAGCCTGACATTGTCAGCTGTCTGCTGCCGTCTCGAATGATACTCAACCTACCTTGTGATACACTTTGTCAAAGCGCGACGACAAAACCTTAGCAGCCCGTCGGGCACGGTACTGGGATAGTATCTCGATAAGAAACATCGTCTGGAAATCGCATAAACGATCTGGTTCCGTCGAAGCTTCGTGGTCTCTCTGCTTCACGTCAGTCGAGATCAGTACGACATGCGTCTAACCTACCCGTTCAAGCAACTTCAAACATCGGTCGTGGAGGTCTCGGCCCTTCTTCTTGTCGCTGGAATCGGTCGAGTACTGGCTGCCTATGGCGACCATGGCTGCGCGCAGCATCGGGGACGGGTTCACAGAGGTAGATCGATGGACGACGGGGAAAGTGGGATGAAAGAGCCTCCAGTAATAGTCAAGATATTGCTCAAATGGATGGGTGTGTGCGATCGAAGCCATACCATATTGTTCGTCTCCAAAGAGAATCACCCCCTCCTCTTCGTCTCTCTGAATCATTGTCCGTGGACCAAAGTGTCCGTATCCAGCCATTGTATCCATACTTGTAGGGATCGACATAGTCGTCATTGGGTAGGAACAGGCATTCATGTAGGCGAGGTTTGAAGCAGTCGATCCTTTGTCGTTCGAACCCCATGTGAATGCCATGGTCGAGGTGGTAGACGCTGGCGACCGTGATTGGTATGACCATGATGGGTCGATAATAGATGCGTTCGAAGGTGTGCGCGCTCGATGGTAAGGTGCGCTGCCAAATGTGGGGAAGTCGGTCGATGCGATCGGCGATGCATACCCACTTGAGGAGGAGTACCCAGGGGTGGGACTGTACGGTTCGTGCCATAGACCCGGTGTCATAGCATCCATGGGCACGGGCACAGCTGCAGAAGATCGGTTGTATTGTGAACGGGGATGCTTGAGTTGACTGGAATAGAATGAGTGTGCGTTCAAGTAGAGAATATGAGACGAGACAAGAAGAAAGAAGAAAGAAGTGCTCGATCATGTGCAATGAAACTCACTTGGGGCTAGACGTAGTATGAGGAGAAGAACGAGGAATGAGACTAGAACTTGACGAGAGATTTTGAGGCGTTCTGGGAGTACGAAACGAAGCGTGGTTGTACCTTGTGAATGGCACCGTCTCCAGCATGGGAGATACGGGCTGGTAATAGGAAGTGGTTGGGGGGTTCGATGTCACTTCCATTATGGGTGACGCGAGAGCGGGCATGGAGGCGGGTATAGCGATAGACGCTGGCTCTGGTGAGCCCTCCGGACTCTGCTGGGGAGTGTCTCTTCCAGGCTCGTTGCTGCTCAAAGTCAGTATACTGTCTTTGGGAGTCATGTCGGTTCCGCATACTGTCGTTCCTGATGCCTATGAAGAAGATCAATCCGGAAGAAGGTCTTGCCACATCCTGAAACCTGACAGACAAGTGCGTCTTCTTGAGCATGGTTCTTCTGGTGCCGTCTGACATACGCTGTTAGTGACGCTTTAGTTTCTGATGGGAATAAAAACTGACCTTAGGTGCTCGGCCCGGGTGTAAGACTAGTAGTTGGTCAGCAAAGATACACTGCAAACATCATAGTAATATCTAGTGACTGAGCAAATACGTTTGGCTGCAACAAGGTACGGTGCAATACCTGCAGCTCATACGCAGCTAGACGTCTGCATCGTGGAGCTGATGGCAGTATGTGTATATTGGGACTTACTCTTCCGCAATTCTCGCAGTTGTGTACTTTCAATCCTTTCTTTGCTTTGCTGATACGACCAGTCCGGGTGTAGTGGATTGATGGGTTGTGAGACGACATGTCTGTAGGGCTCAAGGCTGGCTGTTGCTCAGAGCGGGAGGAGCCGGTGTGGGGGCCGGATGGCGCTTGTTTGATGGTTCCAGGACGACGGCGAGGGCTAGTAGCCTTGGTTCCCTTGGATGAGTTGTTAGGTGACTGTGATGTTGTGCAATATTCGACTCTGGGTAGTGTTGGTTGATGAATAATGCTGTCTTTAGGTTGCTGTTGCTGGTGGGCCTTCAAGTCCAATGGGAGGCCTCCTGTCTCAGTGGGTTCGGACATGACGGACGGACGAGGCGATGGATGGTATATATCTTAAGTTGGAGAATGATGGGGCTAGGAGAGATCAGAGGCTCAAGTGGGGACGTGGTTAATGTGTGCTAAACGTTCCAGATCTAGTGGTACGACAGACGGCTATGAGCTAGTGATCATGTCTTGGACGAGTCGGTGCTGTTCCTACGGGATGATGATAGGCAGCCGGGGGACAGAAAGTTGAATTAAGGAACAGCCGCCAGGGGAGACGACTTAACGTGGTGTGTAGTAGACTGGATTGGGAAGGAAAGCCGGTCCAAAACAAGGCATTTGCGACGATTGTAGGAGAAAATGCTGCGCCCGGATAGGTTTGTGGAGAGGAAGAGACTGTAAATATCTGCGGGCTGTGCCTGAGCCAACCCCGAACGAGGAGCGTACTCGAGTATGGGGGTTGGAAAAGTGACGAGGGTCATAGACGCTGCAAGCCAACATGTGCAGGGTGTAGACATGGTGCTTTCCAGGGTATCCGCCATAGGCAGTGCATTGGCCGATCTCATAGCAAGTCGATGGCTTGAGCCCACGGGCATGGCTGCGGGCGTGCAGGCGAACGGTTCCGTTAGTCACACTGAGCAACAAGGCATCCGCGCACCAAAATTGGGACATGGGTAGGATGTGAGTGGGCAGTTGGAGGACACCGCTAGGCCAGGCTGCGGACCGTTCCCGCCTCAAACTTCACGCTGGATGCTAAGAGGAGCGTGGCTTGTGAGAGCCATGGGGGACCCGAAATAGAGACTCGCGTGGAGCATGACCGTGCTCAGCCCTCATGCAACGGCGCCCATGCTGCCGCTTACACCAAGATGCAGCACCATCGCAATATGCTGTCATCGCGACGACACATGATGCCCCTTGCAGAGAAGGTTGTCGAAGGATGCTGAGCAATCGCGTTGGTGCAGGCGTCGGGTTTGCGATATCCGTCCCTGCAGTGGGAGATATGCCCGACAGTTTCGCGATGCCATGTAAGTTAATTGGTGGAGATGGCATTTGTTAGGTGCACTGAGCGGCAGATGTGTAGTCTCGCCTGTCAACCAGCCCTGCCGGGGACCCATGCCGCCAGAGTACATACAACACGCAGGACAACGGCAAGGCATGTCGTCGCCGAATAACAAGTCGGCGATGGCAATGACGGCGAAAGCTGTAACGCATAGTTCCTGGCAAACGGTATTGCACCCATCGTTTTGCTGTGTTCATTTGTCAAGGTGCAAATGTCCAGGGCGTAAGCACAGTAAGCAGTCCCTCCGTGTGCACACGAAGCGGCTTCAGGTGGTCCCGCAGTCCCTGACCCTCGCCCAATCTCCACACGGCAGCCCGCTATGGGCGTAGGGCTACTTGTGAGGGCGGGGGGCCTTATGGTTTAGCGCGTCCGCTCGCGCAAAGCTTGGGAACACGTCGACCAAGCTTCTTCAGCCTTTCAAGGCACAAGGCAAATGAAAGGCGCCGGACGACGATGGCACCCACTTTTGCATTGATTTGCACTGGCTTGCACAGGCATGGGGGGACTGAGGATTTGATGAGGGTCGACGCGTTTTGCTTGGCACAGAGGGACGACTGCATCACGCACGTCACGTAGGCTTCACCGGTTTCCAGGGCTCAAGCTCCTGCATTTGCACATCGGAGAGTTGCAACTCAAAACCCCATGCGGATAGCTCCCCAGCCGGCAGAGCCGCCTTCAGATTGACGATGGCTGTCGACTGCACATGGGACGACCAGCTTGTTGCGCGTTTGGGCGCTGGCGAGCCTGATTGTCGGGCCAGGACCGCTGTCGGTTTCATGATGGCCCAGCTCCTCCGCAACCGAGACGATGGGTAATGGCGATGACCCTTGTAAGCACTCTGCAGACTGACATGGGCACACGAATCGCAACCTGTGTGGTGGGTTATGTCCAGCAGCTATTAGTTTCTAGTTGGCGCGTAATCCAGGTTCAAGTCGATATGCTTTGGCGGCTCATGAACTATGTAATGCTCCGTCGGCGGCTCTCGCGATTCACTGAACAACAACCTTGTCCGTTCCGTTAGCAAGAAAGACCATGCCATTTGCTGTTTTAGTTCAAGCGTTGAGTGGGCGGGTCGGGTTTCGCTCGCTCCCACGATCTTTGCGCGAGGCTGCCAGCCGGCAGAAATCGCTTAATAGTACCACTTCAGCTTAGTGTTATGGGAAATGAACTGCAACGTCCCGCATGCTATGGAGCTGTCCCTTGAGCGCTTGTAGAACACGTTGAAACTGAAGCGGTGAAAACCCAGCCGGATGTGTGTGAATAAATGACATTGTTTGCTCAATGGGGGCGTAAGTCGCAATATAGCCGGTAATCTTGAGGAATGCAAAACTCGATTCGGCAGGCTCCACGCTTCGGCACGTGTTTGAGTTGGAGGCCGTCAAGCTCTTGGGTCGCATCGGCTGATGAGCGCGTCTAGGGTGTCCAGAGACAGAAATCAAGCGAGATGACTTGACTTGCAGCTGTGGCCCCTCTCCACGATGCTGGTGTTTGTTGACAGGTGGCGGGTTATGAGCTCGATGCTCAATAGTCGTAGGGCTAGACAATCAACGTCGTCCGACAAAGACCTGTGCGCTGCGGCATGACCAATCCAAGGCTCTCTGCAACGACGAGAGGGCTAATGATCACCGTTGACCCGTCCGGAAAGGTTCAAAGCGCGATGGTTTAGTGGGGGATGTTGAGAAATGAAAGGCACGTGCCAGCCGTCCGAGTTAGTCTCGTCACAACCACGCCCTGGTTGTTGTCCAAAGTCTAGGGAGGACTGCCTCGCGTGGAGCATCTTTGGTGGGTCAGGGTGAGACAGGAAGGTCGAGAGCTGTTTGCCGCGACCCGCAGATGGCGCGATTCAGGCGGCTGCTGTGGCTAGGCTGGCTCTCCTCCCGTGAGGTCAGGAAAGACACCGAAGTCATCCCGGCGGTACTTTCCACAGATCTACAATGAAAGGCTTTCCGCTTTGAGCATCTGGAGATGGTGCACACTATCAGATCATGATGATTGTGTCGCTGTCGCGCTCGCCGAAATGACGTACGAGAGCCATGCCGCGTTGGATTGTCGGCGTCCCCGCAAACAGGTCGCTGGGAAGAGGAGGCATATATCAGACGGCAGGACAATTCCAGTAGGATCCCTCAGGCTGCAGATAATGCCCGTCGCAACGGGCATGGCTTGATCTCAGGATGCAATCACGGCGAGGCACGTGCGGGCCCCACTTCTGTCGCGAAAGCTATCTGATTCGGCTGGGTAGTTGATCCTTCATCGACCTACACCCACCCACTGCCGCTTACTTGGTCTGCATCGGTCAATATTACGATATGCAACACGCGCATCCGGGCAGCATCCTCTATGTCGACCATCAACACATGCCCTACCTCATCATGCGCCAAACCATCACAGCCTCACCGCCATCGCACGGCTGTACATATCTATCTTTCACATCTCGTGCGGGGGGGCAGTCACACCAAGCGTGTACCCGAACAAGCCTAGTGCTGTTCCTTCCCGTTACTAAAGTTAGCTCCTCCTACATGTCTAGCCTTCCGGCTAATTCTCCATGAGGCTGAACCAACAAAGTCTGCCTCGCCAAAAACTGTCATCACCACCCAGCTCATCATCGCGACATCTGCATCGCTCGTTGCAATGACGGCACCACGTATACTAGCAATCAACTTTCCATCCCCGATAGAGCCGTGCATGTACCGGAACAAGGCCTGCAGGCAGCCGCATGCTATTGCAACTTGTTTTGCTCTTGCACGTGCCTGGCTCCGCCATGCCCAGAATACCGTGCATCCACATGTCCCCTCGAGCCTGCTGCTGTCTCTGGCAGCTGTCCCTCGTCCCGCGATACCGGCACTTACGGAGTTGTACATCGTGGACTCTTGCCCTTTGGTCATCCGCCGATTGGATGAATAATGTAGAATGGGTAAGCCGTAGCCAATGCAAGTCCCCCAACCACGAAACCTGTAAGCGCCGCCGAGCAAGCCACCGCTCTCTCCTTCTCTCTCTCGTTACACCATCACGCCTCTTGCTTGGAATTTGGAGCCTTGCGCAGACTACGTAGCTCAGCCCTATGTGAAGCTCCTAAATCGAGGTATTGGCTGTGGCAATGCTTTACTTTTTACAATCTCTTTTCAGTTGCATGCTCAGCTCACTAACCTCCACTCGGGTTACCATGTATTTGGAGTGCGTTGCACCGCTACTACTTGCTACGCTGCCGCCTGACTACTGCAGCTTACCTCTTTTCAATTTGCCTGAAGATGCTTCCGAGCCAATATACTGTGTTCGCCTGTCGCGACAGCCACTTTGGCCAGCTATTGGGTTGGGAACCAACTCAACTACACTATCGATGTTAGAAATCTTACCAATCGCAGTGGCAAGAGCCGGCGCTTAGATGTGCGTTCGGCCGAACTGATGGCCGACATGATAAACTGAAACTCTTAAATGCACTACCAGCGGTCGCAGATCTGGTCGTTGAGTAGCGCATGTCAATGTAACGACAATACGACCACGTACGAGTGTATGCTACATAGTCGGACAGTGACGAAGACTGACGTGTCGGTCTATCGGCTACATCTACGGCCAGGAGGAACAATAGGCCTTCTAAACGATGAAGCCTCTGGGTTGAGTTCGCATATGTCTCTGAACGGCGTTATGGCTACTTGTCACATAGTAAGACATTTTGATACTCCGACGTATCATCATCGGAGGCATCAGTAATGGTCATCACATGGTAGGAACATTGAAGCATAAGCGCGCTAATGCACCGCAAGCAATACACCCCCCATTAACACAACGGTCCGAAAGAATTTTCATCACTTTTTCACGAAACCAACACATTGTTCCTATCGAGCGCCATGAACGTGGTCATTTGCTGGAGGAGATGTTATGAGTGTCATCTTCCAAGCATCCGCGTCCTACGGCTACAGACTCTACGGCATAGTCGTGAACGTACCGCGAAGTATCTGGCCTCCAACCCTATCTCAAGTACGGCGCAGCTATTTGTACTCAATTCTGGGGAACTTGTTCACCATCGCGTTTCATTGTACTCAGGCCTAACTGTGCCTCTACGGGAACGTCCGCAACGGTGAAGCGCTGCGTTCCGATCCTTCATAAGCTGTGCCCCATGCGAACACGCCGCCACTGCCGCTCTTCGCATTTTGTTCGAAGTGTGCCGCAGTCAGGCCGACAGGTCCTGTCACACAGCTTTGTTCGGAAGTTCGAGCTCCGCTGTGCCGCAACGCCGCAGAAGTACATGACTATAGCAAAGATCGCCAGTGCGATCATTCGTGCTCAAGAACGAGCTCGTTTGTGACAAATTAGACCGAGCAAAAACCTAAACGGACGGCTGTACCCCGCTCTTGATCACGCGGTTCCTTCCCACTGACACGTCGCCTCGATGTTGATCTGAGTAGAAGGTTTTGCTTCATGAACTGGACAAACCCGGTTCGCACGTTTGGATGAAGTTTTCCTCCCAACGATTTGCATGACGAGATGGAAACACGGCCTTGAACTTCCGCCATGTTCATCGAAATTACCAGAGCGCGTGTGGCAGATCTTCTAGACTGATAGTCGGCGAAGTAGCCCTACATGGAATATCCAGCGGTGAAGCTGATCAGATCTGAACATCTCGAACAAAAGGCATCTGGCACCCCATTTCACCCTATATTAGCATAAACTTGATAGTCCTACCACTGCACAGGGATAGTTATACTGATATCTGTATTCATAATATCCTCTCTTGAAGCAGTAACGCTGGTATGATGGTATCTCTTGCGGGTCTGAGGCTCCGCATGCGGGCAATGCTGCAATGTATAAGCGTCTGACTCGAATTGCCCTATCTTGTAGATACTGATTGCACATTTTGCAGATACTGCTACTGCTGATCCTGTTATTTACTGTGTTTACTATCATTGCGCTTTTCGTCGAGCCCATGTCTCTAACAAGCAATATGACACCTACAAGCTTACTCATGTGGTGCTAAATCCCCGTCAACAATCCTACCACAACCAGTATTTCCACTAATGGCATCACAGCTTTCCTTAATTATATGTAGATCCAACAACACCACCACAGTTTTAACTACGTTCATTCCGTCCTCTAACTCTCGACTCGTCGTCTTCTTTCCACACGGTGATGACTGTGATAACAAAAAGCGCTTCTTGGGCTGTATTTGGGTTGTGACGCTCATCAGAGCCTTGTCATGGATGTGATTTATCCTTGGAGTGATCACTTTGGCTGTGCGACTGGGGAATGGGGACATGCTTTTTTATCGAATTTTACAGACGAACGATGTGTAGGAAGGATCCGTACATGTGAATATTGAGCAATTAAGCACTACAACGTGGGATATATCAACCTCCCCATACAGGAGGAAAACAGGACATGTAGAGATAACAAGCTCTAGTTTGCAGCTTACACTAGTTCCTCACAAGAGAGATGATAAAAATTAATACTGTCATAGACTTCTAAATTGGCTATATATGTCTGTATAGCTCTAATACGTTTTGTTGTAGTAGGGAGGAGTACTCTGCTCAATTCAGATATCTAGTTTCTCTCTTTGGCAAAGTGAACTGAGGCGGTAGCGACCCAGCGCTAATTAGATGCCGAAGCTACTTCTATGTCGAGATTTGTGACACCCATCCCGTCTTCCGCTTCGCTATCCCGCACTGGAAAGGTACAGAAACAACAGTTCCTACCTTACAGCCTAAACTATCTTCCAACAAGGATACTTACAACCATAAGTAGAATTGTAGTCTGTTAGGTGTTCTACCTATATCTCCATTGCTCTTAATATGCTCTATTGTAGTACTAACCGAATTCTCATTCATCCGTCATAACCACATCGCCATACCTGTCCTGGAGAAAACGCACTGGTTCTACCTCATCTTGTTCCCCCGGAAATCGCGCACTCTGGAGTTCTTCATCGTCTTTCAGCCGTTTGGGTCTTCGAGAACATATCTTTTGCCGGCAGTTGGGACATAAATTGGAAAACTTGGAAATACCGTTGATCAGGGTATTCAGACAGCCGTAGTGGAAAGTGTGGCCACAATCTATCTTGACCGGGACTTCGTCGCGTACAGTCTCATGAACGTTGAGCGTATCACGGCAAATTGAGCAGTCTTCTTCAGAGAGATCAAGAATATTGGTGACAGCGAAGGCGTACTGTTCGGTCTTGATAGTGGGACCGATAGGTTCGAAGCAGACTTCTGGTAGATCATCTGGATCAAACTCGCCGTCAGACTCGTACTCATCGTCCCATTCCTCGGGTAACCAGGTCCATGTGTCATCTTTCGCAGCGTCGGGTTCCAGGAAGCAATCTAATCGAAGCATGAAGAGCGCTGTTCGTACATGACCGATACACACTGGTCCAAGCGCACCGACAACGTGCATGAGACCGTCGACGAAGTTCTTGAACATGTCCCAAGGAAGGCCAGTATAAGAGGGTTGGTCTGAGAGTGTCGCAGCATCCCATACTAGCAGCCTGGCTGTACCACGGACATCGCACGATGCAAATTGCTGACGTAGTGCTAAGGGCGTTATTGTGAAGGGGTCGGAAACCAGAGCGCGATGATGATCCACTAGTTCGTTGAGGTACTGGTTGAGAGTAGGATTACCGCTCGAGAAGGTTCTCATTTCTTGGTGGTGATCAATCATATGCTGGACCAATCTGGCAAATACAGCAACTCCACCCCAGATCGTCTCATAATCATGAGGAATTGTGGTGATTATCCGGGCCATCTCGGGGATAGTGTTGGCGCCCAGCAACTCACGTGCCTTGAACTGAGCTTGGAGATCACCCTGAACATCATGATAGCGCGGCTGAGAGTTTATGATATGCATGATCCAATCCTTGAAGTCGGGTGATAGATCCATGAGCGTGTCGCATACTAATATGACGACGGGCTGTACTCTCAGACCGCGGTAGTTGACTTGCTGATTCCAGAACTCCAGACTGCATTTGGTTGGATCTTGAAGCAGGACAGCGTCAAGAATTGCCACTACTTCAGCCCAAATTGCTTCAAAATCTGGCAAGACTACCTTGACCGTCCCCGTGGGTAGCCCCAGCAACCTGGGCTGCAATTCTGCCCATTCTTTCGTTGCTGACAGCCTGATGATCAAGCGTGATGCATCAGAAGTGGTGGCCTGGTATGATAGATATGAGTCGAGCAAGTCGCAGTAAGAACTCAGAACACTGGTTGTCGCCTCGAAATATCCCCGTAAAGGACGGAGACATGTCTCTAGACGAGTCATGGGTAAGAGTGCCGGGGTAACAGCTACCGTTTCCATCTCCGCCAGGTTCTTAGAGAATCTAGCCCTTCGTCAACTGGAGTGTTAGGGCGAGTGAGCCTTCTAACTGAGATCAAGATTGGGTTAAGCAAAAGAAAACCCTTTACAGGCAGCTGACTCAGTGAGCGTCGCGTGGTAAGAAAAGTCTCTCTTTCACCTTGTGTTGCACCGCTTCGTCAAACGTATAGGCGTTTGCGTAAGGCCTTTCTTCACCAGCAGCGCAAACGTCTCGAAGGTGCCCTCACTCTTACTTGCAAGGCTCTGGTAATGCTACACTTTTGGCATTCTGCTCAGTATCGAAGACGCTTTGCGTGCAGCTACCATGACTGTGCATTGAAGAGCGAAGGTGAGCATCAGACCAACGGATTGTATCTGTACTCACTGTAGTCTTGTGCAATAACCTCTTGCTTCTTTCACAGTTCATCAATCAGAGAGACCTATTGTGCTAATATCCAACATACCTCTTCGAATACTTTTTCAAAAAGAGAATGATCTCTAAAAGGGATTGTCGTCGCTAACCTTGCGGTCTTTGAGCGACTCTCAAGCCAGTCATGAAAGGCTTCCGATGAAATAGTTCCTGAGAAGAAAAGCCTGGATGTCTAGCCCCATAAGTGGAATACGAAGAGAAATCGCGTGCAGTGTGTGCTTGAGCAAATTCTGCCGGTGGGCTGTACTGTCCGAACGAAGAATCAGCTCTCTATGCCCAAACTATTACGTAGGTTCTTGCTCCCAACATTGTGATTGGTGATTACCTAGCTAGGAAGCCAAGTCGTTGTGACTGGTACTGCATGGCATGTATTTTGTTTAAAACACCCCTGGGCATAATGGCTGTGTCCCATATTCTGCGCTGTCAGGAGTGAAAGCGCCACGTCGTCTCGCTTTCGGGTTAAGGTTGAAGCTAGCGTTGATGATCAGCATCGGCTAGGAGGCTCCGCGGTAGCGTAATGACGTTGCCAGTTAAAACCTTTCCCTTTCCGCAGTCAAGCACACCAAAAACAGAGCGACTAACGCCATGCAGCCAGAACGCGGGTTTCCAACTTTCGCATCATCTTTTAGGCAAACTCGATCTGAATGCGGGACGCAGCGCCGTCGATCTCAATCAGCCGGATCGACGCATGAATCTACCCGACTCGTTCCATAGGCATATGCAGTATCGACAACATGCCGATTTCCAGACCTAATCCTAGTCAACATCATAGCGCAATCGGTGAGTTCACTGAATTCTATATACAACATGATGACATAGGTGTCGCTAGAACAATCAGAATACTGTGCAAACTTGGCACGCTGCAATGAAGTCAGCCGATGTCGACGAGCCTTAGATCAGCCCCTGTTCATCATCCGCGTTCGGCGAGGACTAGCACAAATTCTCCGTCCTACATCAAAGCCGACGCTATGATTCCACCTGCCGATGCTGCAAGCTACTGCATAGTGCACCAAGATATGCTGCGTCAGTCAGACGAAATTGTCCGATGTTATTACCCAGACATTTTCCCATTCGTAGGAGACAGTCTCGTCGTAGACACTTACTTTTCAGCCATATACTGTGAAAATGTCTGGATCTGTAGCTTTACTCCATACAGTTCTCACGAACTTTCTCAGCAGCTCATCTCACCATGGTCCTCTTCTGGTCACAGCAGAACTCATTTGCCTTTGTGGCTTGACCAGACCGCCTGAATACTAGCCGTATTTACCGATCGAAAAACCTCCTTTCTCATCGCGATTCTTCACCTTAGCTCCGGGGTTTTGGTGTTGGATCTAAGCGAGTTGCTGGCCTACGGTGTGGGTACATGTGGATCATTCAGGCTATGCCGAATACCAGAATGCGATGAGCCTGACTCGCATTTACTCACTTGGCTGAGAAAGCCACCAGGCTATGATGGAGCAGAGTAATTAGGTGAAGTATGATTGGATCGCCGTGTTCTCCCGCACCTATCTGTGGATCTGTACAGACATCTCGTTTTGACTAGGTTTTCCCCAGTTCTAGTTGCTGATCATGATGACAACCGTCCAAAACGGTAGCGTAACTCAATTCCTCGGCGACTGTCTATGAAGATCATGCTCGAAGTGGAAAACCTCAACAGACACTACCCGTGTTGAGCCTACCAAGCTGATGGGTACACTTTGTAGTAGCTGCGCGAACGGAAAGTGTATAAATCCACCTCACCGTGCAGACAACTCCAGCTCTTCAGCCAGGATCGTCTTTGGTTTCTTCTCCTTCCCTCTCTTCAGATACACGAATCTGTGTTGCCAGAATCATGAGGTTCACTCAAGCAATCACTCTGGCATTGCCAGCCATCACTGCCGCCTACCCTGGCATGATGGGTGCTAGCTCCCGAGCAGAGATGGAGCAGTACCTTCGCGCGGAGATGCAACGCGAACAACTTGCAAACCGTGCCGCTGAAGCTCAGCTAGGTGGCCTTCTCAGCCCAGTCGGCAACCTCTTGGAGTCGCTTGGCGATATTGTCGACGGACTACTGTCCTCAGTTGGCCAAGCTATTGTCAAGCAAGATAACAAGCGCCCTGAGCCTGGCTACGAGTTCAAAGACCCCGGCCCCAACGACTCCCGTGGTCCTTGCCCAGGTCTCAACTTGCTCGCCAACTACGGATACCTCCCACGCGATGGTTATGTCAATTACGGGCAGGTTCTCGAAGCCACTGCGCGTGGTTTCAACATGGGTACAGACCTTGCAACGGTCCTAGCCATCTTCGCTGTCTTGGGAAGTGGAGATCTCGATGGACTGTCTTTCTATCTTGGCTCAGGCAAAAACGGAATCGGTGGTCTCAACCGCCACTCGGTTGTGGAGGCTGATGTCTCGCCCAACCGCGAAGGTATGCAATTGCAACGTCAAAAAGGCAGACAGCAATCACTAACGTTGTAATAGATTATTACCTTGGATGCGGTGACAACCATCACCTCTCTTCCCGTCTCGTGAAGCAGATGGTCGGGTATGCTGCCCAGGACCCCAAGAAGGAGTTCTCTATGGACGTCTTGGCCAAACACTACGCAAAGTCGGCTGGTTTCACCAAGGATAACAACCCTTTCATCTACTACTTCCCGTTCCCTCAGATTGTCTCTCTGGGTGCCTTCGCCTTCTACCCACAGTTCTTCTCCAACGGCACCTACGGTGCAGGCGGTGTGCCCAACTACAAGAGCATTATGAGCATCATTGGCGCAGAGTATGATGCGAATGCCAAGGAGTTCAAGTACGTCCCTGAGCGCTGGCCCGAGAACTGGTACCGTCGTGATACTCCTTACGGCGCGGTACAGGCCATCGCCGACGGTTTCCTTCAGATCTATCCCCGTAACGTCATCGTTCCTGGTGCCGCACAGGTCGGTACAGGTAAATTGTCCGTCCAGACCCTACTCTGCGACGTATACCAGGGTATCAACTCTATTACTCCACTTGTACTCGGTGGTACTGAAGAGAACATCTCCAAGGGCGTCTCATGGGCTCTTTCCGTTCTTGATCCCATCCTTAGTAAAACAGCGCTGGGCTGCCCTGACAGCGTCATCTCGCCCAACTTCCTCTACCCCAACTCTCAGCAAGAGGGTGGGCCGGCCAATCCCCCGAAGGTTCCATCCGATGAATGGACTGGCGACAACGTGTACAACAAGGTGTACTTCGGCGGAAGCTCGCCTCCTACCAATCCCAAGTGCAGCCACTCCAGCTAGAGTTCCGTTGGTTCAATTGAGAAATCTTTGTAATACTTAGCGATATACCACTTCTTCTACTCTCGTTCTATGTACAAGGATACATATACATGTTAATGAAAATGATTATCAACGACATCATTGTAGCAGCAGATTATGTACTATGACTGGATTGTATTTCTGGCTCCCTTGTCATCGAACTATCCTTCCAGGAGCGCTATGTGTGGTATTGCACGAAAGTTCATGAATTATCTTTTCACAAGTGCATCGCAGGGTTTATGTCGCTCGTAGCTTCAACGCCTAGCGGTTTTCCAGTAGATGCGTACATAAGACTCTTACAGAGCGTTGACAAAGAACGCACATATACCAAATCATGACTAGATGTGGAAAACCACGGCGTCGCGAAACGAAACCTTGAAACAGACACAATCTGTGACGTGGCACTGTTCCGTCGTTACGACCATCGCCCATCCTTCTCAGCGACGGATGCGATGTCAAGTATGATATGTACCACCCCGGACTTGTGTTCTACAAAGGTCTGTTCTCAACTGATCTCCGTTTGACCTTGCAAATCACGTTGCTCTGAAGCAAGAACGTCGCATTATGCGTCTTCCACGGCCCATCGTGTGCCATCTCTACAGTAAAATGACGAAGTATGTGTGGTATCAACTTATACATCTCAGCATTTGAGAGCTGGAACACAATCAGTCAATGCGATACTGCATTGAAATATGGTTTGCGACACTCACATGCCTGCCGATGCAGGTTCTGGTGCCTGCGCCAAATACAAGCATCGATTTTTCCATGAGCCTAAATCGCTCCTCGCTCTCAAGCCATCGTTCTGGACGAAACTCTCGCGCGTCTTTGCCGAAGACAGTTTCATCAAATTGTGTGACCATTGCATTCATACCGACCTTGGCCTACATTAGCAATCTTGTGGTACAAGAAGTACGTGCGATCACGGACCTTGAAGGCAGTAGGAATATGATGACCTAAGAGCTGCAAGCCACCGAATGGCACGTAACGTGCATAGGCACAGCAAAAGGTGGACACAGCCTTAGTGACTCCTGTATCACAGCTCTGAGGTATGGTATCTTAGTAGCCTGGTTGTATTGCACAGGATGGGTGATTGTGCCGTCTAGCTAAGCAGTGTCAATCTCTTGGACTAGTTTTGCTAATTTATCGGGGTGCTTCATGAGGAAGTAGAAGATCGCACGAAGCGCACCGGAGGTACTGTCGGAACCAGCGATACTGTTGTGTGTGAGCGGAGATTGACAGACCGTTCTGCACTCCCTTACACAGCAGCCCACATCTCCACATGGATCTCTTTAATGGTGAGGCAGTCGTTCTTCTCTCGCATGATAGACAGTAATTGAGACAGAACGTCAGTGCGGTTTGCGTTCGCATTCGATGTTCGTTCTTGCGCAACACCCGTCTTTCGGACAGCAGTTTGTCGGATGCCGTCTGTTGCAATAATCGCTTTGAGAACCTTTGGGATCATAACGCCTACCTGGAGTAGATATCTGCGAATCCACAAGGGCGCCATAGCGACGACAGAGTTTAGTGGCATGGCGGTGTGTACCGCGGCGATGTAGTTACCGTAGTCAGAACTAGTTTCTAGAAAGCCAAACGGTGAGCCGAAGAATACAGCACCTACACCGTCGAACGAGAACCTATATATGTTAGCACGACTTTGTACACCATGAGCCCAATAGTTTGCGGGCTCACATTTCCGGCCATAGCCCAAAGTCAAATGCATCTTGACAATCCGCCAAGCCGCCAAGCTTGTCCCCAAATAGCTTCACCAAGTCGTCCAAAGCGCGCTCATTTTTCAACATGCTGCTTAGCGTATATACTGAACCCACGATTCGCCGGTGAGCTGCGTGGTGCTTCGCATCATCATCGGTAAATAGATCTGGACCAGGACCAAGAGTAACCGGTCTATATATCAGGTACCAGTCCGTTTTCTTGAGAGGTTGCTGGGTAGGATAGATGATGGGAATGGCCTTTGGGTCGCTCACATGAACTTCGTCTGGAGTTGTACGCACTATCGAGCCGTATTCTATACACCAGAAAACTATTAGCATATCTCGGAAGATCAGATCGTTCTACTACTTTCAAGCAAGCCTCCTTCGCAGAGCGACGCAGTCTCCACGATAATGGAAATACCCACTGAAAGCTAGTCAGCGCTACTCCAGTGCTCACAACAACACAACACGAACCTATTGTGTATTGCGCGCATATGTGTCTCCAAGTCGCCTTGGTACATCCGGTACATAAGCCATGTCCGCGATACCGCTGGCCAGACAGGTCCAGGGACTTTTGCAAGTGGATGCAGTGTGCGCGAGTAGATCACCCAACTAACGTAGTAGCCAACAATGACGCAAACGACGGTAATTGCATTCCAAACGCTGAAGATCAAGAGAAGAGCCATGTTTGGGGATGTTGAGTCGTGCTGCGACAAGCAGCTGCGGTTTGGGCTTGGAAGAGTGCCGGTTGAATTCGAAAGAGAAGGAGGGGCACCCTGCTCGCACCCTCTCGTCCTGGGCAGTTCGGTTCGGTGCCTGTATATGTGTATGCAAGCCTTTCGACGCGATGGATGCGCTTATGCAACTATTCTACAGATGCCGAACATTGTAAGATAGCATTCGGTACTTTGAGGTGCGACTCGGTGGTGACTGTCCGCACACCGTCATATACAAAATCCACCACTCGATAAGATGTGCAGAAGGTGCAGGGGTGGTGGGATCAGTCTGGAAGGGAAATCATAATACACTTCGGATGATAGTAATGAGAACCAGGTTCGTAGAACGCCGACTTATCTTATTCGGCCAGCATGTACGTTCCAGCTTAAGACTCGTCCAGGTCAATCCGGTCAGCTTGTGGTGCAACACGAACCAGGTAAGCTAGAACTCAAGCTAATGAAGCCGCTTCTTCCTCTCGCATTAATCTTAGTGTTTGATATGTGGCACAGTCTTTGAAAGTCTTGTCGCGTAACCACTATGTATCTTTCTACACTTTCTCTTGTAATACCCACTATCATCGCCGCAACGCAGGTGACTATGACTCCGCCACCAGCTTGCACTATAATGACATTGTTTAGAACAAGATATGAACACTGGCTGCCTTAGCTTACATGCAATAGTCAATCTGCTGACCATACCATAGCCGCACCACTACCTCCTCTGATGGCATCTGCAAACGCAAATGTACTATTATAACTTCCGAGTTGCTAGTAGCGATAAATCTTTTGAGCTGGATAGGCAGAGGTCCGTCTTTGCCCACGGTGGCTTCGACAAACTGTAGTTATTGAACTGTACGTGTGGGATATCGGTTTCTTGCTTCGCTGTTCTGTCTGAGTAATGAAGACAGCTGGCTAAAGTTGTTACGGGCGACTAGAGCGATTTTGGGCAGCTCTAGTGGTCCGGTATCATGATAAGCCACCATGGTAGTCGAAGATCCCTTGGGATCAATGCAGGTAGAGTGGTGGCTGAGCCCCTAATCCGCAGCTAGTCAACACTACTTCGTCTTTTGTGAATTGAGATCAGGTCGCTCTTGCTTCACCCGAAGCTCGCATACCCCTCCGTCATATGCGCGTTGCCATTTGGGCCTTCGGGCCCCATCCCTGCAACGATCCCCCTCATCCGCACTAGCAATTCAGCAACCCTGAAGGGTTTACCAACAACATCGTCCATGCCTGTAGCCATGGCCTGATCGATCTGTTGTTGGCGTACATTCGCTGTAACCCCGATGATAGGTACCCTCTCCCTCAACAAACCTTGTTCCTCAAGTTTTCGTATCTCCGCAACAGCCGTCAGCCCGTTCATGATAGGCATCTCCCAATCCATGAGGATAAGGTTCAGTTCGACAGGTAAGGCATCGTTGTGACCACTAGGTATAGGCTCTGTGGATGGGATGTGGTATATTTCCTTTAGTGCAATCGAATCCGACATGGGGTGATCGTTGTTCCAAAGTGTGGTCTTTGGCAGGAAGTCAAGGGCTTCCTGACCATGGTTGGCGACGCTGACAATGCATCCTAGATTGCGCAGTTGTTTGGCGAGAACACGCTGATTGATAAGATTGTCTTCTACTACAAGAACGTGAAGCGTATCTGGTATACTTTTTGTGCGCTTCAATTCTTGTAGGTTAGGACCTTCTGGTAGCCCAAGAGCTTCGGGGCGAACATGAGAGTGTTCAGTCTGCGATGATCTTGACTGTATCGATCGGCGTCGTGCTTTTGGGCTCGCAGAGTCAGATCGTGGACCAGTCTCGCTTGCGGGTTTGCACACAGGAGGAGACGGACGTGCCAGGCTTACGAGCGGTATTGGCTGTCTGTGTTTGATATCTTCAGGGAAAACATGGGGTAAACTGCCTTTCCGCGCCATCACTGGTCTGGCTCGACGTGATTTGATGTAGAAGGAGAACGTGCTACCTCTTCCAGATTCGCTGGCGACACCGATCGAACCGCCCTGCAGTTCGGTCAGACGGCGCGATATGAATAGCCCAAGGCCCGATCCACCGTAGTGGATGTGCGTGCGAGGTGAGGCTTGCGAGAAGCGGGTGAAGAGGCTGCGTTTTTCTTCATCAGAAAGACCGCGACCAGTATCAGTAACAGAGAATTGGAGATAAAATAGCTCTTGCACGTTTTTCCAGTCATCTTCCAAATGAGAGTCCTGTCCTACCAGTCTCTCATCGTTGAACTGTATCCCTGCTGGCGACGAGGCGGGCTCGGTTGCACTTGCGGTGAGGGTGACCGTAACTCGCTTAGTTGATTCCAAGCGTGTGAATTTAATGGCGTTTGTGAGTAGGTTGATAAGAATCTGCAGCACCCTCGTTGGGTCCAGAGACGCCCAATCGATGTCCATGTCCCGGTACGATTTATCCACGACCAACACAAGGTCGATGCCGGCAGCTCTTGCTTCCGCAGAGAACATCTTTACTGCATGCTTCGCCACTACAGCGGTGGAGACGCTAGGTCAGTTTATGTTTGATATGCGTTCGTGCATCCAAGACTTACCGCTTTCGGGCTGCGCAATCACCGGTGTCATGTCTAGAAGACCGGAATCGAGTTTAGAAATAGTGAGAATGTCATCGACGATATGCTTCATGTGGGTCGCGCAAACTCCTATAGTCTGAGCAGCGTCCAGGGTGGAGGCTATGAAAGCTGACCATTCAGTTGGTGTAATATTTTGTTCGCCATTGCGATCGTCTTGAGGATAAGAGGATGTAATGGAATCCGCACACTGCATGATGGCGCTGAGAGGGTTTCGCATCTCATGACTCGTTGTGTCTAAAAAGTGCTCCAGGTGCTGTTTCCCTTGGAGCGCACTGTCGGTGCGAATCTTCTGGATACCTTCGGCCCACTTCTGCTCTAAATTGTTGTGTAAAATGTCAGTATATGTTTCACCTCAATACCCATTCGCAAATTCCTTACTTGATATATCTGTGACATTTCCAACGATTTCTACAAGCTCACCATTCGGACTCAGTTCAGGGTAGGCTGAGCATAAAATCCATTTGAAGTGCTGAGTGTCTTCAGATTGTAGCTCGTTGGACTCCGATGGCGGCACCCATGGCATCCTCGTACGTAATTCGAAGCAAACAGATTCATGGTTGGTGACGAGCTTCGAGAATATAGATTGGCAGTAAGCCACATCCTCGGCGAAAGCGATCCGGTACCAGGCTTCTGTGGCGTTGGTGTCAGAAGATGCAACTTCAAACATATCGTACCAGCGTTGGTTTCGATAGGTATAGGTGCCTATTGGATCGATGATGAAGATGCCTACGTCAGATCGTTCAGCGAAGCGCTGAAATTTACTCTCTTTGAGTTGAATCTCAGCCATGAGGTGTTCTTGAATCTGAGCAGCTTGGATGATAGCGTTTTCTCTTTGGCGGACCTCGTCCTCGAAAAGAACAATGGACGCAAGAGATGTGGCGAGCAATCGCACCATGACCTGCAGGTATTGCTGGTACTCATCATCGAAGGGTCGGCGGGGGTTGACGCCAATTATGAGAAAGCCTTCTACTTGATTTCCTGTCGTTGGAATGATAGGACATATGACCAATGTACGACAAGGATCACCATACCCTCTCCAGTCAATGCCTTCCAATGCCGTTGTTGGTGCAGGAAGGTCATTGAGATGAACAACAGTAGCTTTCCCAGATTTGGCAGCCCGACTCAGAAATGCGTGGAGAATGTACGAGTCCTGGTTGATATTGACAGTCGCAGGGGCGATAGGGTGGCCGACAGGCACGCCAATGGTACCCTTGAGGATGCAACCTTCCAGCGGGGGGATGCTGCCCGGTGATGACATTGAGGGTATTTGAGCGCTAACATGTCGCTCAGCAGCATACAATAGGGCAAACGGTACATCCTTGTCATTCAAGCTTAGAGAGCGCAACGTAGTATCCCAAAACGATGGGAAATCTCTCGCATTTGCGCTTTGGGTACCCATGGCCACCAAACTTGAGACGCGGCGTTCGAGGATACGATGGTTGGAAACTTCGTAAAAGGTCTGGTAGTAGGCTGTCACTTGGCCATGGCTGTTCAATATAGGTACGAATTGGAAGGACCAGTGCGTCTCTTCGAGAAGGCTGTCCCTCTCTATGAAGAGGAGCATATCGGGTTCGGCTACGGATTCGCCAGTGGCTTTGATGTGGTCGACCATGGGTTGGAAAGAAGTCCAGTGATCGGGTGCCTTGATACAAACACTTTCGCCCATGCAGGGATGGAGGCTGCCAAGCAGCTGAACATACGGCTCGTTGTATAGCATGATAAGTTCGTCACCCCAGAACATGACAGCAGGTACGTTGTTGCTCAATACTGTGTTGGCTATACAACGCAAATCACAGGGCCATGAAGTCATTGGTCCCAACGGCGTCTTGGCCCAGTCGACACTGCGGAAGTAATCGATGTGCGGGCTGGCTCTCACCACGCCCGTGACTACATCAGAAGTACAGTCAAAGGACGTGTTGTTGATTGCGGATGAGTCCGGAGAAGAGCTGGTGCTGGGCTCGGACATTTGGGGTGCGTGGGCGAGCGACAGCTGGGGTTTCATAGGTAGAGCGTCGGCGCGAGGTTTGCCTCGAGGCGCCTTCCGCTCGCGCATGATGGTGCGGTGGCTCTTTCCTCCCGGTGCAGCGTCAACCCACAGCAACCGCGTCGGCACTCCGCTAACGATCTTGTATCGCCCTAGGGTTATGGCGCTCCATGTATGGCCTTCGAATGTATACGCGTTGCCGCGCCGTTGTAGATCGTCCTCGTTCACATAGCCGCGAACCCAATCTCTGAAGGCAAGTTGCGGTGCCGAGCTTTGCGTGAACAGGCTCGTCGCATCGTTGCCCGATACCTTGGCCAGCAGTCCGCCGACGGCGTGCAGCGCCGTGTTCGCATATATGAGGTCGAGGGTTTCGTCGCGGCGCAGGTACGGACAGGTTTCGATTGCGAATGAAGGGCGCTCGTCGCGGTCGAGGGCGTCGAGGAGCGTTAGAGATGCCAAATCTCGCTCTGCCGTCTGCAGCTTGGGCCTGGACGCGGCCAGCGGTGGCTGCGAGACATAGCCGGTTGTCCCGTAGTAGTTGTGCAGCGCAAGTAGCTGTCCGTTCGAGGCCATGTCATGCGGCGCAGAGCAGAGCAGGCAAAGATGACAACAAGACACACGGCCGGCGCATTGAACAGATGCCCGAGTAGTGTCTGTACAAACGAGGATTACTTTTGCTTCCCGCTGCTATCTGGAAAGCTAGCGCAGCCAATGGCTTAGACGCTGCATCTTTAGCCATGATGACTGAAAAGCGTCTCGGTCCGCTAGGTGGCGGCTCCACGCCCTCGCCGAGATCTACGACATGGCGTCATTGGGGATTAAAGTTGAATCTAAGTACTGCACCTCCAGCCTTTGTTCGGTGCGGTGTGCGTAGAATTCCATGGTGGTGTCACTGCAGTATCACGTCGCGTCTGAAGTTTGACGGGTGGCTGCCCTGCGACGATCACACGCCTACCCTTGCTGCTTACTTGAAAAGGTCCGCGTTGGAGGCGCCAAGACGCCATCCAGCATTACCGTGAAGGGTAAGCTGACCGGGCCGACTCCGCAATTTCCACGCCTGGCTATCACGACTCTCCACGTGGTACCTAGCATCTCACTTTCATGGAACTGATGCAGTTGACGGAAACACCGGTACCATCCGATGCTCCTCGTCAGTGATCAAAGTGGTATTACAACGTGTTGATGACGTCGTCAAAGACGACTGGGAAGAAACAACAAGCAAACTGCTTCGGTTGGAAGACTTCTTGCTGGACAGTAAGCACAAAAGGTCTGTGATCACTCCGCAGAATCTTGAAGAGATTCTTTACGACAGAAGCGCTACGAGCATGGAAAGATACATTGAGTGCTGTACTGCAATTCTTTGAATAAATGGCCGTGGCAGCCGTCTAGAATTGGTTTGTGGCAGAGGCCAGAATGTGATGTCACGTCGTATATAGGGCTGTGTAATTCAATCATGTTGAAGTGCAAGTGAGTTTACTTTCGTGTATATCGACAAATATATGTACAGTATTGGACTAACTCCACGAACTAGCGCTTTCAGTGAGAGTTACAACATGCATCTCTTTTGTTGTCTCGCTTCTCTCATCCCTATTCAAGCATGGCTGTCCGGTTGGCAGAGTAACATGTCATCTAGAGGTTGATTTGTGTTGCCTGATTCTACCTACATTCTGACCTTGATGTCAATACTTCCTCTTATGTCGAGATTTGTACGATCTATACAAACTGTGTGAATGCATGCCAATTTTGTAGGCTGACACATAACCCTCAAGGGCGGGGAGTATACTAGTTGTCCTAGAGTTAGACAAGGACAAGATTCAAGCAAAAAGATGGGTGAATCCTTGTCCAAGAATCGGACGAGGCATTAGTGTCCCAACAGGGTTATGGAACATAAGACGGCAAAAAAAAAATTATGGTATACAATGTATTGTGACCTAACCAGGGGTCGCTGAATGATAGTTAGTGTCTGTGTTCGAACGGTTTGCGCTTTCGAGTGTTACTTACAACCTGGAATCTCTTGATATCGAATGAATCGTAGTCAAGCGCCTTGCCATTGGGCCATTAGGCCGTTGTTTGATTGATGGTGACATGGTCAATAATATGCTTTATATCCTCTGTCCTATTCATATTCCTGACGCAGAATATTTAAAATCAATTCTCCCGTTGGCATGGGTGAAGACTTTGCAGCATGAAAGAGTTTGCGCTTGTGGTGGGGTTGTCGGAACACTTCGGCATGGTGGGGCACAATGCGGAAAGTGCTTGTTGGAAAAAAGTTCATAATGAACCACGACAATGCATGATAACATACACTCTCCATTATTACTATTTAGTTGAGAGCACGATATGTAGTCTTTAAGTTCATCTCCGCGAGGCTGCTCACGGGTGGTAGACAACTAAGCCCTCGCTGCGGGCTGCGAGAGCGTGCTTCCACCATCAGGGTACATGACCTGCTCGTTGTAGAATACACCACCTGGTCCAGCCAGCATGAGAACCGTCGCAGCCATGTCAGTATCAGCACCAGGTCGACCCGCAGGGTTGCTCATGCCAGATTCGATGCGGCTCTTGTTGTCCTCATCGGAAGAGCCTGTGGTCATCTGAGTGTGGTGTTAGCTCAAACAATGTACCGGTAAGCTGTATGGAGTAAGGCTACATACCTCGCTTGGGAAGACACCAGGAGCGATAGTGTTCACCCGAACCTTGGTACCAACAAAGGTTGTTGCAAGCATGCGGCTCAGATGTGTGGCGGCTGCCTTGCTAGACGCGTAAGAAAACTGGCCGTTGCTGCTACCCTTCATGTACCCTGAGATACTGCTAACGTTGATGACCTGTGAGGTGTATCCAGGAGTCACCTGGCCACCCTTGGCCAAGAGAGGCAAGAAGGTCATTGACATCCAGAAGATGCTTCCGACGTTAGTCTTCATGGTGTCGGCCCAGTTCTCGGGCTGGGACTTGAGAAAATGGTCAGAGATGGCTTGGGCGTCCTCCATGTTTGGCTGGCCGTTTGCGGAAAACTTGGTGTTGTCATCACGAGCGATACCAGCGTTGTTGACCAGAATTTGGATTCCCTTTGGCTCTTTTTGACACATCTCGTCGTAAAGACGCTTGACATCATCCTTTTCGCTGGGTAGTGTTAGCGCCGCACTCTCCATAAATCGGACATGATTGTGCTTACCTGACATCTGCTTGGAGAGGAATAATCTGGCCTGGACCGCCACCTCCATACAGCTCCTCCGTCTTCTTCAAAACTTCATCGCGTCTTGATGTGATGTATACTTTCGCACCGTTTGCGACCAGCGCTTGTGTGATCATCAGACCGATACCAGTTCCTCCACCAGTAACGAGAGCGGTGACGTGGGAAACATCGAAGAGCTTGGAGCCCTTGAGGTCCTCGGTGTTGGCCTTGCCGTTACCCATACTTCTGATGATTTGGTACGTAGTCCTTGGGATGAATTGATTTGTTCGTATTGTGGACGTGATAGATTTGGTAGCTGTGGGAAGGTTTCTTGAGAAGAGTCTGAGCATGTTGAGATATGGTTGTAATGTCTGCTTCCTTTATGCGATTTAAAGGTGGATGAGCGATGTCACCGTTCGCATGCGAACATGATGACGTTGAGACGACGCATGAGTACTCCAAGATGGGGTCCAATGAATTAAGCACTGGCGCGACGGGTCGATGCATACTATGAGCGCATGCAATCATTGAAATCCTATATTCCCCATAATGGAAGCGCAAGCCACCAACAAATAGCATACCTTAGCATCGACTAAGGCTTGTGGAACGGCAATCACGGCCAGGAGCGAGCTAAGGCCAGATGCAATGCCAGATACCAGATGCAACGCCAGATACCAGATGCAACTAAATGTGCTGGACACTGTTGCTTGCCTCGGCTGTGTAAAGATGAGGTGCATATGCCCTACGATCAAAACTACCATTGATTTAGACGACTACAGGCGCTGTGAAGCTATCCTTGCTGCACCATATGCAAAGCCACATGGCTTCAGTTGTCCCTAGGCATGGCGACGAAACGCATCCAATGCAACAGAGTAGATACGATAAAAATTAATGTTCAGATCAACTCCATGTACAGGCAATACCACATTGTAGATGTCTGAAGGCTGAACAAATTGTGACGGTGTCGAGGCTGCCGCACATCTGCGGCTATGACGCAATCATCAGTCCGAATCATCTCCACGCCGTCTCCGGGCGCTCGGCCCATGGCCACAAAGGCCATGGCTTAGAAACCACGCGAACTGTTACAAACCACCATCTTAACCACTAGAACATCGTACGCGCATTATCAAATTGTTATACTCGGCACGCAATACGTGTATTTTGTCAGCATATGAGCGATCATTGGACGACAGGGATTTAGTAATACAGTCTTGGCCTCGGGAATAGAGCTATGGCATCATCGCCACAGAGATGTCGAATGAGGGGAAACATCGGCGGATGAAGGGCGACCTGACGCATCAAACAGTAGGAATCATTTCTAATCGCGTAGGCGTATATAACAGCATCCAATCTGCACATGTTCCCGATTCATACTCAGACAACTTACTGCACAGCCATTGATTCAGCAAACCGCCATTTTCCTCCACGATTCTGCCCTTGCAACCTCTCGACAGTATAGTCTCTACTTCAATTGCGAACGGACCTAGCGATCCAGCTACCACAATGACGACCACCGCGTCCCTCCCCACGCCCGCACACCAACTCTGCAACCCAACGCCTATTTCGAACAACACCACCTCTTCCGATGTCAATTATCAAGGCCTACCCGTTCCTCGCGGCCCCGTCACAGCATCGCTATCTTTTTACAAAGCTCCAGAGGATGGTGCGCCACCACACAACTACGTCGAGCCGCTTCCAGGCGTGCCACAACGGAATTGGGGAGATGCATGGACCGAGGTCGAGCTCAACGACCTCCGAGGCCAAGAGCATAAGTTCACGCTAGACAACAACGCCTTCGACACATACCAGAACATCAAGAGCGGGCTCGACAGGGATGGGTTTGAAGACGACGACGCAATAAAACGCGTGTATTATCCAGAGGTGGAGAATCTACTCTTGAAGAACGTACAAGGCGCACAAAGAGTACTTCTCTTCGATCACACAATCCGCCGACCGACTGGCAACCGCAACCCCGTTCAACGCGTACATATCGACCAGACACCTTCCTCAGCCGCTGAACGAGTCAAGCTGCACTTGCCTGACGAAGCCGAGCAACTCCTACAAGGTCGTTACCGCATCATCAACGTTTGGCGTCCACTCAACGGACCTGTCATGGGCAGCCCACTTGCAGTCGCCGATAGTCAAACAGTGCGCGATGGCGATCTGGTACCCATCGAGCATCGCTATCCCAATCGCAACGGCCAGACCGCAGCTGTAGCATATAACCCAGGGCAGAAGTGGTACTATTGGTCTGGCATGAAGAACGAGGACCGTCTGCTTCTCAAATGTTTTGACAGCGACGAGACCGTAGGCCAGTGGGGACGCGTACCACACACAGCTTTTACAGACCCTCGCACACCGGAGGGCGCGGTTGGCAGGGAGAGTATTGAGGTTAGAGCGCTGGTATTTGGATGAGCGCACTATATTTTTCTTCCTTAGTCACGGTTTTTTAGCCCTTCAGTTTTAGCCTTGCTCGTTAGATATGTGTTTACGAGTTCAATCTGTCTGTACTGTTCGGCAGACGTTCAATGATAAACCTCTTCTGCGCAGATTGCATTGATGAAGTGATATCATTCACAATAGCTATTTAAAAGAACGTGATGTGTGCTAAAGGAAAACAGCGAATATTGAGTCAAAGTGTGTTGAAACACCATGTGAGAATATCGCCATAGAGACTGTTGAAGTCGTTTATGACTCAGCGAAGTGTAGATCTTCAATAATCGTCTCCTCGGGAGATGACCTCCTTACAGTTGGGCCGGAGTAGCACAGTCTGTTGGACATATTGAGTCAGTTGGGACATATACCTTGGGAAGAAGCATAACTTACGTGTTCAAATTGTGCAATGAAGGAGCCGGGAACATCTACAAGCGGCGCATATGCTTCAACGATGCCACTGTTGACTAGCGTTCGCATGCCGAGATGATACTTTTCAACACCAGGCAAACGCTCAAGTTGACGGCGTGCGAAGACCAGAGTCCCAAAGTTCTGGTCAATGGTCTTCAGGAGCGACTTCGCAGATGTGTGGTGGAGCTCAGTGGCACTGACATGCTCGTTGCGTCCGTAGCCATAAATGCCAACATCGTCATGAAGATAGGCCTTGCCCGTGCTGCCAAAGGTTTCGATGGCGAAGATGTCGCCTTCCTCCATACGTTGAGTGGTCTTGGTCTTGACGAAGGGAACCTGTTTGTCACCATGGATGTGATAACGTAGGATGTTGTGGCCAGTGATGTTGCGCACAGCCTTCACTGGAATGGTCTTCCCTTTGATTTCCACTTCATAACTCTCCATCACCTCTTGAATCATCTCACTGATGTGATCAATTCTCGCATCGATTCCGGCTTCTTTCAAGCCTGTGTTGGTAGCCGCCTTGACAGATGCCAATAGATTGTCATAAATTGGATTGGCGGCCACAGTGAAGGCGCTGTCCACGATTCTGCCGTTGACATGAACACCAAAGTCGACTTTCAATACATCGTCATGCTGAAGAAAGACTTCTTTGGCACCGACGTTTGGCGTCCAATGCGCACCTACATTGTTTAAGCACAACCCGGTCGGGAAGGCAAGGCCGGCTTTCAGTGCATCTCCGGTCTCAAGACCCTCGTGGCCGACAAGTGCGCGAACACTATCGTCAATCTCTTCGGCAAGGCGAGTCATAGACATGCCGGGCTTCGCGATCGTCTGTGCATAGTGGCGGACCTGGCGGTGGACCTCGGCAGCTTTTCGATAGTCCTTTAGGAAGTCATTGTCCATGTTATCCACGGCGGCTAGATGACGAAGTTCGCCAACTGTAGTGCGCTTCAGGTTGTCATCTTTGATGGTATACTCAACAATTTGCCCTTCCGGATATTGTCGACCAAGGAATAAATCAGTGAGGGGTACCCTGGGAGGTGCCGTCTGCTGTTTTTGTGATACTTTCTTGGTCTTCTTCTTGTTGTTGCGCTTTCTTTTCTTCTTTGCGCCTTGAGCAGTTAGTCTTAGCATTACACTCGCCTAACATCAGCTCACCATCGTTGTTCTTTACGTCAGCTCCAAGCTTCGCGATATCGTCATCGTTGTCGTCGCTGTCTTCATCTTGACCTTCGAGAACGCCCTGAAGCAGTCCAGTCGCCGCGGCTGATTTAGGTGGATTAATAATAGCGATTGCAGCGTCTGCTGAGGACCCTGAAGAGTGTCAGCATGTCTGTCGTTCCTTCATCCATTCGAGTTTACTGACCATCGGGACCTTGACGATGATCTTCTGGAGATTTGGACCCCATGACTCTTTCAAAGCGATGGTCATCAAGTTTTCAAAGCGCTGTTGGTGTCGGTGTTGGTGATCAGTGGTGCGGCGCGAAGCTGAAGGCTGGATGCCTTGGTGAAAGTGGGGTCCAACAACACTATACCCTTCTGGTCACTGCCCCACGGTGCTCCGTTGCGCACGACCAGCATGCATTCAGCGCTCAAGATCGCCCAATCTGGATGGCTACCGCTCCATGACAAACAAAACATCTCTGGGTTGGTCCGCAGTCAACGTGTTCAACTTCCTTGATCTTCAGGCTGTCAGGCACTCATCTTTGCTGGTTGCTGGCCATATCTACATACCTACATACCTTTAGGCCTGTATTCTACTTTGACCAACTACATCACCGAGCAGGACAATCGCAAAATCCTTTACTAGCCTGTTTAATGGTAACAAGCGAATTTCGATACTCGTAAAATGTTAGGGATTGAACACCCGGTTCTGGCTGAAATTCAAAGATACCCTAATCTCAAAACCACAATGTGCTACAACGCATCTGAAACGATATCAGCCGCCCCAGTTTGGACAAATATTTCCCAAACAGTCAATTCCTTCGGCTTTGCCTGTTAATCGCTCGATTTTGACTGTGTCTCCAGCTCTAGTCAAGGAATATCTAGGGTGACTTTTCCTGTGTCGGTCCGTGAGGGGATTTCTCGCGTACCTACAACACAAGGACTTGATTCAGGAAAGGTTGACTAGAAACGGTAGTTGCACCTACCGATGACTTTGCTCGCTCTGGGCTCGTTATGACGATCCAAGACTTCGATGGGATTCCACTTGTAGCAACTTGACTTAGTTGGTCCCCTTCCGACAAAAAGGGTGCAGATACACTGCCACATTGTGCGATTGTCAGGTCGGTGAGCATGGACAACGGTAGAATATGCTCGCGAGAAATTTTGAAAGGACATGCTCAAAGACACACACCTGGAGTATTGATCTTTATACCCAGCATGAGTCACGACTGATGACCAGATGTGAGTCGCACTGGAGTACTTCTAGCGACTGTACAAACGGTTGCACAAGCACAGTTGAAAGATTGGTATCAGCGGCATAGGCGATAAGTAGACCAACAAGTCGATGTACTACAACGTTCCATCACCGGCCTCAGCGTATGTCGATCCATCCGTCGAGTTGTTCGGCTGTTTACACAGAGCCGCAGGTTCCCTCAAAGACCCGTACCCTGCCAGCTTACATGTTACACATAATATGGGGAGACGAGTTTTGCACCGTGTCTGCCTTCATAAGAAGTAATAGCTGATGAAAGTGCCAGATACCGGACATCTACGTTGGTGACCTCGATCGCTTATCGCTGTAAGACGGATGGTAGAGTGGCTATCGTGGTTGAAAAACATAACGTGTGCTTTGCAGCCGTTGGTATGGACCCTGCGAATATAGACGACGGATGTGAGGTGGTCATGTCGAACATCCCGGCCGACAAGCCTGAAAGGCAGGTGAGTAGAGCGGAGTTGCCGAGGATGACTGTTCATGTGTCGCCAAGACGTTGTTGTGCACTTGTCATACGAGAACGCCACCAAAAAGACCTCTCATTTCTCGCAACCACCACACTCAATCACCACACAACCATCACCAACCTGGTCATATTGTCAGGTCAAGATGCGCCCAGCTCGTGTTCTGTGCATGGCCTGCAGCAAGTCTACAGTAACGTCATTCGTATATGGCATGGCTACACTGCTCAGTCATGGTCAGAGTCACCTTTTCAATAAAGGCAAGGGCAGTGCAGCCCTTTATCCTTCTCAGGCGCCCCATTCACCCCTGGCGGCGACTAGTCTGCCACGAGCCGCATGGACCCAAAGATAGACGGCTCAATGCCGCTAAACGTCTAGACTTTTCGCGGGATTGGCTGACTCGCATCGCGTCAATAACATGATTGGTCGAGAGAGTCGGACCCTGGAAGAGGCGCAAGGCTGCATCGATCGCTTAAGGGGAAACGAAATGTAACTCTGCACAGTTTGCACGACCGGTGAGCTAGCCGTGTCGTTGTTCGGCTTGACGGCGCGGTGCTTGATGGTGTTTAAGATGAGAGCGTTGTCCTGATGTTTGGAGATAGCCCTACAAACTTTGCTAATCTCTAATATTCGCGTTTCGCGACCCACGATCGTTTACCTTCGCAGCACGTAGCATCATGGCTGCCCGATTCGTCTTTATGGCGGTCGCTAATGCCGCTATTGCACGGGCACAGTTATTCTCTGATGACTTTTACACTACTACCACTCGTTCCGCTTCAGCATACTGGACATACACTTCTCGTTTCGTGGAATCCGTGTCTGAGAGTTTGTATACAAACTATGACGACAGTGTGACCACTGATAGCTATACCGTAACCCGCACCGTGAAGGACGAGGCCACCCCCACGATCTCACCATACTCGACCACTTCCGAATATGGCTACTACAACGATGATCTCCAGATCGTGTACGCTTACTACACTACCAGTGCAGTGGCAGAGTCCGATCTCGAGCCTGATTATTATGATTACTATGCGACTACAACGGCGGCTTCGACGACAACTACAATCACGAGCATTGATTTCAGCATGCCGGTCACCATGGTGGCACCCGCCTCGTGCCCTACACAATGTAAGTAAGACATTCCCTGTCCAAGTCTTCAAAATACTGATTCTGAGTGCCTCCCTAGTCACCGTAACTACTTCCGCCTCTGTGGATATTCCGACCCAGGTAACCGCACAAATCTCGCCAACTTCGGTTGAGACGTACTCAAGCAGCACTACCTACGACAATACCGTCTACGTTTGGGAGACATGGTATCTATCTGAGAGCGCCGCGCCATTTACCACAACATCGGACTACTACTACTCATACTACATTGCGGATTGCAGCACGCCTCCAGCAGCTTATCGCACTGGTTCCTCTTCCGGCGGTGCAAGTGGTGGCAGCTTGAACAACGACGATGATGATAGCTCATACGATTCGTGCTACTATTACTACTGCACCTCTCGCCTTCGCGTATATATCATCATCATTGCAACTGTAATTCCCGGTCTCTTCCTTCTTGGATTCCTCGAATCTTGGTTCTGGTTCCGCCGCCTCATGCTCGGCAAGAGTGCCATGCGATTTGGTACATGCTGCTGGGTACTCATCTCACTCTGGGTGCTCTGCTTCACTCGTATGCAAGATCGTCGTAGTGCTGAAGATCAGAAGCTATTGGCTGAGAAGTGGAAGAATATGGGTAGTGGCGCAGCCTTCAAGGCCTGGTGGAAATGGGGATTTCGTCATCGGTACCCAGAGCAGTTGTTGGGTCAGTTCAGCAAGACAACTGTTGGTATTGTACCACCCGGCCAGCCGTTGTATCCAGCCATGGCGCAAACACCAGGTGCTTTCCAGCCTGCTATGTCTGGTGGCGGTGCTCTGCAGCCCGTCCCTGGTGCTCCAGGCCAGGTCTACTACTATGGCCCTCCACCTCCAGGTTGGGTTCAAGCACCAAATGGGGGCTTTGTGCCACCACAAGGCTATATGTATCCTCCTCCCCAGCAAGCCGGCTACTATGGCGACATGACCAAAGATGGAACGGTCGTTTCACAGTCTCCTGTTTCCGCCATGAGTCACCCACAATCGCAAAACCAGACGGAAAATGTGTCGCCTATGGCCCCTCAAGCCCCTCAGCCAACCTATTCCGCTCCTCAGAATGCCGCGCACACGCCAACGCCGTATGGTGCCCCACCAAATGTAGGAACTCCGCTAGCAGGAGCTCCAAGTCCTCCACCCCAAGGCCCTCTGCCGGCATCCCCACCTCAAGCTGCAGGACAGGGAGCACCGCAGATCCCACCAGTGGTAGTGAGTGATGCTTCAGCAGACGACTCAGCCAGACAACAGGCCACTGCACCTGCTGCAGCTAGTGCTCCCCCAAAGAACGATCGGAATGACAGAGATTTGTATGAGTAGGCTTATTGGTCAACTCGACGTAGCAGTCTTTAATGAGTCAAGAACCGTATAGCGCAGATGGCAAAGAGAAGATAGTCACAGCTTTAGCATAGATTTCCTTGAGCGTTACGCGTGCAGATACCCCAGCTCGGAGTCATTTTCTCTACTTTATCTATGAGATAGATGTAATCAACAATATAGTATGTGCATTGTTAAGACCACACGTTTCTTCTTCCGCTACCTCGTGACTTATCGGTTGTGCTTAACATCATCATCACAGGAGGCAAGAGGTGCAGAGTGATCGATTCATGGTGTATTAGATGCATTGGATTGGAAAAGTGGTATCGATTCTTGTATTCGGACCAAGGAAAGTATAAAGGGTAGCGCACGAAGGCGTGTGAAGAAACCGATCTACGCAAGCAAAGGCTATGCAAGACATCTTGTAAAAAGGAAAGAAGCATGGAAGGAAGAAAGACTCCGACATGCCTGGCTCCAGCGTCCAGACATCGAGCAAAGAAACAGGAAAGAAAGAAGTAAAGAAACAAAGCTTCTTCTCCGACAAAACATTATCGTACAACGCCATCAAATGCGTAAAGGTGTGGTATGAAGTCTTCATGTTGCCATTAGAATCCGTACTGTCGTCTAGTCGTGGTTCTTGGTCTGCGTCCACCAGAGCCGGGTCCAATGTCAATGCTCTGCAACTCCAAGCTGAGTGCCATGTCCTCGTTCTGTGCACCGTAGCCACCGCCATTCATATCGATGGGTACCTTGGCGGGAATGGGTGGAGCTGCGACACTATGCCTCTGGGTACCGCGTCTGTCATAGCTAGGACTGCTACCGTAACTGTTGGGATTGTCGCGTTCGCGGAGAACCTGTCTGTCTGGTAGGTTGTACTGCGGTGGCGTATCGTAGGCAGATACAGGACGTTGTTGGTCTCGCCTTGTAGGCCTGCTACGTGCTGTAGAACTAGGAGGCGCGTTGTGTTGACTCTGGCTTACAAGGACCAACGCACCTGCATTGACAGGTGAGTTATAATCGTTGTTGAAGTCATGTCTCGTAGTGACTAGCGCATTGCTGTTGTCAAAGTTCATGCTAGCTGCATGGCGGATGCGTTCTCTGTCAGCGCGCTCGCGCTGGTATCGTTCCTCACGTTGCATGGCGGCCTCGAGATCTCTGCTACCGTTAAGCTGCGCTCTGCTGCGAGGAGCTTTTTCCTTCACTGTGCCCTTGGGTACTGGCTCGGGTGCCCAGTTGTCGACAGGCAGATGGTCCGACGCATCGACAACGCGACCACTGAATGTGACAATCTGACCCTTGTCGTTGTACTCCATGCGGCTACCTGGTCGTTCCAGCTCGTCATCCGAAGGTATTGGAGACTTGGACATTCTGGGGTTGTAGACATCGAAACTGTCGGGATTGAATGCTACTCCAGAAAGTCTTCGTTCACTTGTGTCTTCCCTCGCGGGTGGTGGGCGAGGTGACACCGACTTGCGGGTCGGCATGCTTCGCGCAGGCATCCTAGACGAGCGATCGGTAACCGGGTTCGGAGAGTAACGATCCATATCCGGGTTGGGAGAGTAGCGGTCCATAGCCGGATTGGGAGAGTATCGCGGGTTCACACCAGGACTTGTAGCACGAGGCTTGACAATTGGAGTGGGGTCGTAAACAGGAGGTGACATCTGGCGAGGCTGTTCGGGCGGGTCATGGGGATAGTAGTCGTTGGATTGGTACGCAGAATGATGGACCAACTCCTGTGACTGGACGGGTGCCTCAAATTGTGTGATGGCCCGATACTCGGCCGGCTCAGAATAGTGGCGCAATTGCGGCGGTGTCTCATACGAAGGAGGAGCTTCGTAAGGTGGCGCTTCGATCTCTTGCCTAACCGGGTTCAGCCCAGCAATGAGACTGGTTGGCAGCGCCGGTGGTTCCTGTCGCAGTGTTTCCTGTCTTAGTGGGGACGGCACCATAGCATCACGAGATACGGGACGACTTGAGCTCTGTGTTGGCATGCGAGGGTGAGTGTACCGTCGTTCAGAAGGTTGTCGAGGTGCGTAGTTGTCGGGCTCATATTGCTGAGGCTGCATATCGTAGCTGTAGGGAAGTGAATCTCCTCTCGACCTTGATGCAAAGCTGAGTGGCGCAGGGCCGTCGTTGCGGTAACGGTCAGGGCTCTCTTGGTTAGGGTGAGGCAAGGTGCTGGCATTGCGCTTGTGCATGGGCGGCGGTGGCGGCATGTCATCCTCGTCTTCCACCATGGGCTGCATGGCACTACGTCTGCGATGCGTAGGGCTTTCGTCGTGTAGGGGCGGTGCCTCGATGAATCGCTGACCGTAGTATTGGTCGACTGGAGAAGCCTGCTCCTGAGGATGCTCGCGGCTACGACTGCTTCGCAGGGGCGCAACCTGGTATGTCGGATCTTGGTACTGGTCTTGCGCGTACGACTGAGGTGGCTGAACTGGCCGAGCTGGCTGCGGGGCCGGCTCAATCCGTTGAGGCTCATGCTGCTGGTGCTGAAGCAACTGTTGCTGGAGATACTCAATCTGCTTCTGCTGCTCTTGTAGTTTTTGCTGTTGTGCCGGGGACTCATAGGTGTGCTGCGTCGGGACCGTTGGGGCCGAGTGAGAATGTACTGGCTCGGGGTGTTGCAACGCTTGGGTTCTTGGAGATTGACCATCTTCCTGAGACATCCTCCTCTGCTCCGAGTGCCTGATGCGTTGTGGTAGAGGATCAATCGGCTTTACTTCATATGGCTTGGGGGCAGCATAGGACATATCGAAGCTCTCTTCCCTCGCCATAGGCATCCTCTGGGCCGACGAGCGTGGATTCGGAGGTGTGCTGTACGACGCATGCGGCGCGGGCCGCTGTGGGGTGATCTGGCTCGACGTAGACGCGGGGTTTAGGGAGGACGATTCTGGCACAGGCCTGCGTGAAGGTGCATCCGACTGAGTCCGGTGTGCTGGTGACGGCTCAGTTGGTGTCCGCTGGTGTCGCGGCGAGCCCAGCTCTCGTGGGCCAGCCCTGACACCCCGCAGTCCTCGTTGTTCTGGAGTATGCACGGGCGATGGTGTGGCGCCTGTCGGGTCGCTGGGGAGCGGACGTCGCTTGACGGGTGCCATCTCGCGCGCTCCACCCACAGCAGCCTTGCCTTCTGGCTTGGCTGACTCTCTCCTTTTCTGCAGTGCTGGCTTTTCGTTCTTCTCGCGGGTGTCGTAGTAGGTAATCTCCATCCGGATCTCGCCGGCGTATTTGCCCTTGCAATTGAGGCCGAGCCATTCGTCACTCTGTCCTCCGCCGGGCGTGATGACCGAGTTGAGATTGGCAAAAGCCTCGCCAATCAGCTCCGTCTTCTTGTCGTCGTTGAAGACGGAGACCTTGAGGCGGTTGTAGTCGGGCGAGTCGTGGACGGTGAAGCGCAATTCCTGGTCCCTGCATGTGTCAGCGACGGATTCGAAATATATCCAAGAGGGACGTACCATTTGGGCGTCTGGCCGCCTCGTTTGTCCGTCTTCGTCTTTTTGGCTTCCTTACCCAACCGGGCAGCGCAGTACGGGTCCTGTTTTCCCATGGTCCTCTTGTTGGGCAGATTTCGGGCGCGGTCCATGATGACAACCAGGGTGCCTATTACCGGCCCGTCGACCGTCATGTCGGAGAAGATGCCTGCTGCATGAGCTCCGCCAAAGTTGGGGAGATTCATCGCCTTGGTCGCCATGCTGCGGCAATGGCCCGGGTGAGGGACTTGGGGCGGGAAGGCGCGTCGAGCGAGAGTGGGCGGTGGGCGTGGATGGCCGCGAGTGCAGCGTCGTTGGCGGCGATAAGGCGCATTCGCTGCAATTGCAAGACGGGGGGGAGGAGGTGAAGCTGCAATGAGAGAGTGAGAGAGAGAGGCGGCGAGGCAAAACAAAAGAGCGACAGTGCAGAAGCAGAGGTTAGGCGTGGATGCAAGATGCAAGCGTGTTTTGGGGTGGATCGGGTTCGCGGGTGTTGTTCTATTCCTATGTTACGCATCCTCATGTGGCTGGCTCCAGCCTCTCCGAGCCCCCGCAGCACCAATCACACGCCCTGAGCCACCATGTGGACCGACCACGCTCTTCCCCGGTCAGATCATTAAGGCTGAAAGGGTCGTCCCTTGCAGACGCGAAGTCTCAAGTTTCTTGTTTAGCCCCATCTCGCTGCGAACGCCTGTCGCGCTATTGTTTGCACTCCTTTGGGGCTATGTCATATTCTGTGGCTGGGCCGGTCAGTCTGCTGCCATCGCCTCACTAACCGCGACACTTGCCGGCTGTAACGGGCTCTCCGGCATGTACACACACGCGTAGCACCCATCTGCAGTACGTACACTGCATCTGCTCCTTGGCCCGCTTTCGCACCCGCCTTGCGTGAGCCTGCAAGACCCCAGCTGTCCAGCTGTATCATCTTCACTCCACGCTTAACCATGCATCTCCAGACAAAACACGTCTGCTAAAATCTCACACGTTCCTGACTTGGTTATTCCATGCGCTGCCTCTCTGTGCTACTCGCAGTCCATGCGTCTATTCGATTCTTCTGTGCTAGGTTTGGCGCATGTTCCTATGGAGACGAGGCTCAGCCAGGATACCGTTGATCACCCGGCGCCAATCGTGAGATCACCCCATTGCGATCCCACAGACCCAAATCAGGTCTGCGAAAGATGGCTGGTATCACCGGATTGCGAATTGCCGCCCAACAGCAATACCCCGATTCGCCCGGCATCAAGAAAGATCCTTGAATCATCCATTTTGTGGAGATTGCGCGTGGGATTTTGTCCAAGCTTGGATGCAATACATCCTTCGAGTGACAATTGACATCCAGAAGACATCTAAGCGTGGTGAAGCTTATCTCTGCAGAGATTCCCGAGGTTCCGAATGCTCTTCAGTCGCCTTGATGTTGACATGTGATCCGCGATTGATACTGCAGCTACCCACGCATGCATTGAGTACGTTGAGAGCGTCGCGTCGCGTCATTTCTATATAAGCAAAAAGATTGTGCAGCCTCCCACGAGGCCGAGGTTATTGCTAAACGACGATGAACAGTTGGCAAAATGTAGGAAAGTCCTGAACGCGTCCATTGTGAGCGTGATGCACATGTGACGTTTCTGTCCCGTGACTGCGCGCATCCGCGTTCTCGCGACCGCATCGCGCTTGCGCTGGCTGGCTTTGGAGTTGGCAGCCTCGCCACCACGATCCTACCTCCGCCCACGATAACCACCCCCAACGTCACCTACCTGCCATATCAGGGCTGCCCGAATCGCCCATGTTACTCCCACCATGTCAACCTACACGCCCTCCCCGCACCGCTTCCTAGCACCCAATCCGCCTTCGACCCAAAAGCTGAAGAAACCTCAATCCGGTCTGCGCAACGCTCTCGCTGTACAAACGCCAGCATCCAACAAACTAGCGCAGCCAAAATCCGAGCTACCTCTTAAGAAACTGACGCCTGCGAAACGTTTTGTACTTGCGCCGCCACGACCAGCAATTGGAGTCGCCAAGGAGAAGCACGGTGAAGCACACGAGGACACATTCGCCCACTCCACGCCGCTTGCAAAGCCGCGAAGGAAATTCGAGCGGATAGAAAGCATAGAGGAACCGTCTCAATCAAGCCTGTCAGAGCAGGATGAGAATGGTGAGGCTATCATACAGTCCATTGAAGGTGGAGACACACAGCTGGGCCATTGGGTAGAACAAGAAGCAGACCGGGAAGATGAGATGCTTTTCGAATCTGTCCAAACGAATAAGCGTCGTCGCATCTCTCCAGAAAGCTCTCCTTCGCTCCAAGGACTGTCTGAACCCTCTACACCGGTACCCGTATCAAACGCAAAGACGCACCGTTTCAAAGTCCCCCCACCACATACCCCTGCGCCATTTCCTAGCATTGCAGCAGTGACGTCCATGCCAGCAGCTGCGCCGCAACGCCCGCATTTCATACTTCCCGCGCTACCTACATCGCCACCAAAGCCCTCCCGGCCGCTCCCTGAGATCTTCTCTCCTTCGCGCAAGAATGGCAAATACATACCCAACGGTCTAGCATCGACAGTGACGAGCTGGATCATAGAGACGGCAAATACTGGTTTTGCGGCGCAGGACAGGAGTGCTATGGTCTGTGGTGGTGATAAGGAGGACGGCGTTAAGCTGCGAGTAAGGGTGACTACCCTGTCGAGAGGCGGGGACCAACCGCAGGAAGATGATAGAGTGGAGTGTTATTCAGGTGGCATCGTCTTTGCACGTGGCAATACCGAGCCTGGCATGTATAATGCTTCGAGAGCAGGGAGTACAGGGGCTGAAGATAGCCCGATAAGAATCTTGCTAGCTGGTCAAGGCGGTGCTAGAGCCTCGGGAGGTGTGCTCGTCAAGACGGGGAGCGTGGTTGGTATTCGCGCACCCATGTGGGAAGTTGATGTTGGAGAGGATAGGTGGACAATGGCCGTGGACTGGGTGCTAACATGAAAGTACGGCAATGATTCTCACTTACGAAGATATGATCGACGAGTTATACCCACATATACGGCAACAGTGCGATTCTCTATTTGCAATGTCTTAGATTTGTTTTGAATTGTACAGCAGGTATATGCAAGTACCCACACGTTCGTTCCACTTCGTTCCTGACAACTTCCTGGTGTCCTTGTTTTGTTGTCACAGCGAAATAGACAGTCCTTAGGACATCGTCAAACTAATACCCCCAGCCATAATTTCTCTGTCATGGCTCTCTCAATGAGCAAAGGGGGAGCTCGTGGCATCCAAGTGTTTACACTGGGCTCTGCCGTTGTTTGTTCAGAGCTCGGGGCTCGATATTCTAGGTGCCTGTCCACTGCCGCTCTTGGAAAAAGCAATGTTCCCAACACGCTTCATGGATCGTGGGTCGTCCTCAGCATTCCAGACCTGGGCCACAAGGTCTTTAATGGTGTCTGCAAGATCTTCTTCAGAAAGATGATCGCCCTCCTCAAGGTCAGCGATGCAGTCATCAACAGGAAAGCCAGCGTACTCGATCAAGCAACGCATACTCTTAGCAAGAAAACGATCGGTTTCATAGTATGGTATTTCTTTATCAGAGGCGATCTCGTTGCTGGAGCTCTCACGACTGCAATGACGCTTTCGCTCGGACATACGTATGGCAACTACTCGTTCCGTCAGTACGTCGATGGCCAGGCAGGTGTACGACACCTACCGCTCACGCCAGCTCTTCTCTTAACCGCGGAGCTCTGTGGCGTTCCGAGTACACCAGGCTCACCAGTGATCTTGATGACACCAGCTTTCTCAAGGGCCAGGAAGACATCATTCACGAGACCGCGCCGAAACCGCATCGCCTGAGTGAAGTCATGACCAAGCTGGATGAAATCAGGCCATTCGTAGTCGTCATGAGCCTCATGCCAATTGAGTACGTTAAGCACACCAAGGCGACCAGCATCAGGCGTGGTGTACGAGACTGGCGCGTCGTTCGAACAAGAAAACTTCAGTGAAGCGGTGACCATGTGGAGAGCCCAATCCGCTGCAGTTGTTAGGCAAAATCCTTTGGAATTATAGAATGGATGCCATGGCAGGTGCAGTCGAGCCCTGGGGGTGGGTGCTCACCTGGTTTGGTGAACCGCGCGCCATCTTGCGTTGCGGAGGTGATGTTCGCCATTCTCCAGTAGCGAGCGCGAAGACGGAGGCGAGATGGATGAGAGGCTCTGCAATGCGGCGTCGAGTGGAGATGTGAGAATCGATGTGGACAGAGGCCTGTCGCCATTTGCACCTTCCCATTTCAAGCAGCGTAAATCATGGGCTTGCGTCGTAGGAGTGACTAGGAAAGAGGGATGAAAACAAGTGAGATAACACTGAATTTTCCAGCTGCACCTCTGTAAAATAGGGTGCAGGACGTCAACTGTGATCAAAGTGTTGCCTGAGTGCCTTTGCAGTGCTTGGCCACATATTGCACTAGAACCATGGTTTGCTCTATCTATATCAATTTTCGCGCCAGATAACGCCTGGAAAACCAACAGGCCTGTAAGGCGGGACAGCTCAGAAATTTTCGACACCTGCTTCATATTTCCAGTATCTCTTGCTCTGCCTCCGTCTTCTCCTATGATGTCTTCGAAATGACTTCGTATCCACCTTCACATGCTTCACTGCACTAAATACATAACGCCAAGGCGAACGCCATGTCTTCCAACATCACTCCATGCTGGGCATGTTCTCACCCCAATCCAGAACGCCAAGCAAAATGTCTGGTCTGCTCTCCATCCTCCTCATCGTCATCGTCACCGAGAACACATCTGCTCCGGCCAAACACAACAAAAGCACGTTGGACCCTACCCGCTATCAGTGCCACAAAATTACGAAAAGTATGGCAACGCTACGGCTCCGAGAGAAGCCCAGAATGGGGGGAAGCGCTCGACTTGATAAGAACACTCAACCCAACAAGACGTTGCACATCGCCGCTGAGAGTAGACGCATTCCTCGCAGAACAAAGCCCTCAGATTATCTTGTTGCAAGATAGCGACTATTTCGAAAGGACCCCTGCTATAACTCTCACTTCTGCTTCGTCAACCTCAGTGCCAACTATGAACCTCACTACTTGGCACACATTTGCGCAGAGCGAGTGGTCGACAACTGATGTTCATGTCACAACGACGCAGAGTGAGAAGAAGAAGCATAGAGGAAACAAGATAGATTGTGGGATTTGCAGAGAAGACGTAGAGGTCAATCGGAAGTGGCTTGAGGTCATGGAGGTGGGTATGACGGTCGAGACAAAAGATAAGGCGGAGATGCTCGAGCAAGATGACCATTGTGAGTTTGGAACGATGATGAAAGGCTTGTGTTTGCAAGCCTCCAAACCGTTTCGAGACATCGTCATGTCAGACAGCTGGGCCGACGTGAACACGTGATAAAAAAGAGTGCTAGACACTCCGGGCTGTTCCTAGGTAGCGAAGATCGCTTCTAGTGAGCATCGAAATGATTCTCTGATCCAAAGTAAGCTACACACGTGATCTGACTTCGTTTCTATATGCCTGCTTACATGAGCGCATCTGACGACATGCTCGTCTGCAGCATAGGTAATCTACTCATCTATGTTGATTGGGGCGTGCAGCACCGAACTGCGAACACGTACTGACAATAGATTCGCCTGCTACCTTGGGTAATCTTCCTCATCCTCTTCGCCTTTTCGAAAATCCTCGATAGCCGCTGCATAATCGATTCCACCTATCGTCGGTTGGATGCACGTCACCAATGCTCTAGGTCGTAGATTGGACGTGGCGAGGAAGTCTAGTCGCAGCATCGCGATCTGGAGCAGCGACTAGAGTCGACGTCACCGGATGCCCCTCCACGCCGCAATGCTTTTGCTTTGTTGTACCAAGGATTTTGGTGGTGGGGTCACGATGGTGTCTTCTTTGTGAGCGTCCCACGTCGCCAGGTACGACTTGAGTCGGGTCGGCCCTCATGAGTTAGTCGCTTAGTGCTCCCCGGGCCCCATGTGCGTGCCACGCCACGTCACTCAATCCATCAACCACCTCACTTTTTCCCTCTTTGCCATGACTCTCCCATACGTGCCCATGCATGCCCCTGCAGCGCCGGCCCTCCCTTGGGTGTCGAGAAGGTTGTTAGAAGGGCAGACCTTGCTAATTGATGCTTTGCCGCACTTTACGCTCTCAGGCCTTCCGGTGCCGGAAATTTGGCCGTTGAACCCAACGCTGCACCACGATCCACGCTGGCGACACAACTGCAAGCTAAAGCGCCATCGAGCCAATAATCGAAAAGCCATCGCAGCGAAAACCCCACCTTCCGGGCTTCCAACTCTATCAACCTGAACGAACTGCGTTTCCCTACGTGGACCAATTAGACATACAGGCCAAACTCGCCTTCTCAGCGTGAGCCTGTGGAAGCATGCGCGCATGCCAATCCGAGGCTTACCGAACCATTGCGCCCACAATGCGAGGCATCTCCTTACGATTTCTCGCATCATGTCTTGTGACAGTTGTCCTGCACCTCTCTTTCGTCTGATCTCAGTGCTGCGTCCAGCTTTGGCCGATTGAAGCCACGCACGTTGCATACCTCCACCCTCTGTGCTTTCCGTCTAGACTGATCCGTTTCTCATTCGTCTCTCCGCAATCAATGCTCGCACCCCACGTCTCATGTCGCCATTGCATGCCTACCTTTTGTTGTCATCAGCTATGGAACGAAGAAAACATCTATAGCGTGTAGCACAACTTATCGAACATCTGGTTTCAAAACACCGCATTGACTTTGTTTGATCCACCATGCGCCAGTTCGACAATGTCTCGATATCGCCATGGGCGAACCCATACGCCGGCCCCAACACAAACACCGGCAAGAACTTCTATGCTACCGCGCCCCAACCACCGGCTCAACCTCTCTATCGCCGGGTGGTTGCGCCTCCTCCAAAATTCTCTTATACGGGCGTTGCACATGTAATTGATGATAAGCGCACCGATGACGATCAAGCAGGTATGCTTGGAATACGTTATGTCTAACATGTCCAATTGACCATTGTAGAACCAGGAATCGCCTCGACAGCACCAGATGCTTCAGATTTACCACCTGTGGCAGAAGCCACGCTAGCAGAGGCCGCACCTCCAGCCATACCAGAAGTACCTCCCCCAGGAGAACCTTCGATAACAACAGATACACCTGTAGCAACAGTCCCAGCAGAAACTATACCCGAAGACCCACCGACACAACAAGCAGAGGCTGCCTCCAGTAGTGGGGACGATGTTGTGGCAGCCGAAGTTGTGACTGAGGATGTTAAAGATGAACCTCCGGGATCAAGCGATGCCACGAGCGTTGAAGTATCACCGCCTCCACCAGCTTCGCCAGTACCGGTAATAGGGCTGCCGACATCAGAGGTTTTGCCAGTACCCCCTAGTGAGCCCGTGCCTCCTCCGCCGCCAGCACCACCAGCGGATGCAACACCTGAGCCTGTAGTCGCTGAGAGTGAGAAGAGTGGTGAGTCCGAGCAGGCCGCTCAAGAGCCCCCGAAATCCCCAACTGAGAAGTTTGTCCATTTTGCCTCTGACACCAAAGACCCAGACGCCGCAAGTATTGGCAAGAAGAAGAAGTATGGTAAAGGCAAGCCCACCGCGTTTGTTCGTCCCAGAAAGCCATCGAAATCCGTTCCCCTTGCGTCGCCGCCGAAGGACGGAAAGAAGAATGCTATGGTTCCAATCAGCATCATGAAAAAGGAGCGAAGTGGTTCAATGTTCTCAGCGTTCACTAGTGAGAAGTTGATGAAGGGGGATATGAGGAAGTCAGGAGGAAAGAGAGGCAGTGATGACGGTAGTATATCACCAAGTGACGACGGGTCGGTCGTGATCATCGACGGAGATGCATCCCCTTCGGTCGTCTCCGAAAGCGTTATCATCGAGGAACCTACCGAAGCCGCTTCAGAATCGATCGTAATCGAGGCCGTACCGCCGCCACCACCGCCGAACGATACTCCAACTGTAGAAGACGAGGTTGCTGTTGGTGAGGATACTGTGGAGGCACAGCATGAAGCAGCAGTCACAGACAGCCCTACCACCGAAGGCAACGAGCCTGTCGTTGCCGAGTCCCCTACTGAAGCCGTAGCAGAGGAGACTACCGCAAATGATCCTGTAATCGAAGACACCCCTGCCTTTTCGGACGAGCCGACAGCAGATGCGGGTTCCGAAGGACCTGCTGCGACACCAGAGCCGCCGGTGGAAGGTTCAAGTACTATGAGTGAGGATACAAAGCCACCCGTCGAAGCGGAACCTGAAAAAGAACAAGCTTCGGCAGACGGTGTAGATGTGGTTGAGCCCAAGGTGGCCTCTTCAGACGAAGAGCAACCAGTCGAAGCGGAGAGCCCTGCTGAAGCGGCACCGGCACCAGCACCGGCGGAGGACTCAGTTGTGGGCGAGGCTGCTAGTGAGTTAGCAGTGGAAGACACGACTACCGTTGGGGAATCGACTGCAATCGAAGTACTACCCTCTGCTGTAGAAGAGGCACCCGCTGTCGAGGAACAACCTCCTGCTCCTGAAGAAGCTCCGGTGATCAACGATCCGCCAATCACCGAGGAGACTTCTGCTGTTGGAGAGGTGGAAACATCCACAGCTGAAGAGACACCCAGTGGCGAAGTAGCATCATCTGGTGAAGAACCGACCTCTGCGGACATACAAACATCGGCTGAAGAGGTACCCGCGGCGGACGAGACAGTTGTTTCTCCAGAATCGGCTGACAATGAGGAACAATCTGCTCCTGGAGATACTCCAGTCACTGAAGTCACCCCTGTTACTGAAGAGCCATCCTCGGCCGAAGCATCGCCTGCGAGTGAAGCGGCACCGGTTGCTGAGGAGACAATTGCCGCCGTTGAAGAGGCTCCTCAGGCTGATAGTACTTCTGATGCTTCAGACACGCCCGCTACTGGAGAGACTTCTTCTACAGACAATCCCACCGCTGACGATACCCCGCCTACTGAAGAACTACCGGTACCCGAAGAAGTCTCAGCTGTGGATGGCACACCTACTGCCGAAGAAGCATCTGCAGGCGAAGAAGCACCAAAGGCTGAAGACGCCATCGTTGTCGACGAGGTACCTGTTACAGAAGAGATGCCAGCCAGTGAGGCCACTACTGTCACTGAAGCGGTAACTACGTCTGATGAATCGCCAGCTGCTGGTGAACCAGTCGCTGTTGAGGAGACACCTGCTGTGGAGGAGACACCTGCTGTCGAGGAGACGCCGGCTCTTGATGAATCACCCGCTGCTGAGAAGACACCTGCTGTTGAGGATATACTTGTTGTTGAGGAAATACTAGCTGCTCAGGGAGCGTTAGTTGCTGAGATAGCAGAAGATGCCGCCGCGTCAAACCCAGAACCGGATGCTGCTCAAGAACAGTCCCTACTCGAAGGGAACGAAGATGTCGAACCATCTCCTATCGCAGATCAGGAGGCTCCAGTCGAGACCTTACTGGTTGAAGAACATGCAGATGTTGCGTCCCGAAGTACTCCGAACGAAAAGGAATCTCAAGGATCTGAATCTTCAGCTGTCGAAGATGCCGTCTCCGAGCCTCCCGTTTCTGAAGAAGTTCCAGAGCCCGAGACAGTTACGTCCAGCGACCCGCCATCGACTGAGAACGACGATAAGATTGAAGACACAGATGCTGGAGAAGTAGGAAATGCTGAGTCAGTGGTGGCTGTAGCTGAGTCAGATAACTTGAGCGCTGAGATTACGGGTGAGTCCACTTTCGGTTCACCATTGGATTGCAGGCAACACGGAGCTGCATGTCTTTGTTATCAATGCTGATAATATAACAGAGGAGTTACAAGCCGATAGCACGATCGAAGATCCAGTCGCAGTGGACGCCAGCGAACCTATCCCGGCCGAGAACGCTAGCGACACAACATCTGGTGAAGGCAACAGTGAGCCTAATACTGTGCAGGATGAAGGCAAGGTGCCTACGGAAGAACCGGAGGCTACAACTGTCCCTGAAGAAGCAGACCCAACAAGTGCTTCTCCGCCGACTGACGACGACTTGGCGACAGCTCCTCCCGAGAACACCCAAGCGACTGAAGTCGTGGCTGATGTAACACACGACGAGTCTATTGTACCGACAGAAAGCGTCGCCGATATGGGAGATGCCAACAATGAGCCGAGTGAAGAGGCGATCATCGCGCCCATCGAAGTCGTGACAGCGGAGACTGAAGCAAACGGTGAAGATGTGGAGGCCACAGAGACTATGCAAGACATTTCCGATTGGGAAAAAGACGAAGATAACGTCAGCGACCTAGAGATATCTGACTGGGAAAAAGACGATGCCGATGCTTCATCGCAGGCTGGTGAGAGTGAGACCAACCCTTCCGAGCACCAAGACTACGAAGACGACCGCATCGCGCAAGAAGCATCTGAACCTACGCCAGAGACAGAGAAGCCATCAGATCAGCAAGAGCGCGAGGCTGTGGAGCAGGTCCAGCAGATCGACACTGAAGCCTCTGTTCCGCCCATCGATGTCGCCGTCGAGGACGATGCAGTCCCCACTGGAGTCACAGAGGCAGAACAGACTGTCGAAGACACATCCACGACTCGTGAACCAGAGGTGTCAGAGCAAAATGATGTTACGCAACAAACCGAAGACCAGACAAAGGACGAGGAGCCCTCATCCTCTGACCCTGCGGCAGAGCCTCCTGAGCCACCAGAGACGATCACTCCAGCTGATACAGCCGCAGCTGATCAAAAACCAATTTCAGTCGAAATTGACACGCCCAATCAAGACGATATTGAAGATGCGAAGTCGACTACGGGTGTCGAGGATGTCATTGGCACAACTGAGGATGTGTCTGCACCAACAGAACCCCACTCAGATCTTAGCCAGCCAGATGCATCAGAGGAGAACAACATCACCGATTCAAGCACAGACGCACAGGAGGATGCGACTGCACATGAATCGCCAGCCGATGATCTGGAGCCAGCGGTGAACGACGAGGCTGCCAAGGACAGCGAGCAAGCCATAGTCTCGGCTGCACCCGATGACGTGGAGAATCCAGACGCATGCACAGGTACGTATATGCTATGTTTTTTGTGTTTCACATCTTTATGTCGTATGCACTTCTTTTCGCTGGCTCAATTACGCACGTTTCCACGATAGCGCGCCCTTGGGCGGCGAATCGGGCTAGCGAGCAGCGGTGGGAATACCCCATTGGACGCCCCATATTTTCGTCTGGCCCACCTGCCAGCACATTCTGCGGACTTTCTGCCACCGCTGCGACTAGCTTATCGTCACGTGGAAGCCTGTCTGTCGCCATCAAATTCGGGCTGCGACACATGCGTCGCAATTTGTCGACGTCCCAAGATGCGTGGTTTTGCTCCGCGCTAGCCCTGCCGCTTGTGATTTGGCTCCCGACATCCCCGTCACATCTGAATCTCAACTTCTTTTTTTTCTGTTATTGTACTTCTACTTGCACACCATCGACATTTCTCTCCTCTCAAAAGTGGCCATGCACCACAGCGGCTGACCCGGTGTAGCCGAGACTGAAGCAGCCCTACCCAACCTCGACGACACCCCGGACGAATCATGCGCAAGCATCCCAGCTGACGCGACCAGCGAAGTCAGCCCAGACCCTGTCTCAAAAGAGGCTGACGTTGATACGCCCATTGAACAACTCGCGGTTGAAGAGAGTCACACTGAAAACGCCGTGGGCGATCCATCTGTTGTTCAAGTTATTCCCGAAGAGACCGACCATGATGTTGTAGCGAACATTGCGCTAGCAGAAGCCGAGCACGACTCTGCACCAGACATGCCGGCCAAGAAAGCACCGGAAGTGGTACGTACGGGGATGCGATTGATTTTGAATTGTCATACGCAAAACTTTGTTCAGTCTTTGATGATGTATACTAACCACTTATAGGTTCCCGAGGACGTTGGGTCTGAGGAACCTCAACCTTCGGAGGTTTCCGTTGACTCTAACACCGGGCCATCGCCGGATGATGAGTCAGCAAAAGAGCAGGATTCTGATGCGGGAAGTGAGTCTGGGTCTGAGTCCGAAGATGATGACTGGTCAGGGTCGGAGGCATCTGCTGCGCCTTCTGCATCTGAAGTTCCACAGGTCGACGACACGCCTGACTCGGCACCCGCTCAAGATGAAACAACCAATGCCGAAGATGCTCCGCCGAGTGAAGACGCTGCCGTCGCTGCTGTAGAGCCTGACGCTGCGGCGGAGGATCATCAGTCAATCGTCGACGATGGCGCTGGTTCGGATGACGACTCTGCTTCTGAGCTTTCCTCAAAGGCCCAAGAAGAGGAACAGAGCTCTGTGTCGGTAGAGGAGGCTGCCAATCCCGATGACGAAGAAGTTGCCGAGAGCCCAGAGTCACCAGTAGAGTCCGCCCCAGTCGCGGATACGCACCCAGGGTTATCGCTCGAAGTCAATGTCGCAACGTCTGAGATCGTCCCGGAGGCAGAGGCTCCTACATCAGAGGTCGATGATCCATCTGCTCCCGCTCTCGAACCAGTTTCGGAGGAGGAGCAAGCAGGCGACGAGGATGACGCCAGTGCTGCCACCCAGGACGATTCTGCCAACGACGACTCTCTAGTATCAACAGAAGGCTCCGCCGAGCCTGAAGAAGAGGCGCCCGCAGTTGTGGAAGTGCCCGAACCGGCCGACGAACCCAAGGGTGAAGAAGAGGCGCCCGAGGAAGATGAGGCTGATGATGTCTCTCTGGTGAGCGAATCCGACAGCGAGAGCGAGGCTGGAGAGTCTGTCTTGCCACCGGAAGACGATGTAGAGGCTGATATCGACGCTACTCAAACTTCAATTGACTCGGAAGAGGTAGACGCTGGCGTACCAGAAGCCGAGCAAACAGTGATCGACGAGGTCGCTGATGCTGAGCCGCAAGCATCTGAAGCGGGGGATGTACCTGTGATTGAGCAAGAGGCGGAACAGCCCACTGAACCAGAAACGACAGAATCAGTCGCAGCGGAACCTGATGCGGAGCTAGTTGAGCCAGAGGCTGGCGTGAACGAGATTGACGAGGCGTTGGCCGACGAGGTGGACGAGGCGCAAGAACTGGCGGCGACACCAGTTGAGGCCCCTGGAGAGGAGCCTGACATAGCCAAAGAGGACGAAGCCGCCGAACCTGCACCTCTAGAGGAATCAGATGATGGTCAGCCTTCATCTCCTGTTGAAGACGCACCAGATTCACTTGCTGAAGAGGCCAATTCAAATGATGGCTCCGAAGCTGCAGAGGAAGATGATGAACCTTCAGCGGTTGACGTGAGCGAAGAGAAGGATGACCAGCCGGAGGAAGCCCCGTCCGCACCGGAGCCAACACCAGCAGAAGATACACCGCCTGAAGAGGCTGCTGCAGAGGCGGTAGAGGCACCTGTGGAGCCCGCTGAACCAGTAATCGAAGAAGCCGTTGTAGAAGAAGCTGCCGCAGTCGTCCAAGACCCACCTTCCGAAGCAGAGTCAGAACAAGCAGCCGAAGAACCCCAACAGGACGAAGAGCCGGTACCTGCGCCTTCCTCTGAGCCCGAGGAAGAAGAGCCACAGGCACCACCCGAGGAAGCCCCTGTTGAAGATCAGCCCGAACCCGAGGAGCCAGCTACTGCTGAAGAGCTCGAGCCACCAGCTGAAGCAGCTCCAGAGGAACCCGAGGAGCCAGCTGAGGCGGTATTGGCTCCAGAGCCAACCCCAGAAACTGAGGAACCCGCTGAACCAGCGGCGGAGCCAGAAGCCGAGCAAATTGTGGAGGACGGTGCCAAGGAGGTCTCGGTACCAGACCCAGAAGTGGAGACGGAAGAAGTCGTAGCGGAAGTGGCCAATGAAGATATTCCTGAACCTCAACCAGCCGACGATGCCACGGCGGAGAGGTCCCTCTATGTTGGTGAAAGTCCGAGCAGAACTCCACCGCCACCACCACTACCTGCTGTCGTTGCCGCGTTGGTTGACAACAGCACTGATGACCATATGGTCAGGGAGCGCGATTTCGCAGTCGAAGATGAACCGTCTGCCGACACTCCCAGTCGGGAGAAGACTCGTCGTCGATATTCGCACTCCCGTCGCGAGAGCCAGCATCAGTCCAGCCGTAGGCGAGAAAGCGGTGCTAGCACCAGGGAGCGGCCAATAATGCCATCTTCGGCTGTTCCTGATGCGCCAAGGACAAGACGGCGCGATAGCATGACTGAGCGCGAAGCTGAGCGAAGAAGGGAAAGACTTCGCGAGGCTGAGAAGCCTAGTAGTGGCAGCGACAGAGAGAAGGCCTATGAGAAGGCCTACCCCGAATACCGCTCACGCCACCGAGAAACTAGGGGTGAAGAGAGATACAGCAAACGTCAACCCGCCGAGGAAGTTGACGAAGAAGCTGAAAGACAAAAGCGACGTGAATTACGACGGGCCGAGAGAGCTGAAAGAGAGCGTCTCGCTGCAGCAGACGCTGCCCGCCTGAAGGCTGAGGAAGAAGCAAGAAAGTTGGAGCATCGTGAAAGACGTCGTGCAGTTAGGCGTGCCGAAGAGGAGCTTATGAGGGCAATGGAGGAACGTAAGAAGCTTAAAGAGGAGAAAAGGCTTGCGATGGAAGAAGAGGAGAGACGTCTTCGACATGAGAAGAGACGGCAGCGGCACGAGGCCGAAAAGGAGGCAAGACGCTTGGAGCAGGAAAAGATTGAGCAGGCTGCGCGTGAAGAAGAGGAGGCGAGGAGGCTACGGCGGCAAAAGAGGGCGGAACGAGAAGCAGCCAAAGCGGCTGGTTTGAAGCCAAAGGAAGAGTTGGTTGAACTTTCTCGCGATGCTGCCAGACGAGCAGCAGAGGAAGACGACGACAACGCCTCCCCTCCCCCTCCATTGCCACCCGTAGGCGACGAAACACCACCTCGTAGCGCGCCGCGCCGACGCTTGAGTACTCGAGAGACTCCACCAAACGTGAAGCGCGGCAGTCTTTTCGGTGGCATCTTTGGTCGCTCAAAGCCTGATCCTACTCCGCCTAGCTCGAAACCATCCGGATCAACTCGCGCCCGTGCGAACACGCTGGAGACGACGCCTGTCAAGCCATCGCGAAGAGAACCTGAAGCCGAACGACCCTCAAGCAGAGATCAATCGTCAGACCAGAGCCGAGAGCGTCCCGAGCGCATGCACCGCAGTCGGCGTCACTCACACAGTCAACGTCGCTTCGCTTCTGCTGAGGAGGAAGCTGACTACTACAAATGGAAAGAAGAGCGACGTTATATGCGCCGTCCCGAACATGAAATGTCTGGTGGACGAGATGGAGGGGTTTCCCTTCCGCCGCCGCCTCCGCCGCCTGAGGATCTACCTCCCCCACCACCAGAGCCTTTCGAATATGAGCCAGAGCCAGAGCCCGAATCGTTTGAGCAGGCTGAATCGCCCGTGATCGAGGACGCAGCTGCCGTCGTCGGTGAAATCTCAATCTCAGACGAGGAAAGACGCGAGCGCCGTCGAAGCAGGCGTATGTCGAAACCGGAAGAACGCCCCAAGGCACGCCGTATTTCAGTCGTCGAGAAAGAGAGGCCATCGGGTCGTCGAGTAGAATCTGATCGGCCCCGCGCTCGAGATTATGGCGATGACCGGCCAAGACCGAGACGTGGTGAGACGGACCGACGTGACAGGAGGAAGAAGAAGGAAGAGTCAAGCGGCCTTAAGGGGCTGTTTGGAGGTTTGAAGAGGAGAATTACGTGAGTTTGCAGTACACAGTCGAGCCACTATTGGATAGGTCCTTCTTGGGACAGACATCAGGCGTTTTGGATTGGGCGGAATTGTTCTATACCATTGACGGATCTCGTTTCATCTTAATCAACAGGGCGTCGGCGTTAGGTATAAGCATAAGATGGGTGGGCATCTGTACGAGTATGTCTGTATGTCCTTTTCTATTAGATCGATCGACAGACCTCGCGAGAGGCACTTAGTTATTATATACGACTCGCTTAAGCGGTAACACTATACGTATCATCATTCACTAGTACGGGATGAATACCTGCCATTCTTGTGTGTGAACTGTGTTTGACAAATTTTCACGCCGAAGAGATTTGCCGTCGCTTCCTTATTCGAGAGGCATGCTTGTGATCTACTGGAGCCAGTTGTGATGAAGCCGCTAAGGACAGTCCGTGAACAGTGGATGCACGGCACTAGAAACTTCAGGAGCGGCAATGACTTTCCCTAGTATTGAGCCCAAGACCATGGAACTCGCGGCAAGGATTGTGGTGATCTAGAAAAAGGCATTATTACGGGCTGACAGCGTGAATGTTATGCTTCACAGCTCAAGCCGATTCCTCATTCGTCATCTACATCTCGCATGTCTTGTCGTTAACACTTGTATCAGTCCTTCTACCATCCAACATGCCACACAACATAGTTGAGATAGATTTGCGAGGACAAAAGAGCGGTTTGCTACCAATCGCGCGGGTTGTCGCACTCCTTGAATCAATTGTATCGGTTTCCACTCGACGACTCGGTGACTTTGCACAAATGGGCTTCAGTCAGGGTGTGAAGCAGCAATGATTCAAGTGTTGAGTTAAACACTTCAATAAGTCGATAGTACTACGCTCTAGTGCGTGGCCGTGATGTTTCCAAGTAGGTCGAACAAGCCCTTATGGCGGCACTGGTGTTGACCCTTGCTGACACGGGACGCGGCGTTCGATGCATTCCAGCCGTGATGCACGATCCAGCTGGCGTGCAGGGGTGTAGTGCAATTATCTCAACCCGTGGACACAAGAGCACCTGCAGCACCAAGCCGCTATGGAAGAACACAAGATGAAGCCGGGATCCTTCTCGATAAAGCAGCCCATCCGTGTAGGATTAAAGATCTGAAATATCAACCATGACATAAGGAAAGCAGGTTATCAGGGCCCTCCCTTCAGCAATCGCAACATCTGCACCTACACATGAAGTCCTCCATCCACGTGTACTGCGTGTTGGCGCTGAAAGTCGTACTCACAGCTTATCAAGCCCATAGGCCTGTCGCTGGTACTGGGATCCTTCGGATGCTCGCTTAGCAGTGGGCCTCCTTTCTTCAGCAACATTCTGCGCATTACGAGAGTTGTCCTTCCAGGGCAAGCAAAGAGCACGTCAGAGGACCACTAAAGTCCTCATGTACAACTCGACCAGCCTTCTATAACCAAGAGTATTGAATCATATTTATTGATGTAGAAACATTTAGAAGACCAGAGATCGCAAGTTGCAGATCGTATCTGCAGACCCTTCGCATGAGAACATGAGTTTCGCAGATCATACCCACCGGCCCAGCCTACTCGGACATGCCATAAACGGGTCTTGCACCGGACAACATATGTCCCATCCACCGGGTCTAATGCTGGCAAAAGCCAAACCTCCTCAGCTATATGTAGAAACGTAGTTGCGGCCTTTTAACTGGAAGTGTTCGATCCCCGTCCCCGCATGCGTAGACCTTCGCGATGCTCTTTGCGCGATGTGGGCAGCCGAGCATATTAAATGGCACCTCCCCGCGATAAAAGAAGTCCTTGTCGCTCAGCCAAGTGTTTAGGGTTTTTTTCGGCTGCCTCCTCCTTACTGGTTCTACATCAACCTCAATATGCGTTTCCATGACTTCCCAACCGCAGTTCTGGCGTTGGCCGGTACCATCCAATCCCTGGTGATCGAGAAGAGGGACTTGCTTTCGGATCTCCAGAACCGGGCCCTTGAGAATCTGAAGGCTGCAGAGAAAAATGGTACACTTGAGAGGATAGGAGAGTGCTCTATTTCTACCGCGACAGTTCGCAAAGACTGGTAAAGGTTTTGATACATTTGAGTACGTGAGAAGACTAAAATATCCCCAGGGCTTTCATGAGCGTAAACGAGCGAAAAGCATATATCAGTGCTGTACAGTGCATGTACAACGCTCCATCCCAATCCGATTCGGCCCTAGTACCTGGCGCCAGGACCCGCTACGATGACTTTGTTGCACAACACATCAACCAGACCACAACAATCCACGGAACTGGTAACTTTTTAAGCTGGCACCGGTAGGTCGTGGCTGTCCAAATCGCATATGAGATGCATAACTGATGTCACGCCTCCACATCTGCAGGTACTTTGTGTACGGTTACGAGAAGGCATTGAGAGACGAGTGCGGATACAATGGCTCCCAGCCTTACTGGAACTGGTTTAGCCATACAGAAGACCTCACTAAGCACCCTGTCTTCGACGGCACTGCGACGAGCATGGGTGGAGACGGTTTATATGTAAAGCACAACGGAAGTGCGGGTGGCAAAGGCACAATTGCGCTACCTTCCGGCGCAGGAGGTGGTTGCATCAAGGACGGTCCATTCAAGAAGTAAGTGCAAGATCTCCTCGAAGGGATTTCACTTGCAAATTTCTAACAAAGATCAGCCTTCAAATCAATCTTGGTCCTATCTCTCCATCAATGGCCGGAGAGACTGCATCATCATCGCCACTTGCCTGGAACCCACGCTGCGCAAAAAGGGATCTTACCTCCTACGCATCTTCTACTTGGTTAACCTTTGACAACCTCTACAACGTCACCCTTGGGGCAGCCTCCGAGAATATCGGTCTTTTTCAAGATGAACTTCAGGGGCGCTTTCCTGACGGCTTTCTCGGCATGCATGCCGCAGGACATTTCTCCATTGGCGGTGATGGCGGTGATGTCTTCAGCAGCCCCAACGATCCTGCTTTTTTCCTACATCACGCTATGGTCGACCGTGTATGGTGGTAAGTTGCGACTGCACGACATGTATGTGAGACAAAGACTGACTTCGTACCTCTACATCTACAGGCTTTGGCAGGCGCTGCACCTCAACCAGGCCAAGTCCATTGCTGGCACGATTACCATCTTCAACCAGCCACCTAGCCGAGATGCCAGGCTTGATGACCCTATCCAGATGAACTACCTTAATATGCCAATCATAACCAATGAGGAGATGATGAGCACACTAGATGGAGAACCGTTATGTTACATCTATGCGTAGAGGACATGTAGTGTGTGTTACTCTTAGTAGTGAACAAAACCCCGACATCAAATAGTGTGAGATGTTTCAAAAGCTGTGTTACTTGATGATTTCAAAAGAAAGGCACTATATCTGTGTTTAAGAATATACAACGGTTTGACGACCCTTTGCTTGGCCTTAACTGCGTTCCCAGCTTGTGCATTGCCACCATGACCAACATCTTTCTTCGATCAAACTACATTTTACTGGTGGCTCACTTCGTCTTATATGGAAGTACCAATGTCTCATAAAGTATCAAGCGCCAGCGAAGCGAGGATACATGGCCACATCAGCACGCAGGAAGCCGAGCGAGCCCGAAAGCGTCACGGCCAGAATCGTGGGCGCAACGCGCGACGGTACAGGTGCGTTCGCTCGCGCAGGACCAATGAAATTGCAACGCGTGTCTAGCAAACTCAAAGAATGGGAGCCTGAAGACTGAGGTTCACAGTAGGCATCGGAACAGGGTTCGGACCAGATCCGTGGTCCAAGAATACATGAAGGACGGCCCAACCTAGCACGCGAAGCTAAGGCACGTCACGACGCGCATCTCGACACTAAAGCTACTGCAGAATAAGCTTTTTGTGTTAACCTAGAAGAAATCGGCCTAGGAGCTCGTCTGGATAGAACGGATGTACCCACCAGTGAAAATGCTGTGATACATTTAGCACGCACCTGCCCAAATCTCAAGCATCTTCGTCTGGAACCTGATGTTCCTATCCCAGAATCTTGCGTCCCACCCATCTTTGTGGTATAACCAAAGATCTTATTGCTTAGCGTCGGCGGCCAAAATCGTCGCACTGACAACTTAAACCCAACTGATCTTATGCCCTTGGCCGACGATCCGGTGATCTCCGTCCGCACGCCCAAACTCAAGGATCTAGACTTGCGTCACGCAAACCAATTTCTGGGAAGTTATGAGAACCGTTACCGGATAGCTGGGTAGGAAGAATCCGCTGTATGTGCATTTCCGGTATCATAACGTGCATTAGGAGGAGATTTTCAAGTCCGGCAGGGAGGAGAAACAGAGGATGACTGAAGCCCAGAGGGTACAGGTGGTGCCCCAAGCAGCCTTATGTTTCTAGCATGTGACTCGGGTGATAGTGGTATTCCAAATACGGAGCGAGCGGAGTATAATTATACACAGTGATATTTTTTTTTGATGTTAGATCATACTCACTTTGAGCTATTCGAGATCAACTTTACAAATTGATTGAGTTACATGGTTGTGTAACACTTGGATGGAAGATGAGAAGATGAGTGGTCGTGAACCTATGGTTGATGAATTGATGGAATACTAAAGTAATCCTACTAGCACCTTACGTGTACGCGCTAGTCAGCAGTCATTGCCATCCTAGGTCCCATCATTCACGCAGGAATAATATCGGCCACGCTCCTCCAGAAGTCGCATCTCATGCCGCGTCCATCCTCCCACGTGTATGCATTGACAAGTGTAAAGTTATTCATGAGACCTGGTCCGGTGAAGTAAGTCGTGTTGACCGGTGAGTTGACATTCAGCGAACCAATTGCCATCTCACCACCTGTCTGGTTGAGATCGAGCTGGTACGGTTCGGCGACCGAGAAGGCTGGCCATTGAGTTGCGGCTGTGCTATCTGCAGTATTGTTGGACGAAGTAGAGCCAGCTGCTACGGAAGCTGATATTGATGGGTTGCCTTGAGTGATAAAATTTCCCCAGATGTTCATGAATGCGCGCTGGAAGTCGGCGCTTAGATATGGCACTGAGCCTAGCTGTCCGAAGTATCCTTGTACGTCCGCACCATGGGTGGCTGGGAGAGGGCTGAATTGGTACTTGTATGATGTACGATTGTTGCCAGTGTATGCTTCTGCCATCCAGTATGACGGGCATACGAAAGTCAGTTCAGCGTAAAGGTTGTTAGCACGCTGCTGCTGTCCTGTAGCAAGCGAACTTTGATCGAGCGCACTAGGTCCAGTGACACCATTCGTCGCAAACTCATCAGCACTAGAATCGTTCGCAGCGTTGCTGATTGGGTAGTAGCGCAGCACCTTTGCGATGTCAGAGTCGGTGAATTCGGGCAAGTTGTTGCGAAGCCAGGTGAGGAAGTCGTCTTCGGAGGTGATGTCTTGAGGTACGAATAAAGGCCCCTCGTTAGCATTGTTTCCGATCAATGCATTTCGCCCATTCACGCGGTTTTCAAGCAGCTGGCTGCTGGGCTCATCCTGAACGAAGATATCGTCGGTCACTGGCAAGAAAGCCCAAGTTCCGAATGTCGCAGTGTTTGTCACATCGACAGAAGCACTCTGTAATGTCTCCGTATCTTGTGATACCAAGCAATCAAAGATTGTGGAGGATGCATTGCCATATGCGGTAACCGAGCAGTTTGCACGATCGGCAAAAGCATAGTAGTTCTGTGACGGAATCCAATGGTCGTAAGCATACTGTTTGGGGAGGTATGGCGACGCGGCGATGGTGCTGCGGAACAGTGAGTCGCCCAACGAGCCACCATAGGCCATATCTTGAAGCATGACTGATCCACCGCCAGCACTTTCACCAGATATGGTCACGGCTGAAGTGTTACCTCCAAATTGTTCGATGTACGTCTGCACCCACTGAAGAGCGAAAAACTGGTCCAAGAGTCCCGCGTTTGCAACACCTTTTCGTACTACTTCATCAGACGCGAGAAAACCAAACGGTCCCAGTCTGTATTGGATTGAAACGATGACAAAGTTATTTCCAGTCGTCGTAAGAAGTTCAGTAAAATCTTGTCGGCCATTGCCAGCGCCATATCCACCACCATGAATCCAGACAAGGACGGGAAGATCTGACGCGTTGGCTGGGCTTTGAACGTTCAGGAAAAGGCAGTCTTCCGAGGTTGGTGTTGTTGCACCGCTCGATTGTAAGCTCGGCTGTCCGTTGAAGCCGACTTGTTGGCATTGAGGCCCATAAGCATCGGCGGAAATGGTTGAAGTTCGGTTGACGGATGGTGCTTGGGGTCGTTGCCAACGTAAACTACCGGTCGGTGGTGCAGCGAAGCGAATTCTTGAAGCAGTAAATCAGCATCAATTCCTCATTAGTGATGGATAAGCATACCCTCGCCAAGTGTTGATACCAGTACTCGTGTTGCTGGTACCCTGGTAGATTCCATAGCCTAGATCGACTTCTAGAGCATTGGCTCTAGTACTCTGTCTCTTGCCCAAGACCTCTTTGAACGGCTGAGGATGAGGTAGCGCAGCAACCGCACCCGAAAAGGTCACAACGCTTGCGATGAGGGATGACAGTAGCATGATGATGAGTGGAAGCGATACACAGGTCTGAACTGGTGCTCAGCTGCGTGATGCACAGGTACTTTTAAATTGCATGCGCATACTGGGTTACCAATCTCGGACGCATCGTCACCGAAGACGACCGGAGTTTGATTGACCAGGCACTCCGTTCTCGGGTGAAATATCGTGCGTCTTGCCAAGATGTGCTAGATGCTACGAGTGAAGCCGTCCATTGATCCGCGACACTAAAAAACAAGCCTTGCGGCGGGATGACGCCTAGCTTTTCCAGGTAGGATACAGAATACCCAACTATTGGCTGGCTGCCATATAACGGCTGCCATGATGTGCCGAAGACTGGGATTTGAGACTCTTCGGCCCCTAGCTCTCGGTTTGTATAGAAAGGACGGCATGGGTTACCGAGGATCCACCCCTCAAAAGAGCGATGAAGTCGCAAATTGGATATTAGACATACCCCGCATACCATTGTTCGGATTTAAGGTCCATCTCATTTTTTTTGGTATCCTTGACGTCTGGTCCGTGTGCTTTGGTTGCTAAGCATCTCGCGTTCGCTCTCTCTCTTGTAGCGATCAGCATCGGAAGTCTCGGACTAGCATGCGCTTCGAACATTCAATGTTCTACTCTTTATTCATGTCTAGGAGGCAGTATAAAGGGGCTGTTGACCTTGTACGTATCTACCGCGTACGCGAGCTTGACGTTTAACACCTGCATGTGCCGTTTGCGGAGTTAGGAGTTCTGCGGACGCTGATTCAGTGATTGCATCATGATGCCTCTAGTGTGTTGAGATCTAGCTCCAGAACCGAGGGTAGAAACACCAATTCTGCACCTCGTCCTTTTCCCCGGAGTCTGTGGTCAATCTGGATCTCGCAGACGGCAGATGCAGAGATCAAGTGTGAATAGTACGCGTCCTGGGTACGCGTCCCGATCAGAGCCACTGCTCTGGTACCTACCAAGGCCCGTAGACACCATCTCTTCTTCTGCTTCATTTTGGATGCGAATGCCAACGAGAAGAGCAATGCGAATGCTCGGTCTGCGAGAGTTAGTTGCAGCACCTTCAGATTGAGGAGATGTATTGTTGCGATAACATCGAGTCGGTAGCTTCGCGTTAGCTATACCTCTCCGTTAGTCCCCATCTACAGTCGCCTAGCGTGTTTGCTCTGCGCGTTGAAACAATAGCTTTTAAAGGGCCCAGTTGGTATCGCCAATGTTCATACGACTCTTCAACACTACCTCTTGTATCAAAATCGCGCAAATTCGCCTATGATGAGAGGTCGGAGCGGCACCCGGGAGACGCTCATCGGTTGGTGCTACTAGGCCTTGTTGTATCCCGCACCCATGGGATAAGGAGTCGTCGGAAACAACGTTGGACCCCTCTGGCGCACCATCGTCTGGCGTCAGGTGTGACGATGGGAATAAGAAGCTCTATAGCTCTTCGTGCTCCCAATAGCTTGCTGATAAGGGTGCATGCAACCGAGTGCTACGGGCAGGTAAGCGAGGCATTGTGATTGGGCTGTATGGCGGCTGCACCTCTCGACTCCGCCACCACGCCGGAGGATACGGCACCAATAGCTCGTGTCTTCAGTCTGACAATAGAGGCTGAGCACAAATCCGATATTATGGCCTCAGCCACCCATTCCTCCTCCGTTTGCCTTGCGAGGACAGATTCGAGCCTTAGACTTTTCCCTCCCTAACCCTACTGCTTCTGTCTTTGCTACAGTGACATTGGCGACATCATGATCTTTGGCGGCCTTGAGATTGTTGCAGGTGGATACCTCATCCACCGACACTACCGGAAGAAGAACGACAAGGAGCAGCTTGAGGCAGAAGCCCAGAAAAGGCGCCATAACACGTTTCCTGGTGCCAATCCGGCGAAGCAGAATGGCTGGAACACGCAAGCTCATCATCGTCCTCAACACCATCAGCAGCAGCAGCAGCAGCAACAACAACAACCTGCGGTACCACAGCAGAAGTATGCGTGCTATGCTCCAGCGGCACAGCCTCGACCACCGATATACCAACCGCAATGTCAAACTCAGGCCCAGCCTCAGTACCAATCCCAACCTCAATGCCGACCGCACGTGCTTCCCCATACTCAGAGCTTCAACATTCCACGGCGGCCTGTACCGCAGCGGAAACCTCAGATCATCATACAACCTTCTCTCCAACGAACCGACTCCTTTGCGACGATATCGCGCATGCCCATCGCGAACGGCTCACGGCCACAAGACATACCTGAACAGACTAGCCCTGCGGCTGGTCTTTCATCTGTACCGCAACATGGCATCTATGGAAATGCAGGCTTCTCGATGTCGACACCAACTTTCGGTGCGACGCCTACATCTCCTGGGCTGACCTACGAGTTGGCTACCGAGCCTCAGGGTGGTGCTAGTCAGACTATTGATGACAACTGGGAGACATATGGACATGGCCATGGTGGTGGAGGGCTACATTACGCGCCCACCGTGTCCACTGAACTGGGCGAGCGGGATCCGCCGCCTCCTTATACGCCTTGATACATGCATGGAACGTCTCAACCCTTTCTTCTCTTCTTTTCACTTCATTGCGCTATCTTCTACTTATTGTATACTTTAATACAAATATTGAGTACACATGCCCTTTGCAGGACTACTGTCTGCCATCGAATCTCAGAGCTAGACCTAGTGCCAGCTCGGTGGATACGTGTATGCCGTCACCGAGCTGAGTCTCGTCCGCAAACAGGCGCAGTAAGGAGACACCCAGCACGGAACTACACAAGACAAACATCTGCTGTCGGTTACAAAATCTTGCACAATGTGTTATGCAGTAGTGTCTTGCCATCTTGCCATAACTGCGACACCATGCGAAGAAGCACCTATTAGGCGTTTGCGCATGGTGGAGGCTATGCAATATCGGCGACACCACTCAGCCTCGCCCGCATTCGGTTAGTGACAGGAGGCATTGAGTGTTATCCTCCCACCTCTTCCTGTTAGTTTTCGCAACGTCCTGCATCTTACAACAGACTAGGTGTGATGCACAAAATCTCTCTAGTCATCGCTTACGGTGGCTGTTTCGTGATTACATGGTAAACTTGGGCTAGGCGACCGCTGATGCTATAGTACCGTTATTACCCCTTGCAGATCTAGTCCCATCTCCTTACTTATTCAAAGTGAACACACATGCAACCTCAATAAAACATCTCCCGGCAAACTTACAGAATGCCCGACTCAACTACCAAATTAAGAATTATGCCAAAACTCCAATGCCGTCAATCTTTGACAACCTCACGAGTAACCCTGGTCAGATGATTCCACCAGCATCTCCCGCCCTCCACGCTTCCGCCCACTCCTTGACCGCTTCGTAGTCCCTACACACCCTCGCTGTATCCCAACCTTCGGTCCCGATAAACTCCTCTCCATCTTCACCAACCATCTGATGGGTCACTTCTAGGTTGGTATCAGCAGCACACATGAGTGCTTGACGCAGGTACTCAAAGCAGTGAGTGATGTGGCCGGGATCGTCGTCCTCATCTTTGGCCGACAGAAGAGCCTCTATGAACGGGTTCGGCTTGAACACTGTAGGGGACGTATGGTCATGGCCGTGTCCGACGTGATTTTCGGAGGATGATTCGAGCTCGCTATGGGGAGAGCCGGTGTTAGGAAGCGATCTTGCTTGAGGTTGCTGATGTTGGAGTTTGGCGAGCTGGTATGCATTCTTGTAGAAGGCTGTTCGAAGACCGTGCTATTTGACTCGATTAATAGAGGATCGTGTACGCTAGTGGTGCGAAACCATACCAGACAGTGTATCTCATGAAACACGGCAATAGCTTTTACTTCTCCATCTTTTGCTAACTTGGGGTGTTGGATGAAGCCTCGACCTTGCGGCATGATGCTTTCCCAAGTCTCTTGTGTCTCCAGGCTAGGCTCCGCCGCGAAGCTGGCGTTGGCCGACCACCACACGTTGTTAATATTACGGTGCGAACTGCCCCATCGTGCTGATGTCTAGTAAGTATGGCGAAAAATGCTACACGCAGGCTTAATCGACTCGTGCAAAGAAGGCGATATGGAGCGAACATACCAATAAACCCATCAACTTCCTTCTCCAAAGTGAACAGTTGGCTGAGGCCGAGACCGATTAAGAAGCTTAGCAGAGCAACAAAGAGGTATCCGCACATGTGCATGCAGGACCAATGCCAGGGCCGTCGAAGCCTTTTAGCGAGCAGCAAGTCTTCATCTGCATCATGTTCCTCTTTCGGAGCGGACACGCCTGGAGAGATGCATGTGTCACCTTCCCCCTCGGTCGAGGTTGACAAACGACGATACGATTTGGCTTTCTGCGCAAAGAGGTTGAGGCTCAACATTGTTACATGATAGAAGAAAAAAGCGCCGCTATGCTGCGGTATTAAGAGCAGGCTCATATTTACATGTGGCAAGGCCCATGCTTGAGATATTAAATTGGTTAGATTGACTCTATTGGCAAGACTGAAGACCTTATTCAGGATAGAAAAGAGTAAGCCCTTGGACACGGGAAGGATGCGCTAGGATGTGGGCGTTCGGATTGAAAACAATTAGGGATATCTTGATTCGGTAAATGATCAGAAAACTAGCCTATCAATTCTCCGCGCTGGCTGCAGTATTGCTATCGTCATCAAGGGGTCTCGTACAGTTCCTCGCCATTTGAAACCCAGCTGCCGTGTGGCTAAACATATTCACGTCTGTCCGCCATAGTTCGCAGAGGTTGGGTCGTATGAATAGAGGCTAGTTTAGCTTCTTGTTGCCGACCGTGACCTGTCTGCCTTGGCTGCGCTGGTACTGGAGGAAGCCAAAGACAGCAGCAGCGACAACGCCAAGCATAAGGACATTGCCTATCGCATGGTTAATATTTGCGCTTAGGCTGGCACGCGAGTCGGGGGTTTTTTTTTGCCAACTTACCGAGTATGAAGCTAACAATGCCGCCAGCAAGGTCCACAAGCCCACGGAAGAAGTTAACAACGAGGTCGATGATCTCAGTAGCGAAATTGAGTGCGAACTGGGCCGTCTTCTGGACTAGTGCTCCGGCAGTAGTGAAGAAGGACCACACAAGCTCGACTAGGGACTTGAAGAGGTCGCTGAGCGCGTTGACGATGGAAGACATGTTGGTTCGGCTGTACTTGTGGGTAATGGTGAGTGGTGTGGTGTAACAGGTCTGAGGCGAGAGTGTTAGGTGGAGATAATGCGGTGGAGCTTTAGAGGGAGAGTCTTGTTTGTGGGAAAAGTTGTGTTGGTTCGTGTGCGACAAGGCGCGACTGCCATCAAGACATGTCGATGACTTCCAAGACACGGAGAATGACGCGGGGCCTACGTGAGAGTGTGTGAAACTTGCTGTTCCAAACAGCTGTTGCCGGCGATCTGGAGGGCGAGGCCTGCCTCTTGCCTGCCTTGCATAGCGTTGCTGGTTGGCTCTGCGGGTGAATGGCCGTTGTTGTGGTGAGATGTGACGTCACATGTGTAACCTGGGTGAACGCCTGTTTGTGCAAGAAAAATAAGACGAATCAGAGAATATCAGAGAAGGCACGATTTTGATTGGCAGAGACAGATGATTCGACGACAGAGAGAAGCAGATGAATGTTCTGAAGGGAAGGCGCGATGAGAGAAGGGGATGCTGGCCGTTGCGGGTAGATGGCAGTATTCAGCGCATACCCACGGTCGTTTACTCTTCTAGTATTGCTACATGACGTGTATCCTTTGGAGGGAGATGGTAGACTGTTGATACGGCGTGTATGCCTAGAGGCGTGTTGTTGTAGAGGGAGGTCGTGGCCATGGCGGCTCGGCAGCTCGGCTTGAAGCGGAAACCTCGTCGTACCGTCGCTTCCTTTGTACCACGGCAGCGCAACAAGATGCCTACCTTTGACAAACTCTTAGCGAAAGGCAAGGCGAAGCTCTCGGAGTTTACTGGGCAGCCTTCAGGCGGCCATCACCAACAAGGCCACCCGAACCAGGGCTATCCGGGCCAGCAGCCTCCTCAAGGTTATCAACAGCCTCCCCCAGGCTATCAACAACCACCTCAAGGCTATCAGCAGCCACCGCAGGGCTATCCTCCGCCAAACCAAGGACAGTACACGGGGAGCCAATATCCCCCGCAGTATCCGCCTCAGAACCAACAATGGGGTCCCCCTCAGCAGCAATGGGGTGGTGCCCCTCAGCAACAATGGGGCCCGCCGCCTCCGCAACAGCAGCAGTCTTTTGCACCACCCGTCCCCCAGGGTAGCAAGCCACACACCCCTCAGCCTGGCGGACCGCCGCCCATTCCACAGAACAGACCGCAGTCTGCGCAGCCTCCTCCGCCACAAAACATCCCCCCACCACAGGGCGAGCGCGTGTACTGGAAGCCGTCCTTTGACATCGCGACGCCCGTGTCCCAGAACTTCCGACATGAGATTGGCGACCATGGTTGGGGCAACGACGAAAAGCAGATGTACACGGACAATGCCGCAAACTCGTTCCACCACGACAACCGCCTGATTGTACGCGCCCTCGTCCAGAACGGGAGCTACACTTCTGCGCGCTTGACCTCGCACCAGACGCTATCGCGACCGCGCGGATACTTGACGGCGACCTGCCTACCTCCTTCCGCACCAGGCATCTGGCCTGCGTACTGGATGCTACCTGCTGACCCCTTCAAGTGGCCGACGGACGGCGAGGTCGATCTTGCTGAGAGCTGGAACGGCGAGACAGAGAATCACTCATGCTTGCACTGGGGCTCATACACCGGCGAAGACGCACAAAAGCATCGTGTAGTCAAGACATCCCTGCCAGACTTGGCACGACAACCACACACCTACGGCTTCGCTTGGATCGAAGAAGAGGGCATACCTGGGTGGAGAGGGCGCATGATCTGGTACATCGACGGTCGGCCAGTCATGAAGGGCAGCATACCTGAGGGCACCCGACGCATGGAAGACTTCAGGATACTCATCAACATCGCTATGGGCGGTACTGTGAACCAAGGGAAACTGCCAGCGGACGGGTACTACGACTTCGTCATCAGCGACCTGAAGATGTGTGAGGAGCCACAGGGTGGATGGCAACAATTCGAGCATGCTTGGAACAGCACGCCTGAAGGCAAGGCCATGTAGCGGCACTTACATTCAGCTAGTTGGCATACCACGTTCTGTCTTTAGCTCGATCTCAGATCCTCAAGTACCAGCTGAATGCATCTGTGCAGCACATGCAAAGTGGAGGCACTTCACTACGACTACCCACCTGTGAGCGCTAGTGAAAGTTCTAATCCCCATCTCTCCTGAACCACTGACAAGAGCAATAACTGGTTGCGGGCTGAGTTCCAAGTAGTATTCCACTCCTCTCTCCACACGATTTCAAGCTTGACAGCCGCAGCACGAAACACCATCAGTACAACGCTCGACTAGCATTTCAGTCTAGCAAAACACCGCTTACATGGCCACTTCCAGCAAAAGCTTTCGGTTCATGAGCCTGTAAATCCGTCGCCGAACTATGTTTCGAAATCGGAGGGAAACTTTGGTCACCAGAGTCGAACAGGAAATGAATGAGATACCCAGATGAGGCCACCAGCACTATATGCCAGACTAACTATATGGACTCTAGCGCCCCCTGTCCCTTCGGCTACCTGCTATTCATAAGGCAACATATTCGTGATTCCATGTTCCATCCAAACAAATACCTAGCCACGGGTAATCACAAGCACTCCAATATCCATTCTCTCTCTTCAGACTTACAAGATCACCATGTCCGCTCCGCCACTCCTAGCATTGCCTGGCGAGCTTCGCAACCGCATCTACGAATTCTGCGTCGAACCCAAAACTTTGTACATTCCGAGGTACCCCAAGCGTACAAAGAAGCCTTACGCACATGCCCGCTGTCGACTGTATGGCAGCCTTCGGAATGTGTGTCGGCAAATGCGAGCAGAGTTCGGTTCACTGTACATGGCCAAGAATGTTATGGTCCTTCACCAAATCACCGCAAACGCATTTCTCGAAACTTTCTATCCCGACCTGAGGCAGCCGGAAGCCGTCAGCGAAGAGTCGCTGTTAGAGCGCAGTACCGCCGATTCTAGCGTACAAGGCAACATCCTGATTATGACATACTTCAACCAGCGATACGATGCTACACCCCTCGCACGCCTTTGCATGAAGCATCCCAACTTCAAAGTCACTTTCACCGATGCGAGTGCGTCCCTCCGTCTCGCTGTCGTCCTAGACGACTTCTTCGCCAAAATCTCGTCCGGTGTATTTCGTCCGGACTTGGAACGCCTTATCCAAAGAGTCGACATCTCCTGCAGCATGCTTCCTGAGATGCGCTTTACTTTCCATTCTAGACGCGCAATGGAGGATCTTTTTGAACAGGATGGAGCTGCGGATCCACGGCAGGCGCTGATTAAGATGGGTGCGCCGCCTATGAACGCTTTCGCTATCTTTTTCTTAGCTGAGACTGAGGATGTGTATAAGCGCTCTGCACCACTACTTTAAGTAATCATGTCTGGAGTACACTGGCCCAGATCTTTTTCATCGCTCACTTCTCATGACTGAAATGATTTGGTTGTTAAATGTGAACAGGTTTTCTGTCTACCAAACTGTCTAGCGTGTTTGCAGATTGATTACGTACTGCACGTGAAGGTGAAGCCCCGCCACCAAACACCATGTAGGCACCTGGCGTTACGCATGATCCCCCGTTGCTTGGCGGTCGCATGCTCTTCTCCACTCATTCATCTCTTACACAAGTATTACCTACGACCGACAAAACTCCGTGAATTTCATTCATGGTTACTGTGTAAGCGCAGAGGCAGCAGATTACAATGAGCACTCAAGACAGTCGACTTCTTGCCCTACCAGGCGGTGCGTGCTTCGTTTGGATCAATCCAAACATGGCTGACATAGTATACAGAACTGCGAAACAAGATCTACAGCTTCTGCGTGGAGCCGGTGCCTGTCTCGCTACGTCTCCGCCACGAAGACAACACTGAGCCAGTGGGAAAGTTCCGCTGCTTAATGCAGACATGTCGACAAATCCGACGCGAATTCCAACCTCTCTATAAGAATCAAACCACCATTCGGCTAGAATCCACCTACCACTACGCTCGGTATATCCGCGATTTCTACCCCCCAGCTGACGAGGATACTATGTTGCGTTACCGTGGAAGCATCATCAGTTTAATCAACCACAGCTCTGATACGTATGGCGAGAAAGAATTCTACGATGTTGATATTGCTCGTGTAGTCCAGCTTGTCGCACGTTCGCCTAATGTACAATTCAAGTTCGAACTACATGAGCGTTTGCGAAGATTTAGTGCACGGCACGCTGTCGCACAAATGAATAGCATGCTGGCGTTGTTTGCTGATCCGTCCCAGTCGAAGTGGCGCGACATGGCCAAGGCAACCAAAGAGCTGAGGCTTAGGATCTGGAATAACGATTCGAAAATAAGAATCACCATGAACGAGGAAATGGCCAGGCAGTGGAAGAGTACGGTCTTTAGGATCTGGGACGACGCAACTGAGCCCACGCGGGGCATACGGGAAATCAGGCTTGCATATGCTGATTCAAATGCAAGTTGGCGCCCTTATGTTCGTCGCTACGAGTTCCCTTTCGATGACTATCGGGACAAGACCATTAGTTGGTCATGGAGTGTTCCGTAAATGAACACTAAATCATTGAGATGGGCTGCGCATTGTGAGTAGATGCAGCGCCATGTGGATGGAGATTCGTGCAAGGGTACTTTTGATGTCTTCGAATCATGGATTGGGTTATTCGATTTACCGCTCAACATTGCATATCAGATATTGACTGAAGGATATTTCCTGTTCTCGGGACGGCTGCTCATTAATACAGGTGGTATGATCTTTGCAGATTATGACATATCTTTTCTATTTTTCATTCGTATTGTCCAGCCGCAGACGAGGCCTAGTAGTACGGCTGGAGTAAGCACTCTACCTAGTCCAGTATGGGAATGCTTCTTCATATCTGCATCTTAACTCCCCACCTCTTGGAAGTAACATGATTATCATGTACGCTACTAATGTTGATGGATCAGCGGTCGTGAGATGCTTGAGTGTACGTTCGCAACCGCGGGCTGTGACATCACAGCAAGCTCAATATTGCTAGTTGACAAGACCCTGCATGCCTGCTACGCGCCTTCTACGCGACGCGATTCACGATACAAGTGCAATCAACAGCGCTGACCTGCGAGTTGACAACACATTCTCCTTACCCATATCATGGACAGATATGCGCCCGAGTTGTCGATGCTTCGTTTGAAGCGACGCCGTGACGATGACCAGCAATGCAATCACTATCCGCCATCGAAGAAGATCGCCCAGATTACGCTACCTCTTTCTAACTTTATGCGACTTCCTGCGGGTAAGTAAGTCCTGTAAGCAAAACGTTGGGCGGTTAGGTAACATACGTGTCTAGAGCTTCGCAACCGAGTGTACAACTATGCTACTATTGAAGCACCTTCTCAGCTACTCGTACCGGTCGAGAGCTTCCAGCTACAACAGCAGGCCCAACGCGCTACCGGGATAGCAATGACACAAGTCTCTCGACAGATCCGATCTGAGTACCGGCCCATGTGGCTCAGACACGCAACGTTCGTCATCGACTGGCACTCCATTCACGCGTTCTTACAGGCTTTCTATCCAAAGGAGAGCGAGTATGGCAGGGGTCCCAAGGAACTGATCCTGCAGTACGACCAGGAACACGACTATACGTTCAGAAAACCGACGGACATCACACATCTAGTACGCCTGGGCTTAGCATTCACCGGGTTGCAGATACGCTTCATCAAGGGCGAGGAAAGTGACGACCAGAGCGACGCTGGGAGCACTCTCACAGAACTGGTGCAGTTTGGTTGTATCAATCGTGATGACCGCCAGAAAGATAACAACGTGGCCGCCGAAGCCAGGCGTACGTGGCGACAAGATATACAAGAACGAACGGTTACCAATATCTTCGCTACACAGAACTCTTCAGACAATATTCTAGTGTTCGAGTTTGTATTCAGCACAAAATCTGCTCTGGAGATGAATGTTGCTTCATTCCAAGATATCGGCAAGGAGGTAGGTATTATGGTGTTGCTCAAAGATTTCACAAGCACTCTACACTCATTACCTGGCTATAGGCTTCTGGCAACTCGTCGATACTTTCCCAGTTGAATCAAAGGCAACTGGAGCTGAAGCGCGCCATCATGGGCTGAGTATCATAGTTTTGAACTGCGAGTAGGTTCGCGAGTGAGTAGCCCTTCATGTACCGTATATACCCAGTACATTCCAATCTTTCATATGGAAGGTCCTTGTAGCACTGTGATGAACATTGAACGTACTTCACCTTATTCTTAGTAGTTGTCCTAGATGGATCACAAAGCAGTATGTAGATTCAGAGCACGGGGTGTCGTGGTAGTGCTGTCCCGAGCGAAGACGACATGGGACCGACGTGTGTCAATCTCACTCCATCTTCGGAAGCACCAAGACACATACGTACGGTATGCTCATGACTCATATACCTGTCTGGTATCTGGTGAGGTGTACCAGGCGCAACTTACTCTTACTCTTGAAGGTCTCGCCAGATCCGCGTTTAGTAGCAAACGACGTGCCTTCCAAATATGAGCACCACTCAGGCATCAGTACTAGTAACGCGCTAACACCCTTGGAGGGATTGCTTCACTAGACCCTTCCACCTACCCTCTCTCAACTCACTCAATCGTTCTTTACATACATTGATAGCTACTACTCATAGCTGCGACCACCACAAAGTCCCTTCGATGAAACATCCTAGTGCCGATATGAGGAGTCGAGAAGACTACTTCCGGTTTCTGGACCTGCCAGCAGGTAGGCGCAAGCTTGCCAATCAACATTACGACTGAGACTAATATGTCTAATTAGAGCTGCGTAACCGCGTATACGACCTCGCCGCCAAGACTCAAGCCGACCTACCGCGCTGCGTACTCCCATGTCTTGCACTTGCGCAGGCCTGCCAACAACTCCGTATCGGGTATCGCCCCATCTGCATCAAGCGAGAGATCATCATCGATTGGGAGAAGGTTCCCGGCTATATGCGCACTTTTTTCCCTACAGTCAACGGCAAGATCGAAAACATTGAACTCATACCAACGAGCATGACAATAGTAACGCCTTGGCGTGGAGAGCCAGGTGAAAGTGGACTTCAGCTCGACATACTTCCAATGATCAAAATTGGGCTGTATCAACCTGGTTTTACCTGTGAATTCATTCACGATGCTGAAAGCTTGGAAAAGATGAAAGTTCCTCCTTTCAATCCCGAAGACCCTCATTTCGGGGACCTCAGGGATATTGCAAAATTTCTCCATGAAGATACTGCGCCACTGAGGATTGTTATGAATCATCGTGGTGAGGAGTGGACATCGGATATCGAAACCGGCAGGATCACTAAGATCTTATTGTGTGATATCGGTGTGCTTGAAGAGCCAAAAGCCTTGTTTTATGTCAAAAGTGGCGGTCTGAGTCTGAGGGATGAGTCGGGTGATGTGGAAGAACAGGAGAGGAATATAGAGCATGCTTACTTCGAGATGGTAGGGCTTCTCGACATCTATCCGGGCGAGTTCATTACTTTTCCTGGCTTGAGGCTCGTTGAACAATCGTATTGATAAGGAAGTGTGTACGAGTCGGTGCCCTAGCCGAACCGTGTCTCACTTAGTGACACATCACATGGAATTCTCCTAAGCTTTGCTGATAAAAAATTGGATTCTTCGTGGAAAGTGCATCCTCAGCTCAGATACCAGTTTAGATAATTTGTAACATGCGTGCTTGTAGGGTCATTTGCAACCACTGCACACTCGCTCCCCATGAACACAGCGATACGGTCTCCTATTCTGGCAGGAAGGTGGGCGTCATGGGAATTCGGTAACAAATAAGATCGCGTATCACCGTCCACTCGCTTCCACTTCTCTTTCTCACACTGTTCATCAAATGGCCCAGCTTTAACGTCAATTAAAAGGTACATCCTTCCGTAGTACCACCATCTCAAAACTTGTTTTACAGCTCCAAACGCCCGGCCCTTCTACCTTCTTGCGTACCTCTTGATATCCTTTCTTACGCCAGTACACCCCATTAATACATTCCGCGGCCAAGATCCAGAGCGTCAACACACCTTCGCCCTGTTTCCCCTCTCTTTGAAGTGCAGCTCTCGCGTTCGCAACAAGATACAACTCGAGAAAGTTGAGCAATTGGACAGCAAGGCCACGATGGTGATACTTTGGATCACCATCCACAGACACGATTTTGATTTCCCACCCGCTCTCTTTCCCAGCGCTTTCTCTTGCCCATCCGCCTTTCCAAGGTACTGCGGCGGCGCACGCAACAGGTTTCATGTTTTCCTTGCCATTGACCTTTTCAGCCTCCTTCGCAACGCCGGATTCATCAAATATCAACGCGATGACGCTGCCTTCATCTCCAAGTAGTGTATGTAGCTCCCCCTCATTCGAAAAGCGGAATGTCGTGTTACTCCATTTGACCGGATCGATGTCTTTTGAGCGATAGAACGCGTCGTTGACGAGCTGCGTAACAGACGTTGATAACTGTGGATTGGCTTTCAATTCCGGTGGCGTAAAAAGAGTTGGGCTGGATAGCTTTGGTGTCGTCATGTCGGAAAGTTGGGTTACTCGATCAAGCTGTGCCGTTTTCGAAAATCAAGCCTCGATGGAGAAAGCTTCTGCATATTAAGAAGAACGCCATTGAGTCATACTGTAGGGCGTGAACAATGGAGATATCCCGCGTGGAGGCTCATGGCGTGTATTCGCCGACGCCTTGTCGGAATCGGAATAGCTTTTTTTTCTTGATTCCGACGGCAACACACCTTCTTTAGGCTGATCTATGGCCGGTCTAGAATTCACATCGTACTTTGACAAGCGTCTTGCGTCCCGTCTAGAATTCTACTTTCTTTGAAACAGGTGATGAACTTAAATGTGGATTAGGTGCTATAGAATGCTGGGATATCCGGAAGTATGCCAAGGTTCCAGCGCTTCGGATAACAACCAGCACCGGAGTTTGATCCGCAAGCCTATTCTTGAACAAGATTGAAATGAAGCCTCATGTGATGACGAACTTTACAGGTCAGATTCAGGGATGGAGTCATACCAACAGGCTGAAGAATAAAAAGCATGTGTTTTGGTCTATCTCAAACGTGCTTTGGGGGACAACAAGCTAGCGTACATGGTATCATAAAGTGGACATTACAAAAACGCTACAGAAAGAGACGAAAATGTGAGGATCTTGCGCGATCAACGCGACAGCTCCTACCTTTCATCAATGCAGGTCGACAGGGGTATCTTAGATAGTACAAGTCTTTCATGCGGCATGCTCGGCACGCTTCATGACCATGACTGCCAGCTTGGCTTCTTCTGGCTTGAGCCCCGTGGTGGGTAGGGCGACTGATGCATGCTCGACAGTGGCATGGGCGTTGCGCTCCTCTCTTTCTCGACCTCATCACTCAGTACAATGGCTGGCAAGGGCGTCAAAGACGACTTCTCCGTTGGTGTATGAGGATGTGACACGAGGGAGGCAGAGCTAGCTGGGGATCTTGGTGATGCAGGAGATTTGGGTAGCGGGGGAAGTGCCTCCAAATCATGTCCTTCAAAGAGCCTGGTGGATCGCATGCTGGATGCATGGGAATTGTGCGCTGTGGTGTAGCGACCAAGTTCGATGTCTTCGTAATCACGGTCGCAGATCATATCCGTTGTGATGGTTGAAGATGGCCGGATACCGGTGGATGGAAACGCTGTACTCACTGGCGAACGTGTGACTTGTATCTCCTTGTGGACATGTACGCCACCATGTGGGTCGACAGATACGCCAGTATGAGAGTCGTGATACCCTTTGGAGCTGTGCGCCCAGCTTCCGGTTGTGAGGTTTGGCGCGAACTTCCTCCATGAATACTTCGACTTGGTTTGCGCGCTATCCTGGCGATCATCGGAGCCTGCTGGTGTCCTAGTTCTTGACCGCTGAGTAAGCTTCTCGTGGAAGAAATGCTTGAAGAAAACCTTCATGGCGGGAGCGTTCGCACACAGGCATCCAATATGCAGCTCAAGCATGCAAGTGAGAAATAGGTTCCACGTCGACCATGTGACATCGTACGTGCCATAGAATGTGTACCAGCTGTAGTAAGCTCGTACGCATCCCAGGGCAACAACACCGTAACCCATAGCAAAGATACCAAACAATGCTAGCTTTTGTCGAAACGGTATCTGGAGGTTCCAGTAGAGGAAGGTAGGAAGTATAGCGGTCAAGAGGTCTTGCGCCGCTGATATAATGCTAGCAGCCAAAACATCGGCTCCTTCATCGAAGCAGTGGAATTCGTACCCCTGTAGTACCTTGATGATATTGACTTGATCCCAGAACGCTGAGATTGGTTGGCAACCAAAAATCGGAGCCAGGGTCAAGGCGATACTGTAGGCGATGATGAAGATGATGCTCGCCCATGTCACCCAGACGAACTTCTTCGAGACGGCTCGCGATGAGAGACGTCGGTAGAAGAGCAGAATGGAGACCTTGATGAGACCGGTTGCGACACAAAATATACACTCTGTTGCCAGAACGTACTTGCGGGCGATGACAATGACTTCGGGGTCGAAAAGGTAGTCTAGGTCCCAAATGTGTCGATCGAACGCTTGATGACTCGCTAAAAGGCATTAGCTTTGTTTTCACTGAGAGACTTGGGATATTACCGAGAGGATAGAGAACTGTCAACGCGATAGTTGGGATCTATCATTGTCAGCATAGCCATTGCGAGGCACGACGAGCAGCTTACGAGGGAAGCGAACATCAGCCAGTCTATAGGTATGAAGGCACGGAGTCAGTGTATGTCTCACATGCATCTCATAGAGTCTTGACTTACCGTCCCAACCAGCACAACGTTGATGAAAGACTCTAACCCACATCCTTACAAGAGTCATCACGACAGTGATTGGTCCCATGATGCAGGCCAGCAGCACGATGGTGTTTGGTCGAAGTACCGGATCGACATAGTTGGGTTTTGGCCAACTAAGCTTGACGTCGAGGGGAGGATGTATGCCGCCAGGCATCGTGTAGATAAGTTAGAAAGTTTTGTCTTCCGCGGATTGCGTCCAAAGTATAAGAAAGTTCAGCAACGGCTTTTCTAGCGAAGGGATGCCTACCATATGTGCGTGGTGGCTTTTGAAGTGTGGGACATGTTAAATGGAGTAGGGGCGTGGGGAGGCGTAACAAACCCACCAGGGCTTGATGGGAGTGGGTCAACCACAAAAAACAAAAAGACATAATCGACCAATGCAGGCAGTGGGAATTCTGGCCGTTGAACGAGCGCATAACGGCAGTCGAAAGCCTTTCCGGCTATGTACCCACTCGCATATACGAACCTCAACGCGGAGATGGGATATACTCCGTATGCAATAGTTCGCGTGGCTGATATTAGTGTCCAAGATGCTGATCGGTCAGGTGTACCGACTCTTCGCCAAGCTTTACAACACGCACTCCAGGGACCATATCCTACTCTGGTCATTACTGATCAGTGGTCTGATTGAGGGGCCAAGTGGAGTGACTGCAGCACAAACACTCGACCTTGGACCCTGGCATCTCTTCAGTGTGGGTAGCTGCGAGGAAATTATCGTCGACTGCCGCTCCGTGCGCGTACACTATGGGCCCTAGGAAGAGTAAGGAGCATTGTGACGATGTCGGACCGGGTCGACTGGATTAAGGATGCTCTACCTTGCTTGACCACGAAAACACATGGGGATATTGACGAAACGCGAATCCGAATTTGAGTTGCCTCGCATGGATGGTAAAACAAGCGTAACCGACATTTTTCGAGCCAATATGAATGTACGGAAGTCGGGCACTCCCGCCACGGTGGTCCTTGTCAAGAATATATCCGAAGTGGCGCCTTTCGATCGATATCATCGTACGTGATCTTGTCGGTTATCGAGCTTAAAAATTCCTCAGCCATGCAGGCAAACGGGTCTGCAGTTCAAAGTGGTGTAGAGGGCACAGATGTGACAAAGTTGCATATGGTGGCGAGTGTATGCAGTCACTTTCGAATTGGGAAGACTAGGTGGAACTGCAACTTTGAACCAAAACGAGATCAACAGGTCCGAAAGTTAAATGCGGAGATGACGGGGGGTTGCAACATGCCGTCATCAAATGTGCGCAATAACAGGTTCGCAGCTAGGTCGCAGAAATACAAGCTCGCAATTTGCAGGAAAAGGTAACAGAGTTGAAGCAAAAAAGTAAAGCCGGGTAGATCTGGAGTTGTCAGGTACCGGTGAGACGACGAGGAAGCGTTCGCACCCCCTGGCTGGTGTGCATCAGACTTGGCGTGTGGTGGGATCGGGTCCGGAAAGTGGGGGCTGCGTGGAGTCTGGAGCGCGAAAGCGGACGCGAGAACTGCAACAGCGGCCTGTCTACCTAAGTAGGATAGGGTGCTGTGAGCGACATGTGATGCAATCTTTGGGATATCTGTTCCCGCGACTGCACAAGTAAGGCGAAAGACTTGCGTGAAGGGCGCAGGAGAAACACGACATCCGCGCGTAATCAGGCGGATTCGATGACTCCAGCCTTGCGCTAGTATCTAGAACGGCAAGGTGCGACGACAGTCAACCTGCAAGAGAAACCTACTCAAGATAGCTATGTCAGCATCCTCGTTCCTACGACGCCCTTCTCCCCTATCCTCGAGCAAACAGACGCCCTCTTGTGAGTCACACAAGAAGGTGAAGATGAAGGATTCAATTCAGATGCACACAGATATAATGGGATGGTTCCTGGAGATGAGGTTCATAACCAGTAATCCAAACACAGCCTATTGTATACACACCCAAAATGTCAGCCTCTACTTCTTTCAATGACGCTTTTGTGTCGGCAGTTACGCCTGGCCCTGAACGCCTTTTGCCAGGCGTGGCTCTCGGTGCTGCAAGAGCCCTTGGAAAAGGTATGGTCTGGTTTTGCATGTTTGCTTCTTCCAAAACACTTGCCAGGGCCGTTGAGTTTAGCGTGCGTTTGACAGCGGCACGTTGAGATGGACTGGGCAAATGCGACCAAGCCATCGGATGTTGGTAGCCGTTGGCACCGTCGGCGACCTCGCCTGTCATTTGTGTTTCTGTTACATGGCCCATCGTTCGCCGCTAACGTCTTCCACAGCTGATATTTCAGATCCTGAGGACTTTCTTGCTGCATATGGCACATTGCAGCTGGACCCCACGTCGCCGCCAGTGTCGCCCGAGACGACTGTATGGCTTGCCTCCTGTACTAAGCTAGTGACGACCGTCGCAGCCTTGCAGTGCGTCGAACGCGGTCTATTCTCACTAGACGAGCCTGCTGATGTCGACCGTCTACTGCCTGAATGGAAGAAGCCCATGATCCTGACTGGCTGGGCGGGCAATGAACCCGTCCTACGACCCGCAAAAGAAAGCATCACATTAAGAAGATTGCTAACGCATACGAGTGGAATCGGCTACGATTTTCTCTCGCCTGACTTGATGAGATGGAGACAAGTCCGCAAAGAAGGAATTTTATCCATGCAAGCACCCATCACGCAGTGCTTCACGACGCCTCTTCTATTCGAGCCCGGATCTGGCTTCGCGTATGGTGGCGGACTGGATCTTGTGGGATTGATGGTCGCGAGGGCCAATAACTGCACGCTGGAAGCATACATGCGACGCAATGTGTTGGACATATTGGGTATGGACAAGACGTCTTTCTATGTCAGACACAACGATATCGAGCAGAAACTGATGCCAATGACGACTCGCCCTGCACCTGACGCAGATCTCGTCTCTGGCGAAGCATCGGGTAACCCGCTGGTACAGCCGCTGAATCCTCAAGATGAATATGGTGGCGCAGGGTTGTTCAGCAACACGGAGGACTATCTCCGACTTCTGAAGTCGCTTCTCCGGAACGATGGTAAGCTCCTTGACGCGGAGAGTATGGACCTCATGTTTGCGCCATGTATTTCGTCTACTGCACAGGATTCGCTCGACCAGACCTTGTCTGTGCCGCATATCGCTGCCATTATGATTCCTGGCGACGCCCCAATGGGTACTCCTGGCGCTCGGAAGTGGTCACACGCTCTGGGTGGGTTAGTAGCATTGGAAGATGATGCGGATGGCGGTTTGAAGGCTGGTATGTTGCGATGGGGAGGTGCACCTAATCTCAAGTGGTGGATTGATCGCGAAGGCGGCACTTGTGGCATATTCGCAACGCAGCTGTCGCCGGCTGGCGAGCTGCGACATGCGCATCTAGGTAAGATGTTTGAGAGGGAGGTGGTTGCAATGTACGCTTGAAGACTCTGCCATGTACGAAATTGCAATTAGCAGGGCTCTTTTGGGAGAGAGAATGGGCATCAATTGTATGTATTTCCCCCTTTTGCGACGGCAAATCAATTAGAGACGACGAGATGCCCCACCTGCATTGTGCCGCTAGATTATGCACGGTGACGATGACGGTCTGCACGATGGCTGACACAGCAAATTCTGCCCATGACGTAGACGAGGATGTGTTTCGGCCGGCGAACTTCTTTCCACTGGCGCCCAATCAAGACTCACAGTGGCACTGACCGCCTTAGTACGCCCGGCTAGGTGTGGCTTACTCAGGCTGCAGAATTCCGCATGAGGACGCTGGTGTCGGCAATACTGGCAAATATTCTCGCCATGTCGCATGCGACGGGTGCGGGCGATGGATAGGCCAGCAAATCTTTCGCCCATGGCCACGCACGTCAGATACATAGGGCGCGCGGCTTCCTACCAGAGAGGCTGAAGCTTGTTTGTCACCATTGACAGCACCCGCACTCAACTCCCGGGAATACGGTCACGACTAGTCGCACCGTCGCACATTAGATCCACGCGATCCACAACGGGCTCGACGTCAGGCTCGAACATTCACGAACTCCATCCCGAGTGCCGACGACCGCGATTTTCCTTCGTTTCCAGGCGTAGCCGAACCCGTGGTCAACGTTCCTTGAGGAAAGAAGAAGAACAAGAGCGCGGCCATCATGCAGGAGGAAGACTACGAGATGCTGCGCAATGAGGCCAATGCGAGCCCTGAGCGCTTTGCAAATTGGGACCCGCACCGTCAATTCCGCGAAGAATACCACCAACGACACTTGCACGATCAGACTCCCGATGAGCGGCTACGGAACATCGAGGCACACGAGCGAGGGGAGCGCACCGTGAGTGAGCGGTCGTTTCCACAGGAAGCAGTCGCATCGCCCATCCGAGAGAAGGAAGAGGAAGTCGCCTCGCCTCTCTCACGACACAGCACATCTTCGGCTTCGACGGCAAGTTCAGCCAGCTCTGCGTCGACACACAGCGCGCGCCTCGAAGAAATACGCACTGCCCGCTCAACCCCACGAGACCGCCGACCGACTGTCAATTCGCAAGCGTCCAGCGGCAACTACCTGACATTGCATCCCACCGAGCGCGACCCCGAAGCCATCCGCCGCATCGAGACACACAGGAGCCAGCATGCAGGTACTGTTGGTGCATCGCGCGTCGACTCGCGCTTGTCGAGGACCCTCACGCGACGCCGCACCGAGAAGCCATTGCCCAATATGGGAGCTGGAAAACCCTTCCCTCCGCTCCTGCCAGACAGGGAAGAATACGTTGTCGAATTCGACGGCAAGGAAGACCCACTGCACGCGCAGAACTGGCCCATGAAGAAGAAGATTGGTATTGGTGCTATCCTAGCCTTCGACGCCCTCACAGCGACCATGGGCAGCAGTATCTTCTCAGCTGCTACCGGAGCAGTGTCACAGCAATTCGGCGTGGCCAATGTTGTGGGTACCCTAGGAACAAGTCTGTTCGTCTTCGGATATGCTTTTGGACCTCTGGTAAGTCAATGCTAGCCACAGAAATGTGATAGAATGTGCTAATGATTCTTAGATGTGGGCGCCCTTCTCCGAGTTGTACGGCCGAAAACCTCCCCTCATCATCGCCGCATTCGGTTTCGCCATCTTCAGCATCGCCGTAGCTGTAGCCAAAGATCTTCAAACAATTCTTATATGTCGATTCTTCGCTGGTCTCTTTGGCTCTTCCCCACTTGCTATCGTCGCAGCTGTCTTCGCGGATATGTTTGATAACAGACTTCGTGGACTTGCTGTCGCAGTCTTCTCCGCGACTGTCTTCATGGGCCCTCTACTAGCACCCTTCATTGGAGGCTTCATCACGCAGAGTGACCTAGGATGGCGGTGGACCGAATACATTAGCAGTTTCATGGGCTTCTTATCGTTTGCATTGCTCTTCTTCTTCATGGAAGAGACATACCCACCTGTGGTACTGATCAACAAGGCGAGCGAGCTGAGGAGACGAACTAAGAACTGGGGTATACACGCAAAGCAGGAAGAAATCGAGGTTGACTTCAAGGAGTTGATCGTCAAGAACGTCAGCAGGCCTATGCGCATTCTCTTCACTGAACCAATTGTGTTGCTCATTACCATCTACATGAGCTTCATCTGTAAGTTTGACCTATCCGTCGAGTTGTGAGAAACTGGGCTAACAGCACTAGACGGCCTCCTCTACCTCTTTCTTACCGCATACGCACTCGTCTTCCAGGGAGTATATGGCTGGAGTGCTGGTATCGGCGGACTTGCATACTTCGGTATGGTTGCTGGTGAAGTCATTGCTTTCATCATCATTGTATGTGACAATCCACGATACGTGCGAAAGCTGGAAGCCAACAACAACATTCCCGTCCCGGAGTGGCGATTGCCCATCAGCATGGTCGGCGGTGTGCTATTCGCAGGCGGCCTCTTTTGGTTCGGTTGGACAGGCTACACCGGTCAAATCCATTGGATTGTTCCTGTCCTGAGTGGTCTGTTAACTGGCTTCGGTATCTTCTCCATCTTCCTCTCACTCCTCAACTACATCGTCGACGCGTACCTTATGTTTGCTGCTTCTGCCATTGCAGCAAACACCTTCATGCGCTCCATTTTCGGTGGCGTCTTCCCGCTCTTCGCAACATTCATGTTCAACGGTATGGGTATCCAATGGGCTAGTACTCTGCTCGGTTGCGTAGCAGCTGTACTTGTACCAATGCCCGTGGTTTTCTATCTATATGGTAAGAAAATCAGAGGCAGGAGCACCTTTGCGCCTGCACCGGATATCGCGCAAGATAAGAGGAGGGACGAGGAGAGCAAAGGCGCTGAAGGCGTTGATGCTGGAAGCGGAGAGACGACTGAGAGGGAGAGCATGGACAGGGCGAGGAGTAAAGACGAGTAGCGGCTTTAGTTTTGTTTCAACCTTTTCATTTGCATCTAGCGAACATACACCTTTGTAATTCGAAATCATTTCTTCTCCATCACGACGGAACGCTCAGGATCGAAAAGCACAGTCATACATGAGTTTGCAACAGTATTTGTTGGTTATGTTTCTCCCTCAATAGAGCACGGTCTTTGGTATCAATTCTTCTCTTCTCTCGTTACTACCTGCTTATGGCAGTACGTATCCACCATCGATGATGCAGTCGCTACCAGTCATGTAGCTGGATGCATCGCTACCCAGATACAAGAACAATCCCTTGATCTCCTTGACGTTTCCCTGCCGTCCTAGCGGAATCATCCTCAATCCCTCGTTGATAACCTGTGGTCCGGCACCCATCTTTGTGTCAAAGAATCCCGGGCTCACAATGTTAACCCTAGCAAACTCTCTCCACTCCCTTGCTAGCGACTTGCCCAAATGTGATACAAAGGCCTTTGTGCCATTGTATATGGGCTGGTCAACGGGGACGTTGACGATGTGTGCTGATATCGAACTTGTGAGAATCAAGTTGCCGAATCCTTGCTTCTTGAACACTTCTCCTGCGTACTTGGCGCAGAAAACTGGGCCGTCGACGTTGACCTTCATGAGGTTGTGGTAGCTCTCGAGTGTCTGGTCGAGAAGTGGTTTGCTGTCTCCCGTTCCAGCGTTTGCGACAAAAACATCGATGCGGCCGAAATCCTCGACGACCTGTTGAACCGCTTTTTGCACGGCAGCAGCGTCGATTTGGTTTACGCTGTAAGCTTTTGTCTTTACGTTGTGCTCCTTTGCGAGGGTCTCTGCGCGTGTGATGGCTGCGCTGTTGGAGTTGTACCAGAGGGCTACGTTGCCGCCAGCTTCAGCCATGGCGTCGGCGACGGCTCCACCAATTCCTTCAGCAGCGCCGGTAACGACAATTGTCTTTCCTGCCATGCTGAATTGTTGCATGACATTTGTGGGAGTGTTGGGGACAGGCTTGGGGAAGCCAGCGCGAGGCGTCTGGCATTCTTCGATTGACATTGACATGTTTGCGGTTTTGGTGAAGAAGACTTGCTGAAGAAGCACGGGGTATTGGTATAAGAACTTTGAGTAATGGTGAGTACAGTTCTATATATGAGAAGTCGGAGTCGGAGGTCAAGAGCTTATGTATCTAGACGCGTGAATACGAGCTGCGGCAAGTTTGCCGAGTGAGGCTCAACCGCCGAAAGCTTCTACGGAGCATCCTTTACCCCGCCAAGGGACACATTGAATGGTGTTGCGTCACGGGGTGGTGTTGCGGGGCAGTCTGGAGGACTGTCGTCCGGAGTCGGCGGGATGATTCCCGGCTTTGGTTGGTGTCCGGGGTGGTCGGCTTACCTTCCTTCTGAATTTGCGCGGGATCCTACGTCGGGTGTCTGCTTACGACTGCCTTCCTCCTGTACCGTGCGAAAATGTTGTATAGAATTCTCCACTCGCATGCGACTCTTTGTCGATGTTTCCAACTCGTAAGATATGTTCAATAGGTCCGATGCTACAGCTACGACCACTTTTCCGCATGCACCAATCACAATGCCGAAGGTGTCATTCGTCTTTCTTCACCAACTGTGTATCTGCGATTGATTGATGAAACCGCTTCTCTAGTGGCAAAAGTTGGAGTGACGAACTTGTAAAACACATGAAGGAGCGCACTTTATCAATATTATGCGAGCTGTGAGAACACGTGTCTCAAGAGTAGGCATTGTTGCTTTTCTGTTAGCGCCTCATTCTAGGCCATCATTTGTACGATTGGGACAGGCCTCCGTGTTCTGGAGATGAAAGTTGTTGTGCAAACGGAGAGTTCAAGGTTGCCACTGCCTCTAGTTTCTAGATCCTTTCCTTCACGTCCTACAAATGAACAGTACAACAAATTGATGTGAGCAGTGACCTTGTGCGGATCCTTCCTAGTGACGCGCTCAACATCCCATCATAAAACTACAAGATGGTCTTTCCATTTCTCGAGCTCGCAGCGGGTAAGCGCAAAAGTGGCAGTCACACTAGCTGTGGTATATCAATTAACAAAAGTAGAGCTGCGCAACCGCATCTACCACTTCTTCGCCGTCCACGAGGAAAGACACGTGCGGATTCGCAAGGCCGATGAAGTATCTGGAGTCTTCACTGGGCTTACGGGCGTTTCCCAACAAGTGCGAAGCGAATACCGACCGATACAGCGCAGCGTGACTCAAGTCACTATATGCTGTAACGACATCAACGACTTTGTCAACACCTTCCTGACAACACATCAAGACCGCGTCCATCCTTTCAAGTCTATCTGCATCTCGGAGCAAAACTGGACTACAAAGTCACAGGATCTCTTGCCTCTTGTCAAGGAAAAGGTCGCAAATTCTGCCTTTTGGTGCAGGTTCGAAGCGGATGTAGATCAGCGCGAGGACGATCCATCGTCGCAAACTTTCGGTCGCATCCAACAAATTGAGTACCAGAGAGGTTGCGTCACAGCGCTGAACGAAATGCTGAACAACGAAAACGCAGGTTGGAGAGGCAAGATACTGAATGACGAGATCACTGCGCTCAGACTATACATCTGGGCCTTGCCTTTTCATGGCCTCCATGTGTCTTTCGGGTCCGGTCACATCCCCCAGGGTATCATCGCGTTTCGTACAGGTGATGATAAGGAAAAGATGGCGGAGTTCTTCAACCATATGTGGAAGTCTTGGGGGTTCACTCCTGACTTTAGGAAGTTCCTTGTGGTCAAACACTGCGAAGACGGAATTGATATTGGCCATTATTGAGAGCGCGCTTCGGTACTCGAAGTTCTACTTCCTATCGTGTACATAGTGAAGTGGATTGCAGGCGTCTCCAGATGACAATCATGGACCAACAGCTGGAACTTCACATCAGCAAATACACCCTTCTTTGTATGCAGTAGCTGTACTACACAATTAATCTTACAAGGCCTACCATGGGCCTTGAGATTTCTTATGGCCGCGTAGTAAGCTTATCATCGGCCGCTTAGCGCAAGCTCTTGCCTGTGCTTTCGCTTCTCTCAGCCCTGCTTCAGAATCTACGTCATCGATACACAGTTCCGCCCCGTCACTACGTCAAGGGGAGAAACCAAACATCTCATTAGAGCAGAGTACTTCTTCCTACTACAACGAATTGTATTGCAGCTATATAAATATTTATAGAGAATCTAGAAGTCTACAATGCTGTTAGGCTATATAATCTCTATTGTTAGGAGCTAATGTAATCTGTAAGGTAGAGCTTGTTACCTTCACCTGTTCGATTTTTCTCCTGTATGAGGTGCCGTACCGGATAATATCAAACACGACCAGGTCGTTACCCCTCAAAAGCATCTTCTTGTGTTATCGCGTTGAGATATCTCTCATAAAACCTATGCGGAATCGTGGCACAGTTGTTCGTCATGCATACTAGAGGAAATGATCTGTACTTTTCGTACTCAGTTCGCTCTTTTTCCAGCTACAACCACCACGGCAACCATCTCGAATAGCTATGACTTCATCACTCTGGATACTCATGCTCGCAGGAAGTTACGCGTTATCACGGCGTGGCTCGTTGCTACCTCCGGAGTTGGCAAGCTGGCTGAGAGAAAGTGCTTTCTGCCTACTTCAAGTACTCACTCGATAACACCTGCCTCTAGCATGCTGGATCCATAAGCAGAAAATCATGTGGCTCAAGAAGGACGATCTTATCAGCCGACGGCACACGTCTTGGATTCAAGTGTATACGTGGCCGTTTGCGAGATCGGAGGCAGAACCCAAACGTCCTTGCCGCTTCACTACGACAAATCACGTTGATAAGAGCCCAGAACTCTCCTTCCTATTGACTTTTGATGCTCTCTTGAGTATAGTATGTCGCAATAGCTATGGGAAACGCTGACAATACGAGGGAAAGCACCACCCACGACCACGCCACTACGCCACGCGACGTGTGCCAGCTATCGTACAACGATACATTCGATCTCTTGGCCACTCTCCAATCTACAGAACTGTAATTGTAACGCCAAGAACCGCTGTTCTCTTACCATGAGCTTAATGTCTAGGTGACCTTCGATTCTAGCAATTTCCCCAGTCACCGTCAGAGCAGCTTGGGACAATCATCGTTCGTGCCACCCTCACTCACCTTTACTTGTTGGGTGCATATAACCCCTCCGACTGTCTACCCTCCTTTACTTCTACACTCAGCAATCGACTATTAATATCCTTGAGCTATTGCAACTTCCCCAAGCACGAGAAACAAGATCAAACAACTACGAAGCAATGGCGTAAGTTCCAATTCATTGCATGGGGATATGGACTATACTAATACAGTCAGTCCCAGTCGTCCAAGCACTCCGCTCCCTTCTAGGTCTTCTACAAAGTTCAAGCATCCTCCACTCGGCCCTGCTCCGTCAACACCTGGTCCCCGCCAAAATGCTTTCGACGACACCGCCAATATCATGATGGGTTCCGAGCATGCCATTGTCCCTCCTTCTCCCGGGGTCCCTCTTCCTAGCTTCGAGGCGCTCAGTGTGAGTGCCGCGCCTTTGCGAGATATGCCATCCCGCAGGAACAAGAGCAAGAGCAATGCGCGTACTGGTGCTGGCGTCAAGAAGCAGGCCAGAAAGAAACATGACGACAAGACGGCGAAGCTTACAGATACTCTCAATGAGAAGACCGGTGTCGGTGCTCTAGCTTTGCAGAAGCCTTTCCGATTCATGGATCTCCCAGGTGGCAAGTGCTTTACTTCTGAACAACTGTGACATCGGCTAACTGTTGGTAGAAATCCGGAACGAGGTATACATGCACACTCACGGTCGCCCTAAACAGGCCCTGCTAGTATACAGGCCACGCATCGCGTCTCTCCGTCCACGAACCCGTCTAGATCGCGGGCGTACTCTTGCGTCCGACCTCGCTGGTCAAGAACAAGATGAAGAGATCCTGAGCGCCAGCAACAAGTCCGGCCGCTCAGCCAAGTCCAAGGTCAAGACCGAGCTCCGCGAGACCAATCGCCCCTTTTGGGGTCTCGCTCAAGTTTGCCGGCAGATGAGGATCGAGTATCGCCCAATCTACATGGCCAAGCAAGAGATTGGCATGGACCTCACTGAGATAGTGGACTATCTGCAGACGTTCTATCCTACCGCTAACGATGTCGTATCCCAGCTCGCACCCCCAGGAGAGCGCCGGAACGACGCGCCCTTTGTCGGAAACCTTACGATTGCTGTAGGCGACAAAGCCAACGACCTTGAGCGTGCTTCAGACGGCATCGAAGTCTTTCCGCTTCTTGACATCTGGTCCAACAGCCTCAAGATAGAAGCTGGGTTTGGACGCTATCTCAAGGCCAACTACATTCCGGAGACTGATGGTGAAGCCAAGGATCTGTGAGTCTTCCTGTCTTTAGCATCAGATTAACATGGCCACTGACCATCTTGCAGCTATCGTCTCTTTGGCCGCCGCGTGCTCAAGAACCGCTCTTGCTCAAGCATGAACAACCTTTGGCGATCAATTCTTCGCAGCAGGTCTCTCGTTTCAGTCCGCATCCACCGCAAGCCAGCCCCTCGTATTGCTGCCTCAGCCCCAGCTGCAACCTTTGCTGGAGTCCAGCCTCCTATTCATGCTGCGACTAAGCCCTTCATTCACATCGTCTTCAAGACAGACACCGCGGAGCCATGGATGACTGAATTTGAGTCTGTCGTCCCGAAGACACCTACCAATTGGCTAGCGGAGCGCGGCTTTGGTAGCATGGAGTACTTCGAGGTCAAGGTCGGCGTTGAGCAGAATGCCTCCAACTAGCTGATCTATCAGAATTGTCGGCATTTACTTGAACAGTCTGGTGCAACGTTGACATTCTCTTCCACTTGCCGTCCTGATACGGACGCATACGAAAGTCTCTTGGCCCCTGGGCCGATATCCTTACGGAATGTTGGTTGACTTGCTCAGAATTGGTAAGATTTACGAGGTACCATATATGATAGCATACCGAGGTTGATGATGGTCGACGACTATACGCAGGCGACGCGTCTCGCACATCACGCCTTGAGCAACATCTAGCATGAATCAATACTTTGATTGAATATTTCCTAGTCCTCGTCTCCACCAATGTGACCGCTGATCTCGGAGGATACACTCAAACAGGTTGTCAAGATGGAGTGGCTGAGGTAGCTTGTTTCCAGAAAAGAAACATGTGCAGTCTTTTTTATAGCAGCCAATCATACTGCAAGATGCTCCACGAAGTCGTAACGCTTTTGCCACGCTTTTTTCAGGTATCCACAATGCTTCGGACATGAACAAGAGATGCAAACTGTCGATGCATGTCTATATTCGTGCGCATAACGTTTTTCCAAGGACGCCGTGTGTTCATGACCGCACGTGCACGACGTCATGGCTCGCCAACAGCTGCCGCGCCAAACTTCGCTCACGGCTCCGCGCCAACGTTCGTCCCGAACCTATCGCACCGGCTATCTTGTCCCAGGCGCCGCGCTCCCCAAACCCACCTATCTGCAGCGGAATGTGTTCCTTTTCCCCCCTGAACTCGCTACCCTGATGCACGACCCCCTGCATTCGCGAATGAGACAGGGACCGTTTGATGGGTAGCACAGCAACAGCATGCGCGTCAGGTCATGCTGTGCAGGCTGCAACCCCTCGTTCGCTGCGATGCTTTTCCCGCGAGCAGGGTGGGCTGGTTTTTGATGATACATTGACATCCATTGACGTCTAGACTTCCCGTCTTCTGCTGGTACTGAACCCACAAGCGCACGCGAATCCCAGTAAGTCCGTGGTACTGTGAGGTCATCGACCAGGATGACGGCCAGCCGCAAACCTCATACACTACCATAGCTCACCAACCCCTCCCCAGTCGCTCGAGGTTTTATTTGTTCTTGGGGCGTTCAGGATATCCAGTCGTGCCGCCCATGTCCCTTTATGTCGTTCAGATGTCACTTGGCCAATAACTTCGACGATACTTTCTGCTGCCATCACACTTCCGAGCCCCAATCGCCTTCTCATCCAGATATGTCGCGACCACAGAGCATGCCTGACTTCGCCGCGCTCATGGAGTCTTCCATGTCGCAGACCGTCTTTGAGTCGTCTAGTTCGAACATAGAGAAGCGCATACACAGCCGAAGACAGACTTCACCCGAACGAAAGCCCCAGCATATGCGCAAGAAGCCCAGTATCTCGCTGGCTGCTGGACTCATGATGAACACCGACACCCCGCCAGCCACTGGATCACTTTCGCCGCGCAAACGAAGCCAGAGCCGACCCGCCCAGGATAAGAAGGTTGAAATGGAAGAGGGTGGGAACCTGTTTTACGCCTATGCGCTGAGAGTGAGTGATGCAATTGCACTGTGTGCCAACATCCGGGCAAGAGCGGCATACTGACTTATGCTATAGAGCGACTATCCTGCATCTCCCCCGTACATACTCACATTCGCCTCGGCCGCAGTCTGTTCGCAATGGTGGAACCTCGTTCAGCAGGAATACACCTCGTCGTCGCGTCCAAGCCCGCAATATTTCGTCGTCAGGAGCGAGGACATGGAACTCATTATGGAGGACCCCAAGTTCTCCGACATCCACAACAAGTGGTTCTACACATGCCAGGATAGCCCGACCTGCCCGCCAATAGTTCTGCCCCTGCAGCATGCAAACGGTGTTCCCGCTGTTGCGCCTCCACAATCAGCTGAAGAGAAAATGAGCACACCGGCTCTCGACAGCTTGGCGGAAAGCTTGACCCGACTGGCACACGTAGTGGAAAGCAATGCAGAGCAGGTTCACGCGCTATCGGTTGCGCAATCGACAGGCTTACAGGCGATGCAAGAGATCAACGAGTCGAACAGCATTCAGATCAAGGCCATTTCCGAGTCCCAGATTAAGCTACAAGCGCTAGTCGACCAGAACGCATCGCACTACATCGCCCTATCTAACACATCGTTCCAGTCGCACGAGCAGAGCAGACTAGCGCAGGAACAGACTCGAAAATCACAAGAGCAAACACGCAAATCTCAAGAACAGACTAAAGACATACTCAAGACCACCGTATCTCAACTCCAGACTCTGTCCAAGAACCAAGTCGAGCTTTCACAAACATGTCAAGGCATGATGCGTAGCATTGAGACCCTTGGCGACTCCGTCACTCAGTTCACTTCAAACGTCATCTCAGACACTGCGAGCAACCAGTCACTCTCCACCACTTCATTCAACGCCCTCGCAACTCGCATCAGCCCGCCACCGCGCAAGCTGAACAGACGAGTAAAGGGTGTTTGGTACGAGTACGACAATGTGGGTTCGCCCGACGGCACACCAAGGAAGAGAATCGATTCAGTCAGCGTAGATACCCCGCCGAAGAGCCCGGTCATCTTCAAGCATGTCTGACGGTGGTACGGCTGGCTTCGAAGCATTCGCTTGACACCCCCGACAGAAGAAGAGCTCAATGAGGAAGCACGAAATGCACGACGACCATTACTCGCTGCTTGAAGCCCTTCATATATATATCGTCGGCTAATGATGTCTTCTACCGAAGGATGAGAAGCTCCGCCTAGGCCAGCCGTTTGTGTTGTGCATAATATTGGCGTTTGGAGCGAACGGGCTATGACTGGGTACGTATTTCTTAATGACAGCGAATCTATTATCTTTTATTTTTGGCGCATTGTACCAAAAGTCTGAGTTGAAGCAGCTGGCTGATGCTGACCAGTACCATGGTCAGCGAGTCGAGAACCACGGATGAGAAGCGCGGTTGCCTATTTGCTGACGTGTTACTGCCTCGCACTTCTTATATGAAGTCATCCGCACTCACTCTTTCTAAATTATTCTCTCGTTCCTTCTAACCTTTACATTCTACGTACCTGCCTATAGCAGGTGCTGACGCAAAGAGATGTTGGATAAAGAGGAGCTGACACCGCTTCTCTCACACACCAGACATTCTCTTAACAACTATTCATCACAACTTCAATCCACATCTCAGACAATGCCTGTATACCACCGCACTCACCACCGCACTCGCCACCGCACTCACCACCGCACGCCTGCCCAGCAGCGCACGCCTGCCCGTCAGTTTAAGCTAGACACCGTTTCGAACACACAGAAATGGGCGACGATTAAACTTTCGATCATATCATTCGTTATTATAGTCTGGGTCCTTACACACTACCTCACAGAGAGAGGCCACACAACAGAGACTACTACCTCTACTGGCACAGGTGGTGCTAGCGCTAGCGCCTCTTACACGGCACCCTCCCTCTCTCGCTTTACTGATGCTGCGGACGCTACCAACGTGGACGCGGCCGTACTCATCGGCGGTATCTCGATGGCTCTTCTTGGCGCCTAAGCGTTTGAAGTATAGGGTTACTGCTTCAGCATCAAATGGATCAACCCAACTCCTGGCGCCCATCACGATTGGACGGTCTTCAATTACTCCGGTGGCACGGTCGGCGATGAGGAGTTCGATGATACAGATAAGCACTGGGATGTTGCAACGTGCAATCGTACAGCATGGACCGACAGTGCATGGGATCAGTCATCTACTGATCGAATGACTCGTTGCTGGTTCAAGTGCTAGAATCTAGGAATGAAGACTCAGGAAGGCCATGGTGAAAATGTGAGGCGTCGGAATGGTACACGAGTCTAACCAAAGACATACTCTGTCACTGCGCCTAATATACGTGTCGACTTTGCGATAGCTGTGATCACGATCAACAATATAAAAGATCATGTCTTTTCTCCCAGTCAATCTCTTCTATACACTTGGTCTCTGTACTGCTTCTTTTCTCATTGTTCATCCTTGACGCTTTCGCAACGCAAGGACACGACATTTGACGTTCCACCTCGCCACCCAATTTGGATACGGAAGCCACACTCCGCCTTGTAGCAATATCCGCCCAATCTATCTCAGGTCACGTCCACGCCTTCTAGAATAGTCGTGGAATAATCCACCAAGAGACTGCATATGATCTCGAAACAAGCTTCGGTCCAATATACGGAAACCGGGTCGGGCATTGTCGCACAATACACACATCTGCACCGAATGGAATTAGGAAGTGAGTTTGGAGCTATATAAACCACTGCCTACAGCAGAGGCATCGAACTCAGAGGATTCAGACAGCCCAGAGTCTATTGGCCTCACCATGTTCGTCAACGCGCTCACCCTTCTCGGTCTCATCACCACCGCATCCGCCCATGGCTACCTCAAGTCGATCTCTGTCAACGGTGGCGCAAACTACCTAGCCTGGCAAGTAGGCCAAGACGACTATCTGACTCCCGAGCCCATCCGCTACGCTCGTCGCATCAAGGATAATGGGCCTGTTCCTGATTTCACTACAAAAGACATAACTTGCAATGTTGGTGGTAACCTGCCAGCCAAGGGTGTCATACCTGTTATGCCAGGGGACAAAGTGTATGCTCGCTTTCTTCTTTTGCCCCCTCACCATCGCCTCCTTAACACGAACTCATGTCTTCGATACTAACCTCCACCAAGCAAACTTCAATGGGATCAATGGGGCTCTTCCCACTCAGGCCCCGTGATGAACTACCTCGCCTCCTGTGGCACCAACTGCTCAACTTTCAAAGGTGACACCGGAACACCCTGGGTCAAATTCGATCAAATGGGCTACGATACCATTAAATCTCCTCCGTGGGGTTCGGATTTTCTGGCCAAGCAAGGCGCAAGTTGGACTCTGACAATACCTGCGGGATTGAAGGCAGGTGAGGTAAGTTATGTCTGTACGAAAGGCATATGGGATATACACTAACTTCATGCCTTCACACCTGCAGTACCTACTTAGACACGAGATTCTGGGACTGCATGTTGCAGGGACGAGGATGGGTGCGCAGTTCTACCCTGCGTGTGTTCAAATCAGCGTAGGCGGAAGTGGGTCAAAGGCGTTGCCGGCTGGAGTTGGCCTACCAGGTGCGTATGATCCAGATGACAAGGAGGGAGTGCTTGTGCAGCTTTGGCAGGTGCAGGCCGGGCAAAGGGGATATACACCACCTGGTGGACCTGTCAAGACTATTTAGGAAATCAAACAGAAGGGACAGAGGGAGCAGAGGGAGCAGAGGGAGCAGAGGGAGCAGCTGGAGAAGATAAATGGGGTAATCTTGTAGTGTGAAAACGAGACCAAGTTACCCTCTTTCCAATTACCTTTGCATGAATGTTCCAAGTCCTCATAGGGCTGCAACGAGCGTGTGCTCGAAAATGGTTAATTTAGCACAGCTACCAAGGCCATCATGTGTCTAACGTCCTAAGAGCGTGCCGCTAACTCTACAGCGTCGTGAACTATTTCCTCAAGAGTCACCTTGGGTAGATCCAGCTTCCTGTTCCATACCTCTTGCTCAGCCTCGAAGTCATACCCGACATCCACGTCAGCACCGAAACTGATAGCTAGCAAAGGAAATGTTGCACTCAGGTCTCCAGCATCGAACTGATCTCGAAACCTTTTGATATCCGGACTACTCTGCTTCTCCTCAACAAGAAATCTGGTCTTCGTCTCCGCTTCTAGCGCGCTTACAATCTGTCTCGTGCTAGCCGAAAAGTCACACAAGAATATCTGCTTGTTCGCTGTCATGGCTGGGTCAAGTAAAGCTTTCGCAACTGCCAGCCCTGTATTCTTGCTGCTTGTGATAGCGAAGCGCCTCGTCCCAGAGTCGTATACTGTTGCCTTCCTCCCTTTCACATCGATACTGAGGAAGTTGCCGGACTTTGCAGGATCGAGTGCCCAGTCTAGCCAACTTCCGCAACAGATGCTGCTCCACGTCAGCTTGCCTTGGCTGTTTTCGCATGCCTTCATAAGATACTCCAACATCTCGCCCTTGCGGTCGTAGGTAGGGACAAGTGCACGAGCCCGGGGGTCGAGGTTGTTCGCGCCAAACTCGCTAGGGATGAAGCGTCTTACGTCTGCTGCGAGCGCAGCGTCGATGAGTCGAAACGCTAGACCATCCTTTTTGCCTGAGATAACAGAGCCAGTGGTAAGTGCAACTACGACTGCCTCCTGTCCCCTGAAAGCTTCGGTAAGTTCTTCGGTTGTGAAGGCGTCCGAGATCTTGATGACTGGGATATCGGACGGGAAAGAGGCTGATGATGATGCGCGGCTGACGATGGTGACGTTGAAGGAGGGTTCGGTGAGGAGTGCGTTGAGGATGGGTGCGCCGACCGAGCCGGATGCTCCGAGGATGAGAACGTTCTTTATGTGGCTCGACATGAGAAGGTCTGCTTATTGTGAATGGTTCTTCCTGTTGAATGGGATCAAATTCTGCTCGATGGTCTGTTGTCCAATTTTGTTCATCTGTCCTTATATAATATCATTCATATATTGTAACGATGTGGTGTCATGCTTCGTAATCGGAGTATGCAAACGACAATCTTTAAAATCCCCTCAAGTTTCTCATGCATCGGCCGCCGCATGCTGGTGTGATGCGACAGTTGTTTCTAACAATACTCACCAAGGGCTTTACACGATGATAGGTTCTTGCATGGTGTTGGATAAGCAGCACGTGATTATGGTCAACACTTGCGGTATAGTGGGTATGCGTGGTGTCGGCCGCTGCATTTACCAAGGCATAGTAATCGTCGAGTCACGTAAGCATACGATCTTTGACGCCTGGGTGAACTTCATCCAACCAGTCGTCGACTGATATGATATAAAGTCCACCGCAGTTTGAACGGCCGGTCATGAGAGTCCCACGAAGCGCAAGACATGGCAAACATGCTGAAGTCTGTAGGGACGAAGGTCGTCATGGAATAAGAGCCTGGTACCACAATCTGGCTTCGAATGCCAGCCGGCGGCAGTCGTCACGCCGTCGATATGGTGAGACCCGGCCTTGTTAGTATAGCTACGTTTTAACGGCGAGTTGTTTCGGGCGCGGTGTCGGAGCATCGCTGGAAGGGTTGTAAATGTACATTGGGTGCTCGACATTTCGTGATAGTTTCTGTTGGGGGGGGGGGCGGCGCGTTCGGGCCGCTGCCGCCCGGCGTCAGCTCCTCCGAATGCTACTGCGTCGCTACATCCTCCTACGCTCAACACCGTCTCCCCGACGCTCGTCTTTTTCAAGCCAGTAGCTCCTCGGTTTACAATCCTTTGCGAAGCGACGTGGGGGAGATTTGATACTGAACGGCTGGACGACGTACTTCGCAGAGCAGGACTAGGGTCTGCCCGGCGAGGATTTTTGAAGGATTGTTCTCGGCATCCCCTATACAAATCGATTGTGCTACCAGTGCCATCCCCTCAGTTTCCGTAACGCTACACGAGCGCTTGAACCCCGTGTTCTTCCCGAACAGTATCCACCCTGCGCGACATTCAGCACAGAAGGTGCATTGTACCAACGATATCTCCACAAACCCAGCATTCAGACGATGAACAACTCATATGTCTCGAACAAGACATCTGGTTTGCAGATCGAGAGCAGCTATCTACACGCCACTCAAGTATCCAACCGAACGCGTTTCTTTAATGCTCACCTACTCTAGTTATCATTACAGCTTCCAAGGATACCCGCTGTTGCATTGCGCTCGCCACCATCGAATGCCAACTGAGCTAGTCCGGTTCCACCATCATCACGATCAAGATTAATGCCTTTGTGACCTTCCCACATCAGACCGGTCATGTTAGAACATTTCAATATGGATGACAGCCGATCCTGTTGGACCAAGCTGCGCCCAAAGTTGGTTGCAATTCCACATCTAGCTCGAGTTAGAATAGAGCACTGGAGGTGGAGTTGGTACGCTCACTGAGCAGGCTCACCCGATACGTTGCCATACCCGGCTTAACAGAGTAGTACCAACCTACCGGATTGATATGGGTTACTGCTTAAGCTCCAGCAATTTCTACGGCAGCTTTGACGCATCAGGCTTATTCGGTAGCCGCAAACACGCGAACATGAAGACATACGTGTCTCGTATCACAATGGTGTTGGCAGATGCCGTGTGAATATCATTGCCTAGAGAAGCGTAGTTCAGAGTCGCCCGGCTTCCCGACTGATGGTGTTGCGTTTATAGCAACGTTTTACGGGAAGGATAGCTCCACGCGACAAAACTCAGAAATACCGGTAGCGCTGGTGGCGCACGGAATCTGACCCTGTCTAATCAGCTTGAATGCGATGTATCTATTTGGGGCGCGATTCTTAGTGCCTAAAAGCTCGTGCCAGTAAAACTTCCCACTTGGCTGCCCATGTTACTGGCCTGCAATTTTGCTGGCGAGACGCAATACATCGCGATACCAGTATGATTACATGATCGCGCCTGTGATTTTGCAAGGGTCTAACTGAGCGATAGAGCATCCCGGTATCGAGTTACCATACTGGATGGAGACGCGGCTCTCAAACACCGAGGATTGGATAACATGATCGGTGCTTGAGGTAAGTTCCAAATGTACAAAACGCATAGGATGCATCTAGGCTATATCAAGCCTGGAGCTACAGCATACAAAGATGGCTTTCGCTATGGCTTTGTTCTATCCTTGCCCGAACTCGCCTATTTCCACCTTGGTAGGATCCCTCCGTGTAGGGCCACCTAGCTAGGAAACAAAGAATACATAGTTGGTATGCGCTATGTTCCCCACATAAGGTCGAGTTACGAGCTCTTGTTACCTAATAATCCCAGGGTCTCAAAGACGTCTAAGTGTTTCATGCACAGACATCTAAGCTCAGCTAGGGACATCCTGCAAGTACGACCATACCTTGTTCCGGTGTATCCAGGCCTAAGACGCATGCATACTCAAGGATGTAACCCGTTTATCCGCAAGCCTATGGAGAACTGATTTCCGGGCTGATTCCGCGGGATTTTAGTGACGACCGCATAAGCGTTGTCGCAATGCAGGTTTAGTATAAGTTGTTAATATCTCGATTGAACTTCCAACTCATTTTTTAAGGCTGTTCAAGATTGCTCGCGGTTACTCAATAAGCAAGGCTTGCCTCGTTTATGTTCTGCCATTATTTGTTTATTGTCATTACATATGCGCGTATCGTTATGACCTTTGAATCGAGCAAGGCCAGAACGACGACCAAGAGCCAGAGGCCAGAAGCATCACGTACATCGAATACGAACAAAGTCAACTCTTCGCTAGAGCTGAAACCTACAAGAAGCCATGACATCATCATGAAATTCTTGAGTTCGTGGCCAAGGAGCAACGCACGAGGAGAAGTACGATCAAAGGAGCAGATCAGACCCACGCATCATGTATTAGCGGCTTTCGTCGCACTCTGTCTCTCCATATTCCTGTTAGCACTCGACACCGTACTCATACCAACGGCTCTTCCCACGATCTCTCGGTCTTTTCGCATCTCCGACTCCGTATACGCCTGGACGGGATCTTCCTACCTTCTCGCGAATGCCTCATCCATCCCTTTCTGGAGTAAGCTTTCGGACATATTTGGTAGGAAACCGGTCATTCTTGCAGCCAACGCAGTATTCCTTGGCGGCAGCATCTTGTGCGCCGTCAGTAAAAGTTCTTCCATGCTCATCTTTGGTCGAGTGGTCCAAGGTCTGGGCGGAGGGGGCGTCGTGGTTCTAGTACATGTATGCGTCAGTGACCTGTTCACGATCCGGGATCGGTCATTCTACATGGGTACCGTCGGCGCCGTCTGGGCTCTGGCATCCGCTCTTGGACCCGTACTTGGTGGCGTCTTCGCACAACGTCTTTATTGGACGTGGTGTTTTTACATCAACATACCAATCGTCTCGCTCGCAATCGTGGTTCTCTACCTTACATTGCACGTTCACAACCCACGAGTACCTCTCATGGCCGGCCTCGCAGCCATGGACTGGCTGGGTACTATCACAATAGTCACTGCTACTGTACTGCTGCTTGTTGGTCTCCAAGTAGGTGGTGTTACATCATACTCGAATGCAGGAGTTCTTACGTGCTTGGTGTTTGGACCGATTGCGTACATTGCCTTTCCTTTCTCACAACATTGGGTAGCTCAACATGGTGGGAGCCCAATTATGCCATTGCGAATATTCAAAGATATCAGCAACCTCTGCGCGTTAGCTGTTTGTGCATGCGACACTCTAGTCTTTACTTCGGTGGCTTACTTTCTACCTCTATACTTCCAAGTTGTCCTTGGTCGCAGCTCTAGGTAAGTGGTATTCTCGAAGACCGGATGTGAAACATATACTGACTTTCCACCCTTCTATCTGAAGTATCACAGGAGTTTACATGCTCGCAATCGCAATACCGTTAGCGATAATTTCATTTGTGTCTGGTCATGTCATCGAAAAGACTGGTCGCTTTCTCGAGCCGCTTCAAATGGGACTCTTTATTATGACACTTGGAGTCGGCCTGCTTATCTCGCTGGGTACTTCGCCAAATCTCGAAATCATCATTGTGGTGCTGATTGTCATCAGCCTAGGGTTGGTGTACGCAATCTCTATACATACGTCAATTACTAATGAATAGACCAGATTTGGTCCCAATTTCGGTGCACCGCTCATTGCTCTGCAAACACGGATTCAAGAATCAGATATCGCCTCAGGTACCGCAGCTTTTGGCTTTGTACGCACGATTTCAGGTGCGATTGGTCTTGTCATAGGCCAAGTGGTATTCCAGCTCCTCATGGCTCCATATTCCGAGATTGTTGACAGTGGCGTCACGAGGGACATTGCTTTGAAGTTTGCTGGAGGCGAAGCTATGTCTCAGAGCGTCATCGTCACTGAACTTACTGAATCTCAGGCCCATGTGGTTCGCCACGGGTTCATGAGGGCACTGAGAGGGATGTGGATCTTTTACACAATTGTCGGCGCAGTTGGTTTACTAGTGTCTTTTGGTATCAAAAGAACGAAGTTGCATCGGAATTCAATCACCGAGCTCGACAAGATGGAGTGTGCGCCGAGCGATGATGCGTCAGATAGCAACACGCGCGCACGCGGTTGATCGCTCACTCGCCCGCTTCAAGCCTTGGAAGAACACAATCATCGCACACAACCTATATCACCATGCATACTTAGGCGTTAGTTCCATTGCAATATGTTTTGCCAATACAGTAGCGCAAGATATATATACATTACGTTCTACTATTACTTACCCGCATTCCTGCTTCTTTTTAGTCATTCTAGCTCCTCCTCGCTTCAGCCTTTATCGCAATACTTGCAATAATCATTCAGCAGGGTTGCAGGGTTGGCTAACTTCTGCGTAGGCTTGGGTGATGGAGCCAGCAAAAGTGTCTTGGGCTGAGAGGATACTTCCGCCAACAGCTGGGAGGCTATGACAAGGTTATTTCGAACGGATGTAGAGCAAGAGAAACAGATAAACATGATGGGCACTTCCTATACATGCCCAGGAATAAGCTCGAAGTTTGAAGTTGCTCGGCAGCACTTCCCAATGTACCTAATGATGTCATCGTGGCTTTTCAACATCTCGCTCCTCCGGTTCTCAACCTTTCTCTTTACTACTCATCACCACAACAAACATAGGCATTTATCAGCTTTCTCCCGAGGTTACTGGAATCGAGTATGTACACGTGATATTACTCTGGTTCTGACGTGCTTCGTGATGAGACTCAATACGAGCACGCCACTGCTTCAGACCTGCAGTGCATGATCAGTAAACACAATAACGAGCCTCGGATCCCCTGCACTCAGCCAATCAATGCCGCCCGTTTCAATCCAACTCAGTCGAAACCTCTCTTTTATCATACCCCCCACGGTTGGTGAGTAATTCAAAATGCCAGATCTGAATCTGTGGCGCTTCGTCGTGCGGCCGTACTGCGGGCTCCGTACAGCAATGGGATCACAAAGTCTAGTAAACAATAGGACGTGCACTCTTGGCCTACTACATATCAGAGGGAGTGCCAACAAGCCCTTATTCAATCTGCATCGTCCTCAACCTCCCTACCGGACTCTTCGTCATGAGTTCCCGTCACCACCAAGATGGACATGCGACATTTATCCATGATCCAGAGAGTGCCCTTGCTGAAAAGCAGGAAGATTCCGATTTCGAGCATCAGCCTCCGGGCCAGACTGCGAATATCTCGGAAGAACAACGCGCCAGCGACCGAGTAGTGGATAAGGATGAATCGAGAACATTGCCTGTTAGTTCTCTAGACTGGAACGGCCCTGATGACCCCGACAACCCGCACAACTGGTCTATATGGAAAGCAGCTTATCATACCACGATCCCTGCCGTCTTTGGGTTTGCTGTGTAAGTTTTAAGCCAATTTTGATATATCACTGGGGAAGACTAATGATTCAGCACATTCGGCACGTCTGTGTATTCACCTGCAATTGCAGACGTGATGCGCGATTTTCAGGTATCGCGAACCGCTGCGCTTGTCGGAGTCACATTGTATACGCTCGGTCTCGCATTTGGTCCAATCTTTACCGCACCCTTTAGCGAAAGACAAGGCCGAAAACCTGTCTATTTATTCTTCTTTCCTATATTTATGCTCTTTACACTCGGTGCAGGCTTTTCAAAAAGCTATGCAAGCCTAATCATATGTCGGTTCTTCGCAGGCCTAGCGGGTAGTCCAGGGCTTGCCGTCGGTGCGGGGACGAACGCAGATCTATATCCACCACATAAGCGCGCCCTAACTACAAGCTTATTCTTGATGGCTCCCTTTGCTGGACCTTCAATTGGGTAGGTGACACTTGTAATCCATGAGGTTTTCGATTCTAATGATAGTGACAGACCTGTTGTTGGAGGGTTCGTTGCGCAGTACAAGACTTGGAAGTGGACCCAATGGTGCATCCTCTTCCTTGCTTTATTTGTGTACATCATCGCTCTACCAATGAGTGAAACGTACAAGCCGATTATTCTGAAGAAGCGAGCAAAGAAGCAGGGAATTGTCACAAAACAGGAGACTGCAGATCTGACGAGCGAGATAGTCATGAGGTTTATTCGGCCTCTCCATCTGATTTCAACGGAGGTATGTCTGCCAGTGCCTGCTCAGTCCCCATTGGCCTCCAGCTAATCTTGCGTAGCCAGTGGTTTTCTTCTTCTCGCTTTATACAGGTTTCGCCTTTGCAGTGCTGTTCCTGTTCTTCGCAGCTTTTCCCTACGTCTTCACAAGGCCGCCGTACTCTTTCACGCCCTCTCAGTCTGGTCTCGTGTTTATACCCATCTTGATTGGCGTCATTCTTGGAGGAATAACTACCATTATCGTCGATCGCACACTCTACCAGAAAAAATATCGAGAGACAGTTTCGAATGGCAAGTCGCATGTTGACCCCGAGCATCGCTTGTATAGCGCAATGGGTGGTGCCTGGGGCATGGTCATTGGCTTATTCTGGTTCGGCTGGTGCGCTGATCAGGGCGTTCACTGGGCTCCCACTATAATTGGAGTTATACCATTCGCGTGGGGTAATCTCTGTGTTTTTGTAAGTCGTATCGTGACTCGAACTTGCGATACATTGGTGCTGACAAGCTTTTTCCATAGACATCCTCTGCACTGTATCTTTCAGACGTATATGGCGCGATGAACGGTGCATCGGCTATAGCGGCCAACGGAATAGTCAGATACATACTTGGGGCTGTCTTTCCACTTTTCACTGTACAAAGTAAGTCATGATGCGCGACTGTGGCAGGCTCGCAACTATAACAATATTACACAAGCTGACACTTATACCAGTGTACGACGCCCTCGGCATCGGTTGGGCGACTTCACTGCTCGGTTTTCTCTCCCTAGGAATGGTACCCATTCCATTCTTGTTCTTCAAATATGGACCCGCAATTCGGGCCAAGAGCAGATACCCAGTCGCAATTTAGCGCTATCCTAAAGCGTTCTCAGCGTTCAACACGATTTTTGAGTTGTCAACCATGGTAGCGACGCTCAAAGCTTTTCTTTAGACCTGGAAGTAGATTCCGAGGTTACCAGGACACCTTTGCCGTCATGCTTCGATTTGTCTTTCAGTATAGATTGTGCCGTCGCGCAAGCTCTGCGAGACATTTAGGAATTGCACTGGTATGTCAGACCTGTCCATAGAATGGTAGAATGAGGAAGACCAAGAGACGTGAAGTCGGCGAAATGGCAGCTCACCATGGTGAAGTCTGTGCCCACTGCAATGTAATTATCAAGCACAGTAATCACTCAGCATGCGCCGATGCGCCATGTGGCGTTGGAGTAATAATCGGAGTCTGTGCGAGTCCCTAAGCAGTAAAGTGGGGCCAGCTTGATGATTTCGTGCAGTGTTAATGAGGAAATGCACCGATGATTACATGGCGTACGCACCGTTGAAGCTCTGTCGACCCTACCGTTTTCTAATCATATTGCTGATCACTAATTACAAGCGGAGATGAGTCCGTGGCTAAGAATTGCTATACCCAAATCAGTATGAAAGATGACGACATAGTATCAACGTTGCTGAGATCTGATCTACGAAGATATCTGGCTAGTTGGACCTTACGGCAATGTAGCTAAGTACTACTGAGTTCTCTAGACGGTGCTTGTCGTAATGAAGATCAGGCGAAATCTGGTCTGCTACGAAGTTGTGAGCCACTCTTGGCGTGGACGCGCATGGTACATGGGGGCTATTTGGCAAAAGGTATTGAGGTTCGAGAAGCCTATACGTCTTAGCTAACATGCGGGGTGGATGATGTCACGCATCACACACTTCGGAACGCGACTATATCCTTCGGGCGATTGAAACAACGCATCCATCTTCCATCCGTCCCGTTATTGATAGGCTCACTCATCTAGCATGGCGTATCGTCGCATGGCAGCTCGCCAAGCGCCTGTAATTGAACAATCAAGCAAGAACCCCAGTCACATCTAAGAGGCTTTGCATTATTAGTAGCCGTATCATAACATGCCATCACGACTCACTTCTTGTCCTCTTGCAACCGTTTCCGCAGTATGTTCTTCCGCTCTTCGGGTTGGTTTTTGACCTTTTCGATCTCCTCCTGCGACAACGGCTCCGGCAGGCTCCCTGGGTCTGGCTCGTACCACTTCTCCTTCGGTGTCTTGGTGCCATCTGCGAACACAGGATCCGTCATCTTCGCCTTGTATTCTTCCGGGAAGCGAGCCAAAAAAGCTTCGATGAATTCAGGGCCTGTACGACTGGATTAACAATGGCCGTTCTCGTACAAGAGAGGCTTACTAAGGCCTTCTGCAGATAGCACTTTTCGATCTGCAGTCAAAGAGCGCAAGACGCCATCGTTGCCTAGGAATGTGATGCCGAGAATGTCATTTTTGAAACCTCGGAGTATGCGCGTGACCTCTTGCTGGAGTGGATCACTGGTGTCGTAGTTGGGCGTGCATTTTGGAGCTGCGGGCTGCTCTTCTTCCAGGTTTCTCTCACTCATGATGCAATAATTGGAAAGACGAAAACACACTAGATTGACTTCTGGGTATACGGAGGAACATAAACGGGGACAATCAATGAGGCCGCCCACAACAGCTGCGGATCAGCGTCATTCGCCAAGGGATGCCTAACGCACTTTTACAACGTGCATCTTCAGGTACATTGCCCTCCCATAAAAACATTACAAGAAAACGGGCCCTGCGACTCGTAGAAATCATAAAAAGCCATACCTAACATGGCAGACAGTTCACACGCAAAGTGCAGAACGTAAGCACTGGCAGCTAGGTACGCTCTCAATCAAAACATTATCAAGTTATCATCATGACATCCGCGGGACTCTGTCAATAGACATGCGAGCGGCTGCAATATCCATGGACATGCGAGGGGCGCGGTCGATTGAGTGCCTCGAGAGCTGGTAGCTCATGCGCCAATCAAGTGGCAGGCGGCCTTCGTTCGTAGTCCGTCGAGAGGCGTGGCCGACAACAACGTGCATCTCAAACTTGTCCAATCCGGTCTTCTGCAAGTAGGCTTCATATCCCTCCGACTTGGAAGCCCGCTTCATCCACTCCTCACTCACGGCCGATGGGTAGACTACACGCAGCAGAGGCTCAGCACCTCGGAATCGATAGTATTGTCGGATGTCGTCGTGGGGGAATAGATGCAAATCAATCCTCTTCATTGGTCCGTTGACCGCGGTCAGCCAGCTTTGGTTGCTGTTCTCGGGGTTCGGAAGAAGCTTGTTAAGCTCGGCAACGATCTCGGAGATACTGCGGAAGACTACTCCCTCGGTAGATGTGAAACGACAGTCGGTTCGGCGTGTGCGGACAAGGCATCTGATGAGCGGCAACAAGTCGATGGGTTCCATATCGAAGCACGCCGCATCGATGTCCAAGGAAACTTGGCCCTTGAGAGAATCCACTTTGACGAGATTCGACTTTTGGCTCCAAAGGTCGATGATGTAGTGCGCCTTCTTCGCGTATATCGGCAGAAACTCATTGCGAATCTGTTGGCATACTTGAGTGAGGTTGTAGTACTGTCTACGCGAAGTGCGCGCGGGTTCGCCTTCGCGTTGAGCCAGCGCCGGGTCGTCGTGTCGACACATCCTGATGGGCACCTCCTCGCTCATGCGCTCATAGATGCGGTTCCTTATCTCTGTGTTTCGTTAGCGCATGTATGGGGAAGGCGACTATGGTCTGACATACCTGGTGGCAAGTCAAGCAGCTGGACTGGCGCAGACTTCTTCGGTGTCGGAACATGCTCAACGGCATCATCGAGTTCAACGGTGGACGAGGCGGGCTCAGCGAGGGCGGGTTCCAAGGTCTCATTTTGTACGAGCGTGATAGCCTGCTCAGGTGTCTGCTCATGAACCGCTGTCACATCCGGGGTGGTCGCACGAGTTTCTGGTTCTGGCGTCGCGCACTGAACAGGAGTACTGATGGCGATGTCGAAAACTTCAGGCTCTGCTGCTTGCGCAACCGGAGTTGAGTTCCATGGTTCCTGCTCAGGCGTGGCGCAACGAACAGGTGGGGTAGGTGCGCGTGTCTCGTGTTCTTGCTCATGCTTTTCTTCGGGCTCCTGCTCTAGCACTGGCACAGACGTGTCCTGCTTGGTGGCAGGCGTAGCTGTGACGAGGACTCTCTGCTCGACCATCCATCCCGTAGTTGGCTTCGACTTTTCGGGGATGATAGCCAGCTCTATATCATCATCCTTGGTTAATCCGCTACCACGTTTCTCGACATCAGGCTGTACATCCGCTCGCACTTGACCTGCGACGCGCTCGATACCGTCTTCATTGGACGCAGGGATGTTGTTCGGCTTCTCAATCGTGGGGTGGTCGGTGGTTGCAGTAGTTCCATGCGCGTTGACGGGCTCGGGCGTCGCGTCGTTTGTTTCAAGCGGCTCCGTCGACGTCTCGCGCGTCCGTCTCGCCCGACCACAACTGAAGAGGTCGCCCAAAAACGACATGGTTACTCTCCCACACCACCACGTAAGGTGCGTGGATGTTAGGACTAGTACCGTGGGCAGGTAGTACAAAAGTAGGGAAACCGGCACAATCTACCTTGGGGTGTCTCCTAGCTATTATGTTCCTCCGGCCAGGATTGCGGCATCTAGCGAAAATGAGGGCTAAGCCTTTTCCATGATCGATGAAACGTATTGGGCGAATGAAGTGGTGTGTAAGATTGCTATCATAGCGGGATGACCGGGGTGAGGTACGTGCTTTACCCCTGATCGGCGCTGATATCTCCACTTCTGATCATGACTATCTTATCTACACGTGCTGCGGCACTTTCACAACTCCATCAGCTGGCATCATGCCCGCATTTTCTCGCCCTGCCGGTAGTCCCCGGAACGGCGCGCGCGGATGCTGCGTCTGCTCGTTCCTTACAATCTCATCAAGGTTGCGAGGCAAGCCTATTTGCAAGCTCGCTCCCGCTCGACCACCATTTCATCTCGGATAACATGCTAACAAGAGTAACAAATTCACCGAAGAAAAGCATCGGTCAACTGACTACCCGTAGCGGAACTCTCCAGTTCTCCTTTCCTAGTTCGACGCAAGGCCGTCTAAGCACGTGCGAGCTTGCCCAGATATCGCAGTCTAACCCCGCTGGAGTTGCGGAAAGATCTTACCCACGACGTCATGATAGATCACGGTCCACGATGAGGACCTGTCAGGCAAGAGAATTTCATGAACCTCTCATAAACCACACGGGTGCATCGCACAAAAATCCAAATGACGGATACGCGATCAACAAGCACATACCAAGCACGGCACAACGACCTAGTAGTTGAAAATATCGAAATGAGGATGAGCAATGAACGGTTCAGTGTAAACTTAACCCACCTCCTAGTCCTTCCTTCTTTCCGTGCCTCGTGCGTTCGACTTTCCTGTTCATCGTCTTCAAAACGATCAACCAAGCGAATTGATCATTCGCGATGTGTCTGCGATTGGTTGTTGTTCATAAGGACTTTGTCGATATGCTTTTGTGGTCATATCAGCGGCCCCGCCATCTGATTGCAGCCGCTCCAGTAACTACTTAGGCGAACACAAACACTGTCTTTCGTTGAGTGTGCTACAGCTGCCGCAGCGCGATCTTATGTCAAGAGTACATAGTATGATACGTGCCCTGGTATCCCCACTCCCGACTTGTAAATTACGCGGATATGATGCAACTCCCAAGAAAAGTAAGGTGTTTGCCGCAAATTCGATAACGACACGCAAGACTCAGGTGTTTATAGATGCGTACAGCCATCCACAGGTACCTAGGGTCCATTCGTTGGCAATGCCGCGCCAATTGAAAGACTCATGGTCAGCTGTCTTTGTATGCAATACAGGCCTCTCGCTCTCCAACAGGCGACCTCGGATCTAGTGTCGTCTGTTGGTGTCTTGGTGCCATCTAGGGAGCAGATACTATTTCCCTGCATAGGCAGTATTCAGTCCTAGGTGTAGAGGTCAGGGGCAAAGGCGCCTACTCCGACGTGGCTTAGGTCAAAGTAGGGCCAAGGACGAATATGCTTAGCGATATTGGTTCTCGACCCTAACCCGACCGTCCGGGGGTAATGATACTGCTGTTCCCGGAGATAAGGGATTGCTTTTTAGGTTTCAGCTCTGTATGCCTACTAAGGCTAAGACGCTAGCCATTCCTCAGTCGATAGATACGCCAGACGCCTTGAGTATTTTTGATACGTCTAGAGATCGACACAACGTCGTACTTGGCCTCATGGTAGATGTATGCAGCTCTAGTAACATTCGCAACTAACCTAAGACGTGAACGCAGCTTGGGGAGCATTGTTGGAGCACACTGACGGAAGTCTGCCTCGAAGGACTTCCAAGACTATCGGACCTTCTAACAACAACAACAACAATGGTCATATCACAACAAGACAGTACTTGTTAGCTATTATCGGCATCATTCTAGCAGACGTTAATCACTGTATCGGCACATAATCAAACCAGCTCGTTCTCACCATTATACGTTCATCGTATACGGTGTCACCTCTAGGAGCTACGATGTGTCAAGACTGATGCAGGTAATCATATCTATCACGGCTCAATTTGCACTTATAGTGACTACATCACATTCTCGCATCCAAATGGTTGATGAGCGGCGCTCTCACATTTCTTTGTTCTAGCTATATGCATAGCACTCCAAGTAGATCCCACCCGCTCCTTTTCCCATCTGCTTCATCTCAACCGGATCGTATATATTTAGATCATCAGATATCTCCTACTGTGACAAGGATCATCGCCCTTAACCACAGTGGCATGCACCACTGAGGCAAAGTCCAGCACCGCCTGCAGACAAAACATTAACAGATGCACCAGAGGCCATGCTTTTGTGATCACAACTTACAGTTCTCGGTCCTGGCCCAGTTACCATCCTCACCGCACCGAAGCTAGAACGGTGTTAGTTCAGTCTTAACAGCAGATGAGGTCTAGTGATTGGAAGCGGTCGCCAAAGTACTTACTACGTGCTTCAAGTTGTTGCTGCATGCTAGGTTTCCGGTCGCGCCGTGGCAGGTCGTTCCAGCGTTGTGGTTGTTGCCCTTTTCACACTTCTGGGCAGAGCCGGTGAGGGCCATGAAGGCAATGATGGCTAGAGCTTTGAACTGCATTGTGTTCGGGATCGAGATTCGTTCGAGGGTATATTTTTGTTCTCGTAGGGGTTCCTGTAAAGAGAGATTGTGTGTGTTCAGATGTGAAATAAGAAGGAAGCAGAACAGAAGCTGCCTATATATGTTAATTCTTCTCTTAGTGACGTAGAAACACAGTACGCGTACGGAGAATGTGCCTTTGGGACTTCTGGAGGCCTGATCCTTATGGCAACGGTCATTGGTTGGAACACAGAGAAAGAGCTGGAGAAGAGTACGTAGCAGTGGACTCATGAAGACATACACTAGTAGTGTATACGGTAAGAGAGCGACGGGACGGAGCGGTGGAACCATGAGAGCAAGCGCCGTGGGCCTTACATTAGCGTCGCGGGCCTTGCATTAACGTCGCCGAAAGATGGAGCTGTCAAGCTTGAGCAAAGGCTTATTCTGTGTATGCCGTCACCGCCGCGAATTGTTCGCTGTGGGATCTGGCTTTTGCAAAAGAGAATAGACACTGAAGATGTTTGTGTTGTCCGTGATGTTGAGAACAGGTTCGCGATCTATCTTGGAAGCGCAACAAGAAGCGGACCTGGTGTATCAAGCATTCTTGTCCAGGACTAAGCAATTAGCCGAGTACTTAGCATTGCGATCTGCCGAAGTAGATGAGGCCGAGGGCCGTAAGGTTGATGATTTAGTGCGTGATTAGGGGCATTTAAGCTGCAAGTTGCACATCTGGATCTTACCTAGGTACTTCGTACATCTTCCGAGGTCAACTGGCACGGCCTATCGTTTCCACCGGAGTCTATCTATGGGCTACCCTGTAGTAGTTACGTGTTGTTCTGGCGATCCATTGTTACCAGATAATTTTCAGGGTAGTGGAGCGCACCTAGTTACCTTCCATAACTAGTTAGCTCCCGAAACCCTTAGTAACATCTCATCATACTACGTCCGTAGTACCTAGTAGTAACATTGGCCAAGTCAGTATGTCCACCTGCTGATACACACTAATAGATAGTGTATGGCACCCATTGCGTACGTGTCGAAGGATCACCAAGCACAGACCCCAATAAACCGTGTAAGCAGCACGCCTTGAAACGGCGAGGCAGAGTGCGAGGGAAGTCGCGATACTTTCATTGGTTGTCGGAAGTGTAAATGTGCGAAAAAGATCCATTGATCGCTGGACAACGTACGACGACGGCGGTGGCGGATAGGCAGTGGATAAGTAAATGCCTTATCTCCTGAGTGGGACGCCGGCTGCTGGTAGCGAATGCGAAAGTTAACGCAGATGAAGAGTCAGGTGAGTAGCCAGGGATCGCAAAGATGTGCTTTTCTAAATACATCGGGTGTTCGAGGCAGGTGATATTGGAAGCGGGACGGAAACTACCGGTCACAGAGAGACATCAACAAGACACGAAAAGGAAAAGGACGAGAATGAATATGTTCAAAATTACCTATGTCTCGGACCCTTCTTCGTGGGGTGGCTACCACTAGATGCACTTCTCCACTACTCAGGATTGGTCAGTACCGAGATCACGACTGCGGACCGAATACAGTGTTCCACTGCCTTGACGTCGTCTTTTTTCCCTTGCAGTCTTCCAATACATTTAATGCTAAGGTGGATAAGCAGATTCAATGACATAAGCAGATATGTTCCAACCAAGTAGTGAAGATGTGTCACTGCCTGCCAATTTCGGAGTTAAGAAGAATAGCTGTCGGGTCAGTAGGCAAACGTACAGATGTAGCTGCAACCGTAGACTAGCGCGGATTAGCGGGACCTGAGGGATACTCATGCTTCTACAAACGAAGAGTCTACGACCCACAATCTATTTGGTCTTTCAAAGCATCCAATCTCTACGATACGAGGCAATCCACACAAGTGCAGATGACGACGTGCGACCGCACCTGGTGATCTGCTCCCTACACAAGGCAGCGAATTGAATAAATTTTGGATTAGGGGTATCACTAAATTGATACTACAAAACATATCCAATTTGCTTTCTCCACAGCCTGCCAGTTCAACCCTGCTGCCACAAAGCGGTAGTATGACCTTGGAAGCTAACCCCATCAATCTCCCTAATTTCCTCGTTACTGAGCCTCCACCCCAATGCCGCGCAATTGCTGACCGCCTGTTCCTCCTTCCTCACACCGACAACAGGTGTGATTCCCTTACACATATTGTAGTTCAGCGCCACAGCACTCAGTGGCACACCGCGCTTTTCGGCAATCTTTTTCAGCAAAGCATTGACAGGCTCGATATCCTTCATATCATAGCTAGAGAAGCGATATGTCTTTGGTGGCGGGTTGTCTACCGTGTATTTACCTGTAAGACGACCTTGGGCAAGCGACGAGTATGATTGCAGGACGATACCGCGTTCTTTGCAAGCCTGAAGGAGACCAGAGAGTTCCGGTTCTCGGCGGAGGACAGAGAATTCGACTTGATTGATGGCAAGGGGGACACCATACTTGGCTAGTTCGTCTGACATCTTGATCATGTCTGCGAGGCTGTAGTTTGCTACGCCAACGGTCTTGGTCATGCCCTTTTCTACGCATTCTGCCATGCCTTTGGCGATCATAGAGATGGTCTGGAGATGGATGGGCCCATGGACAAGGTAGATGTCGATGTAATCAAGGCCGAAGTTCTTAAGTGAGGTTTCGAGCTTCTTCAGTGGTGCCATTGTAGGATGAAGGACATCTTTCGCTTGTGGTACGACGAAAAATTTGTCTTGCATGACGAAGCTGTCTCTGGGAAGGCCCTGGACTAGCCTCCCACAGATGGTTTCGCTCATTCCTGTACCATAGACTTGGGCGGTGTCGATGAAATTGACGCCTTTGCTGAGGCAGTGCTTCCAGGCTGCAGCTACATGGGGCTCTTCCTCAGGCTTCCAGTGCCAGGTAGAGGTATCACCCCACGACCATGCGCCGATGCATAGTGGCGGTGCGTGGACATCACCGTTCTTGCCCTTGTATACAACCTTGGTGTCAGCAGTTGGGACCCAGTCCTCTGGCATTACGGCGGCAAGCCCATCATATGAAGGGTCCACTGGGTTGGGTTTGGTGTGCTTGCCGCTATGAATGCCAGTCACGGCTGACATCCCTGAGCTTAGACCGGCTTGTAGAACGTGCTGCATCTTTACGGATGAACGTGACTGAAGTAGAGAATGGAGTAAAAATCAGAGTTTGAATGTGACTTTGGTGCTTTGCTGCCTCCAGCGTGTTGTTATACTCGCGCGACAGCCAGATCGATGCGACGGCAAGTCGTCGGCATCATAGCCGAGCACCTTGTATGATGCGGCAATGATACTTACATTAATTCACAGCCTATGCGCAGCCGTTGTTCCTGCATGGGTGGCACAAGTCCAGGAATAGATAGACTAGACCCTGAGATACAGGGGGCGAAACTGCGTGACGTTTTGGGGTGGATGTCGAGATGATGTAGAAGTGATGTAATCGTTTCACCACGTTTTTTTATGTCGGTACTCACGACGCAGACATGTCAAATTGATGTTCGAACTGTACAAAAAACATGTCCGTCGTAGTATGGACGTATATGCAGGGACCTAGAGATGTGTTTAGGGATTGTGGCTCGGTAGTCGCGGCCGTTTTTCGGTGGTGGCCGGGAGCTAATCGTGGAAACCTCAAGCATGGCGTGTGCGTTCGGCGCCGACGCCAACGTCTCTTGAGGTGCAACACTCAGTTTTCTTCGAAACTATTGGATTGCATCATGTATATCGTATGAGTCGAAGTAAATTGAACGGTGTAGTGAACAAGTTAATACAACAAGAAAAGAGTATTTGAAGTAAACTACCATGTAGTCGGTAGAAATGGGAAAATTTATTCGTTTATCTTGTTGCACGTAGCATTTACAGAATGCTGTTGTCTGCGCACGTAAAGGCGCCATTGACGTCCGTAGTGGCAAACACGTTCAGCAACGCGTCGATACTGGCATACATGCCTGGAACCACCATGAAAAGGGTAACGCACATGATGAAGACGTTGAATGCGGCCATCGCAATCTTCTTCTTGCTCGAGCGCCACTTGCCGTTCCAGTTGAGGTGGAACCAGAACAGTACGGTAACACCCCAGGTGAACCATGATAGCAAAAGCGCAGCAGAGATGTTGAGAAGGGAGCTGAATACTGGAATAGCGTTGGCGAGGATCCAGACGACGACCCAGAACAAGGTCACAGAGAAGATCCAGACAGCCCATTCAGTTTTCTGGCCCATGTGGCTCATAGCGATGGAGGCGCGACGGCCGCGTGATGAACCGGAAGAAGATGAGACCTCTTCGTTGAAGCTACCATTCTTCTTGGCCTGGTGAGTACCAATCACGCGCAAGAAATAGACGTGTAGGTAGCGTCCGGCGGTCATGCCAAACACTAAACCAGTTCCAAGAAGCCCAACAAAGATGAGTCCGTATGCAACCTTTGCCATCAAAGGCTGTAGAGATCCGAGCGCGGGCGAGGCGACGGACTCCCCGGAAAGTGCGTAGACGACTGCGGCGACAATGCAGTAGATGGAAGTAGAGACACACTTCTCAATCGTGACAGCGCGTGGGTAATCACGAGAAGGGTTTTCCATCTCAGCGATGACAGTAGGGAAAGCCTGGTTCCCGCTGAAAGCAAAGGCGATGTTCAAGAAAGCAGCAACAGCTTCCGTGAAAGTGGGGCTTCCGATGGCCTTCAGGTTGAGTGGTGCTCCCGCGTTCCGGGGGCCTTGGACACCAAGGACAATCATAACGAACATTACAGCCGCAAAGATCGAGATGGTGCAGGGCCACGATGCCCATGACACGAAGCGCATGCTATGGGGTACGCACATAGCCCACATGGCAATGGCCGCGACGACTGTGAAGGCGACCGTGCAGGTCGCGTGGTCGCTTACCGTGTTAAGACCGATGGAGATGGTGACGACCGCGGATGCGCTGATGAGGGCCATGTTGATCAAAAAGCCAATGGCAAAGACGAGTTCAAGCCAGGGGCCACCGAGGACGCGTCCGTAGTCGACAATGTTGAGCATGTAGGGGTACTTGCGCCAGTACTGGATGAGATTGTAGGCGGTGTACAAGCTAAGCATTCCCATGCCAATGATGGCGACGATGCCTGGGAAGAACCCGAGAGTGTTGAGAGCGGCTGGCAACGACAAAATGCCAATTCCAACCTCATTCGTTACGAAGATGATGACAGTTTGTGTGGTGTTGAGTTTCTTAGCGTCGGTACTGCTTGTGGGTCGTTTGCTTGCATTCTGGATGTCGGTAACGTCGCCTAGGTTTGTATCGTTTTCGGAGTAGGTTTCGAGTTTTTCAGGGTCTCCGTGCTTCTTCTGTCGCAGAGGGTCTTGCGGATCGTAGGTTGGGTCTGCTGCAAGGGCAATAGTAGGTCGCTGGGCAGATACGGGTAGGGCATTGAGAGCATTGGGCTTGTTGTCGAGTTCATTTGTATGTTGCATGGGAACGTCGCCGTGGGCAGAAGCGAGATCTTTGTGGTCCATGGTTAGGAGGTCAAGCACTTACGCCTGCATATATCGTTTTCGTGTTGTATGTGGTGAAAGTGGGAGGATTGGAAGGGATGAGGAGGAAATAGTCAAGAGACCAAGTTATTGATGGAGAAGATTTGATGGAGGCTAAGCTGAGCAGATAAAGAGATGGATGGGTAAAGAGATGAAACCGTCACAGCGCAGTGTGGAGGAATTCAAGGACATGGAGAATTACGTACTACCGCACATCGCACTCGGACCAAGAACAGTAGCTGTTGATAGCGCGGTGAGAAATGCGTCCGAACTCTAACGGGGACTGTGCACCCAATAGCTGGTGGCACTCGGGGGCAGGGTCTCTTGGAAGCGTGGAGGCCGAATGGCTCTTTTATCCACTTCAGGCATGTGGGCCTCCCCAGATGCCGTATAGATGAAGCTGTTAGTAAAGGGACCGACTTGGTGTTTCGCGAAACGCGCAAGTGCGGCACGCTGGGTCCTTCCGGACGATGCGCAGCCTTCCCACGCTCCCGTTCCTATCAAAAGCTGTATCGCATGCGGAGAAGGGTCGTGGTGACGTCTGATGTCCATCCACGTCGGGAGCAAACGCGCTAGTGAGAGCCGCATTGGATGATGCGAGATCCGTGCCGAAGAAGGCCGGTGTGACATCCGGCAGCTTGGCCACCATCGTCATAGGTCTGGGCACCTCGCGATGTATGTCAGTCTCAGATGGCGAGTGGTGTGAGCGTTCTCTCAATGCCAACAACTCTCCGAATATTCAGACGATGTACAGACGTTGAATCAGTGCTCTGCGCCAATTCCGCCAGGAGATAGGAAGACGACAACCGGAACAAGGTTACGCTGGGTCGCATTGGCAGTGAATGCAAAAATTTCGCGCGGTAAAACGTCGGCCGACATCCTCAATCTCACCATGTTACATCCAGTGAAAGTGAGGCACTGGGAAGCCTAGACGCACGGACGGTTGGCATAGCGGAGGAGTTGGGATGGCCAAGCCCGGTGTCGCGCGACAAACCTCGAGGCCAGATGTATGCGATACGTTTTGACAGCTTCCCAGGCAGGTCGAGAATCACCTCCAGACCGAGCCAGACAGCGCGAATGGGATCGCGGTACTTGAACAAGGAGGCATTTCCTCTGCATCGATGTCGCTATTGGAAGGTACAAAGCCGCAGGAGCCGAGAAGGAGTCGCATATGGTAGCCGTAGGCGTTGGATTGCGATCGAACGAGAGGGCAGCCAGAACAGTTCGCGTGGGTCGCGACACATCAATCATCACTCCATTTCCGCTGCAAGGTACCAAGTGGCCGTATCTGTGGAGTCGCGTGGGAAGTCGCATAGGAATCGCGCAGTGTTCTACTGCTGGCATGTCGCTCTGGATGACGAAAGTGTTGCTCTTGGATGGCCATGTTGGCATGGAAAGCTGTCAGATCAGTATCAGAATCTCGAGCAGAATGCCGAGTATTTCCCCGCAATCTCTCGAGCGAGTAGGTCAAACGAGAAGAGATTGTGATCATTGTGGGATTCCATCGAGGGTATTCTCGGTTGAAGGTTGCGTGGGCGGAGGGAAGGGTTGATGAGAGGCCCCTTACTGAGTGGACACGCATTTCGGGTTACGCGTCAAGCTGACTCATGCGACTTCATTTTCTCGTGGATCCTTTGCAATTCCCACCTGGCCCACCTTCGCCGCGAGAATTCTGCAGTTGGAGCGGTTCGGGTCGCCTCACAAAACACGTCTTTTGTTTCTTCACCGTCATAGTGTTGCGCCTCGTCCGCTCGTATTGCGCGCTCGGCAGCGTCCCCCAAGATGCGGCGCTGGTGTGGCTGTGAGGCGGGCTGACAGGCGCACGGGTGCACTACCAGCCGTTCTTTCCGGGCGGGAAGGCGCCAAAAAGCTTGGCTTACGACTATCATCACCATTCTCAAACCATTCAGGGCCGCGCAGGAGCGTCAAGCATGTCGACAGCCTTCTTGGCGTCTTCTGGTACGCGCATGCCTTTCCCCAGGAATGCCAGGAGGTGAAACGAGAGATCGGTAGCCCGGTCCACCCCATCTTCAATGTGATGCCTCTGTTTTCTCACCTTCAGTCGTCGTCTTTTCCCTTATCGTCTGTTCGAGCGAACAACCTGCCGATTTCCCTGTTTTCTCGATAACCCGTCCCCGAGACACCTACCGCTCCACCCGTCCTTACCGAGTCGCTCTTTCTTTCGTCTCTCGCTCTTGCCTTCTCGTTTCTCCACATCCGCCATGATACCCCGGATAGCGCTCTCGGCGCTTCTCTACGCCTCCACCGCATTCGCTGTGTGCACCAAGCTCGAAGACTGTCCCCAATTCGAAGCCCTCAAAACCGATGAATGTCAGACCTACCATCACTTCCTCGCCCGCGGCTCTACCTCGCCCTACCCGGGTCACGTCATCGAGACTGTCGGCAAAGTGTGCAACGCACTCAATACCAAGGAAAACCCCAAGGCTTGCGGATATGAGGATGTGCAGTATTGGGCCATGAACGGTGGAGAGCGATGGTGCATATCCTCGCACGAGGGTGCCATGAACGGCGCCGAGCAGATGAGGAACTACACTGCCCGCTGCCCAGACAGCCACTTGATCGTGATGGGCTTCAGCCAGGGTGGAAGCGTCATGCTTGATGTGCTTGGTGGCGGTGGTGGTCCACTATGGGGCTGCACGCAAGAAGAAAACCCGGCCATGAACATTACAAGTGCGCCTGGCTCCAAGGGTATGTTCCGGCTATCAGATCGAATTTGAATTGCATACTGACATCTTCACAGTCGCAGCAGCAGTCGTATTCGGCCCTACACGACGTTCCGCAAACCAAACCTTCACTCATGGCGGCGGCGAGATCTCAAACGGCGGCGCACCACGAACAGCCGAGCAGAATGCAGGACTCCAGCCCTATGCTGACGCCGGCAAGCTCCGCGAATACTGCCAGCCCGGCGACCCGATTTGTGCACCCCAGAGCGAGAACAAAGACATGTCCAAGCACCTGAACTACTTCGACCTGTTCGGTGATGAGGCAGCGCAATGGGTCATTGACCTCGCCAAGAAAGCTGAGAGCGGCGATCGCACGTCCGGCGCGAAGAGCATGCTACACCAGACCATCTCCCATCCTGTCGCCAACATCTTCGTTCTCATCTTTGTGCTGTTCGTCATATAGTAAGTCTATTTCCATACAGTGGTTCCATAGAAGCGCGATAGACGGAGTGGCGTTAAAACTTCTGGGTTTGCCATCGTGAAAGAATGTAGACTTATACCGTGCAGTTTCGCAGTGAGGAAGTTCGCCGTGTGGAAGACCTCGCGCTTCCCCATGTACACTCGCGTCAACTTGACCGAAACCGTATGAGGCACCACTAGCGCAGTTCCCTCGCTGGACCCGAGTTCGACACGCACTACATGTCTTGGGCATGCTTGGCGCGATAAGGTGTGGCTTAGCAGAGCCGCATAGCCGGAATGAAGGGGCAGTGCCACACTGCCACCAAAGAAGAAATGCGGTCCCGAAGAGCAAGAGGCGAAGGGGGTGCTGAGTGCAGGACGTGCAGCTTATGTACCCTTACCCTGAGTGCGGAGATACCCTTCAATTGTACCATACTATATGGATATAACAATATTTATTACCTACCAGTCGACTGGTTCGGCAAATCACAACACATTAGCCTCGGGTCTGTTGAATTCCACAGACCTCTGATTGCCACCTGTCGTATTATGCATAAGAGAAGTCGGTACCTTGAGCCCACCGCGAAACGCATATGAGTCTTTACTTGTTGCTATTGTGCTATTATACATGTGTCAATTGGCGCGCTGAGCGCATAGGTTCACTCTCCATCCTCTGCATCAACGAATGCCTCATCATCGCTAGATGCGAATCCTTCGTCTTCGCCCTCCGAGTCGTCGACATGCTCAATAGCGGGAACAAACTCCTCCTCATCATGATCATCATGGTCCTCCTCCTCTTCCATAGAATCGAGCTGGCCGGGTACGGCACGGGCAACATGCTGACGTAGAGCAGGATCATCTCCGTGTGCGAGTTTGCGGAAGAACGGATGATTCTCCGTAAGCGGCTTACCAGTAGTAACAAAGCCCATGGGAGTGTGCTCGAAGTCCTGACCTTTGCGGCGGAGGGCAAGCCACTCGTGTACTCGGCCTATGTTAGTGAACCATTGCCTGCTACATATTCGACATACGTACCGAAGGTGAGAGGCTTCTTTGCGAACGCATCCTTCTCGAGATGCTGAGATAGGTTCTCATCAAGACCAAGGTATTCAAGTAGTTGATAGTACTCGTCCCATTCTAGGTAGAGCCGCCCAGCGAAGAGGCCCATCTCGACACGAAGCCAGACAGGTGCCTTGAAGTCTGTGGGTAAAGCCGGCATCGCGTAATAGTCTAGTTGGTTGAAATGGAGCATCCTTCGGGTGACAGCCCTGTACATCTTTCATGAGAGCGGCTGGGTATTCGGCGCAAGGAAGTATCAACGGAGTCTGTCCCTTGCAGATGATCTTGACTAAGAGCTCGATCAGATAATTCTCGGCATCTTTGCGCAAGAAGTAAAGAAGAGGGAAGCCAGCGGACCCACGGTTGACCACTTCAATGCTACGAGGGTAGCGTGATTGGACACTTGAGGAGAAGTCCTTGACTAGGTGGAGTACAGCCTGGGTTACCTGCCACCGCATTGGATGACCATCTACTGTCGCCTGAGTGCCAGATGGATAGACAAGTCGAGTCCTGATTGCTAAAGATACGTCGCATTCATCCAGAACATCGCGAGTATGTTCATCCAACCAACGCTGTGTTTTGATCATCATGGAAGCCGTTTCGAGTTTTTCGTCACAAAGCTGTTGTAGTCCACTCAGCTTGAACGAGAGGATATGCTCCGGTAATGCGATAAGTATACCACGGCGAGCCTTCAAGCGTTCGTGCAACTTTCTGTATAGACTCATCAAGGCTTTGGTAGGAGACGTCTTTCGAGAGAAAGGTATATGCATCAATTCGCGATCAACCAAGCCACCAAGTTTGGCTTGCATTACTTGCGCTGACTGTAGTAGAAGAGCTCTCGGTACCACAACGCGAGCAAGGTTGGCTTGGTCAGCAAGGAGAGCTGCTGCCATAGCTATGAAACGTCAGTTTATGATGACCCAAGTATCTAACTCAGCACTTACGGAGGATACAAGATGTCTTTCCTTTACCCATCAAGAGTTGCAGGACAGAGTTCTCATTCGTCTGCGGAGAGACTGTCGCTAGAGCAACTTGTACCTGCTCATCTCGGAGAAGGATATCGCCATCGATCTCCAGCAATAGCCAGTCCGGAAAAGTCATGGGGCTCCAATTCCCATGTCCCTTGTTCGCCCATTCATCTCGCTCTTGCTGCTTCTTCCACCTCTTCTGAGCATCTTGGATGCGAAGTAACCGCTGAAGCTTGCCTACAGCCGCCCCAAAAGCCACAACTGCTTCTTTCATGTCTGCGCCAAAAGCAGTCCCTGCAGTAGTTCGAAGCTCCGTCAGAAGCTCAATCGTTGTCAACTTATGGTACGCATCCGCCATCTGCAGCCACTTCGCTTGCGGATCTTGGAGTGAACAACGGATGCGGTCGGCAGCTGCTGCCATGACATCTTTGGCAGGCAAGATATCCGCTGTGGTGACCCGAGGAAATGTGATATGAGCCGTATCTCGCGCATGTAAAACATGTTGTTGGAGAGCATCAATACTTGCGTCCATCTCTTTCGCATATCTACACTGCACGAAAGAAGACGGATCTTTGAAGTTGGCAACGATATCCCTAAGCATTTCAATCTCTTGTGACGGAGGATGAGCCACTCGAGGATACAAAGGTGCCTTTCTCGTTTGAGCAACACCCACGAAGTTGTGCATCTTGGTAGAATGATGCGTAGTGTTGCCTGACCTGACAGTCAAGGCTCCAGCATACGACCAGGAAGTGTGAGGAGGCGCCGTCGTTCTGGGTTCTTCGATTGTGACTACTCGTGCCTTCATCAAGTCTGAGAGTGACTGGTCATCATACTCCCTCGATCGTACGGGATACAGCGACGATGGCGTTAACTTTGTATTAGAACTTGCTCTCAAGACGAAGCTGGCCTCCGTTTGATGAGTAGTCATACGGGAGAGAACCTCCTGCACCTGCTTTAGATACAGCGACAGTTCGTGATTGCGTGTAAGGCGGGTCCATTCTGAAGCCACATCGGCTAGAGCCTGGTCAACGTTCAGATATGTAGGATCAATTGCAACCAACCTTCGCGAGTCGATATCCGAAGCTGGCCATTGTTGTATGATTGAGTCAGCCAGCAATTCGCAGGCTTGATCAACACCCGGACCATGTAAGCTCTCAGCTTTGACTAGCTGCGAACGCTTCCTGAAGCCGGTCTCGGAAAACGGCATTCGTGCTCTCTCCATCAGCGAGATGAGGTAAGATGCAGGAGGAGCTCCATCCGCTCGGAAATGGAAGTACGCTGCGTGGCTAGGGGCTTTTATGGCGCGTATCTCCGGTATCATTGCGAAAGAGATGAGGACACGCAAGAGATTGAGGTCCGCATCCGAAGAGAACGCGATGTTTCCGAGGAGGAACATTAGGCTGAACCTGTCCTCAACACTACACTGGAGTGATTTCTGAGCGAGCGCACCCCACTCGGCTTTGATGTCGACAGCGAGGTGATCAGTAAGCAGGCATTTCCGGTAGTACTTGTCGTAACCGCCCAGAACTGGAGCATCGTGGAGAAGTGCAGTCAGTGTAGTGTCCAAAGAGCAAGTTGATTCCCAGTTGAGGAGCAACTTTGATACCTCGAGCACGTTCAAGCGATCCGGCGAAGCTCTACGAGAATCACGTGCGCTATAGGGAACGTCCTGGCTGCCATTTTTCTTCCCCATTTGAAAGTTGGACCTCCCAACCGCCCTGGCAGCTAGGTGCGTGATGTCCGGTTTCAATTTGATGATCTCTTGAACCTCGCGGTCGAGGAAAAACCGAAACAAGTTGGCAGATCCTCGCAGTATTGTAGCGACAACAGTAGCATACCGATCATCTTGCATATAGATGGTGCATTTGGGCTCCCACAGCACCGTCTCCATGTACCTAGCGTCCGGCGGATAGTAACCCCGCTTTGGCGACAGCTCTGCGATGCGATGCAATGTGGCTATCTCGTCGGGCAGTAATGGGTTCCAAGGCTGGTAAGTTCCTGTCTGGAGAAGGTAGAGGGCTTCCTCAGTTCCGGTCCGTCGCGTCAGTGGGTCGGCAATAGCGTGGGACGTGTAAGCGTGCAGTAGAGCTTTCATGTAGAGTAGACGTGGTTCGGGCGCACAATCAATACGTCCCAGAACATCATTGATGGCGTATTTGAGGTAAACACCTTGCCCCATCTCAATGTCAACAGACACATGAGGCCCGTCTTTGGAGACTCGGATACCTCCCCAAGGTACCAATATGCTCTTTTGTCGACGATTGGCAATGGAGTGAACAACAATCTTATTCATCAGCCCATACCAGGTGCCCGCATCTTGGTTCTGCAGAATGATCGCACCAAGTCTTGGCGACTGTAACAAGCCTTCCTGGTTGATGTGAAAGCTCAACTCCATCCGCTTCAGATCCACAAAGATTTTACCATCGACTGATGCGAATACTAGGATCTGAGATGGAAACTCAAAGTGAGAGAAGATCCGAGTGACGCTCTTGACTAGATCACTTCCCGTATCCAACAATGTTGTCTGCGCTGGCTCTTGGAATCGCCGGACAGCGTGGTAGAAGCCTGAAGGGTGCCAGCGTATCCACCAATTCATCAGCTTCGATGCCCATTGACTGCTTTGGCGAATCTCGATGTGCCCGCTGTAGACGTGAAGCCAGTGGTAACAATCTTCCACTAATGGTCTAGGAAGATCGGGCGTAGGACCTTCCAACCCAAAGGCATGCTTAGGAATGAATTCAAGTAGTTGGCCGCCCTGGTCTGCTCGGATGATCAAGCGATTGTCGCGGTAGCCGAGATGGATTCGATGGCCACGCACGGTCTCCGATAACGCGAAATCCATGCCTCGTAGAGGAGAGGGGTAAACGATCGGATTCTTCGTACCGAGAATGTGTTGGTAGGTTCTGTCCATACGGTACGACTGCGGAAGTGTTCCCATCTCTTGTCCATCGATGAGTAAGGTACCATAGACATAATTGTAATGTACGAAATAGGAATGCTGCTCAGCAGGTGAGTGCAGTGTGTATGAAAGGTACCAAGTGCCAGGAACGCCTTGGAAACCGGCCTCGTTGAGTTTGTAGTCGTCAGGTATGTACCATACCGCTTCTAGAGCTGCTCTAAATGTCTCTTGGGTTGCCAATATAGCGCTGCTCACAACCTCGCGGTAATCATAAGCGAACAATATGTCCTGTACGATGGCGTTGCGCATGTTATATGGCATCGCGTCGAAGCTGCCAGCAAGGTTGTACTGCAGTGAGATAGAAGCATCAAGATACATGCGAAGGCTTTCGGGGTCTAACCATGGCGGTTCATCAACGTGCATTGTCCGCTTGCACAAGAGGGAAGCCCATATAGCTGATTGCAATACGTTTGGATCCTCTGTCACCATGGGTTGCAGTTCTTTACGCCAGCCATCGGTAATCTTACGGGCTTCTTGGAGAAGGCTAATGCCTTCGTTGCGGACTGTCGTGCTTAGAGTCAGGGAGGTAACTTTGAGCAGAACCGTGATCAATAGTTCCATCTGCACAGGCTCGCGCCAATTTCGCTGGATCGCTTCTAGTCGGTATTGGACCTGCTGCAGGAGCTTGCTGCAAAGGCCATCGTCGGACAACGCACGATGAACGTCTGTGCAAAGAGAGTCTGCTACAGTGTTTGGTCCTAGCTGTAACACCAAACGCAAAACGAGAACCCAGGTGGACTCTGACGAGAAATTAAGATTAGTCGATCCCATCTCTCTGAGAAGGTCGAGCCATCTCGAATGGGTGCCGGTCAGAAGACCTTGAAGCGCCGTGAACTCATGAATACCGACACCTTGGGGACACCTGGCTTGACTTGCCTGGACTTCATTTGATGTTGGCCACATGGCATAGTCAAGCTCAAGAGACACCAGCGGCGAGTTGAGAGGACATTTCACAGGGAAATGATGCCAGAAGGAAGCTTTCTTGGACTTGTGAGTCCAAACCTCACCGAGCCTGTCATAGTACTTGGGCTTGAGACCGCAGGTTCGAATGACCTCTTCCAACCCGATTGGAAAGCCCCAGCTCGCGTAATGACACTCTAGATGGGCCTTTTTGTATGAGCCTAGAGTCACTTGACAGTTGGTGTTGTTGACGTATTGACGGAGCTGCGAGTACTCTCGGATGAGCGAGATTCTATCGAGCTTCTCGATCGTTTGGTTACACAGTTTAGACAGTAGAAGCCAAGTTGCATCGCGATACGCAGCGAACACCTCGGGACATTGTAGTTCAAACAGTGCTGCTTTGACTGCCGGCTCGTAGCTTGGTAGCGGATGCTCATGAATCTGAATCCGAAATGCCTTGGCCTCGTTGTGGAGATCATGCCAGTCGCAGGGCCGCCGATGTCGTGATTGTGTCGTGCCGTCCCAGCCGACAGAAGTGTCATAGATGCACTCCTTTTCGTTTCACTTGTTGATGGTTTGCGCATGATGTTTGCTCTTCTCCTCCCATTCGACGCTCTTAGCATCACACGCAACATCGGCTGCCTGTTCGATCTCTTCCCGGATTACTGGAAGCTCACCCTGAGGGTCTTCGCGGTCGTAGTACTGTGCAGCGAAGCAGTCATCGGCGGGATCATCGAAAATGGTTTTGGACTCGGCATTCGACCGTGCGCGATAACGAGAGTGTAGGTACTTGCGCACCTCTTGACTGCGTATCATTTCCTCCCGTGTAAGCAGTTGAATGGGATCCAAGATATCAGCGTCGAACCCAGGATGGTATTCTTTCAGCAAGGGATAACAAGCTACCGCGTCTTGATCCATAAGAACCCAAAGTTCCATTACATGAAGGAGATGCTGGCTCTTCTGGTTGGGATACGCTAGGTCCATAGTGCTAATTCTGGCGACATAGTCCCGGATTACCCTACTCATCTGTATGGCAAGAAGACCTTCAGGTTGCGTTGATTGTTTGGCGGGAAAGATCACATCCTCGACAAGCTTTGAAGAAGCGATGTGGCTGGAAACAGCTTTCATGTAAGGCTTGACAGAAGCCTTCGACTGGAGGTATGATTGTAAACGTTCGTCAGATGTTTGCTCTTCAGACCTTGAATAGGATGGACGTGCAGATAAAACACCCCTCAAGAATCTGCCGCTGTTCTTCATGCGAAGGTGGAACTCATGTGGAAGGGCGTACTGGCGTAACAATGGAATGGATCGTTCCCGCGACTCCCTGTGAGTGCGCCAGACTCGCTTTAGGTATCCTCCAGTCGTGGCTAGAGTAGTCTCGAAGCTGCTTTTAAAAGAGAGCAGAAGATTAGCGTACCTGCCTGTGGACGACCTGTTGGCTCCATGGACATCAGAGGCAAGCTTAGCAAGGCGACGACCTAGCTTCTGTCGAAACGAGAAGACCGCGTCGAGAGGTATCCTCTTGAGGATGTTCTCCAGCAGCTGTGCATGCAGAAGACACATCAGTGTCTTGTAGTAGAGTCTGCCGACCTCTGCACCTAGGTGATAGTACAAGTAGCGCTGAACTGCTACTCGTAAGACCAGGTAAAAAGCGGATCTCCTCCACGGCGTACGAGCATTATCAAAGACGACGGTGTCGCGCACACGCTTTCGTAAACATGGTACTGAGACCGCAGTGCCATTGGCCTCTAGTATGGTCATCAAAAGGCCTGATATGAGAGCCGGATCACTGGTATCTCGGATCTCTGGTATAGTTGCGGCTGCCTTCCAGGTGATAGCAGCGAATTTCGTAACTGGCTCGCTGCTGGCTTGCTCGATGAAGGTGGCAAGAGCTTCCTGGAAAGCCTCTTCGTAAAATTTCGAAGCCGGTACGGATACCGCGCAACCAGGGACTATGATTGAGATTAGTAAATAGCATATGTGTAGCATCGAGCCTGAGGTTTGGTCACTTACAGTCCCATTGTAGCGCGCCTTTGGCAGCAAGCACCTTGTCAGCTGTCGCGGATGTCTCGAAAGCTTCAAACACGATTGTGTGCTCCCCAGGATTTCTGTAAAAGTTAGTGGAGTAGATGCTAGCATGTGAAGATTACATACAGTTCTTGAGGGTATACTAGCAAAGCGCAATTCTGAGGTGCAATATGCAGCACAAGCATCTTGCGATGGCTCAAGTCGCGAAGCTCCTTGATCAGCGCGGCCTTGCCGATAGTCCCGTCCACGTTGAGCACTTGACATGCGAGTAATGTCGCCCGGAGTCCTTGGATATGGGAAGCGAGATCTGTAGCGACATGAGGTGTGAGTCTTGCGACAGCATCCAGCATGCACTCCAGTAAGGCTTCTTCGATACGACGGAGGTTTCCGTCCTCTTTGCCAGGCACGTTGCGGGGTAGCGCGACATGGTTGTACTGCTGTTCGAGAAATGGTACACGCGCGGCGGCTGCCATAACGGTTCAGAGTGCCTGCTGCAACGAGGCAGCGGGCAAGGTAATTCTGTGTCAAAGCTTACAAGACAGCGAAGGTGCGGTGTCGCGATGTAACAAAAGCGGCAGGTTGTCGGGTTGTCGGGTTGTTGCTGAAAACGCGACTACTCAGCGAGGGTAGGTACCAAGGTTGAATCAGACGCCAAGCATCTCCGTATTAGGCGACAGCACTGCACAACCGGCCTCTCCCAGCGATGAACGATGACCAGTGAGCTTTATGAGGAATGTGGGAGCGATTGTCTCATGTCGCTGGTGAACAGACCGCGTGAGGATGGAGTGCTGGCTAATAGATTGTCGATCGAAGCGCTGTACGGCGCAACGAGGAGGCCTCAGCCTCGCCAGCTCCAAGAGAACAGAGAAGGCTGAGTCTCGCGATTGGGCGTGGCACACAAATCACAGACGCTTGTCTTTGGCCATCTTCAACGCCTGCATAAGGATGGTTTTCACTATCCAATCATGAAGAGACTGAGACGCGGAAACGACTAAGGATCAGCAGAGCTCCATTACGCTGTGTAACGCAGGATGTGAAAAGGACAGGAAAGAAACGAGCGCAACAAGACTGGATGAGGAGAACAGAACGGAAATGACTTGAAGAACCCTGGACGCAGTGGTGTGCAAGCTGTAAGAGAGTATATGCGTGTCAGTATAGGTGCGTCAATCTTCATCGTGAGCCACAGTGCGAAGGCTCGTTTCGGTGGCCTTCCAGCGTGTGGGAATGATTACACTGTCGGCAGGATACTCATCAAGGGCATTCAGGCAGGCGCGTCGTCGGAGCGCGTCGTGGCGCGGCATGAGTGGGTAGCGGCAAAATTAGAGGCATGATCCACACCACATCCCCTCGATGATTTCTTTGACGAACCTCTGCGAGCTTTGCCACGATGTGTGATGGAATTGACGACTCCATAGCTGAGAGAGGCGTGGTGGTGAGAGGTTTGACGACGCGTGAGGCATCTCATGTTTACCCAGCCCCTTGCTTAGCTCCAAGACTAGCACCATAGCGCTTTCCCCTCACTTCTCCAGAGCCCGCATTCTCATTGTATTTACCTCTCTGCTCCAATGGCAATCGTTGTCTTTTCTCGAACTCACCCAATGAGGCCCTCAGAGGACAACGAGCTTTCGATATAGTTGGCGCCGATCTCGCTCTCCAATCGAGGCAAACATCACCCGCAAACGGCATATCGGCTGCAGCACCTGCCTTCCTCGGTTAAACTGCTACACCCTCAGGCAAGCAGCTATCACCGCTATTCTATGTGGGTTTATTCCCGCTAGATTACTTGTCGCCACAATGAAGATGGGAAAGTGCGAAAGGGCGTTTGCGACTAGCCCGTCTCGAGCTCCATGGCGCGACACAGCAGTTTGTGGTTGAGTCACTTCTTCATGTCCCACGATCAGCTGACTTGATACGCCCTGCCCTCGTTTCAATTATCATTACACTGTTTTTGCTGTACAAAAGTAGCAGTGAGAGCTTCTCGTTTGCGGTGCGGTTTCGCTATCAGTATCGTGTCGGGTCTTTATCGGCGTCGTCATCAGCGCCATGTCTCATAGCGATTTCGCCAAAGACACGGCCGTCGCAAGAACACCAGGAAGAGACGAACACGCCACATCACCGTCCACTAAGTCGCATACTTCAAACAAATCCCGCGTCATCGAAGACATCGAAACTGAAGATGATCGCGCCTCCATATCGTCAGCGTCGACGCATTCCGACTCAATCAATTCGGTAGCAGATCAACGTCCGTCTATACATCATACCTGGAGCAGGAACACCGGGCACTCGTGGCCTGGCGACAAAGAGGATGCGATTACAACGGTCACTACGAACGCAACGCAAGACCCGCGCTTCGAAGTCGATTATGAGGAGGGAGAGGACCCAGAGGAATGGCCCATGTTGAGGAAGGCCCTCGTCGTCTTCTTTATGAGCTTTTCGACACTAGTCGTAGTCATGTACTCGACGAGTTATACAAGCGGCATACCGGGTATGATGGAGACGTTTGGTATACGGTCGAAGACGCTGGTAATATTGGGGATAACAACCTACCTTTGTGGTCTTGCAATTGGATCGCTGCTCCTAGCACCACTTAGTGAGATGTACGGCAGGAGACCGGTCTACCTGATCGCAGTCGCTTTGTTCACGGTCCTTATCATACCGTGCGCTCTGTCGAACAATCTAGCCCAGATTCTCGTTATGCGCTTCTTCGGCGCAATTGCAGGCGCAGCCATGATTTCCAACGCCCCAGGCACGGTTTCCGACATATCCAAGGAAGACTATCGCGCCCTTGCATTCTCCATTTGGTCTCTAGTGAGTACTGTGTTAACCGTTGCTGCTGAGTAAACCTAATCGCGATGCACTAGGGGCCAATGAATGGTCCCGTTATTGGACCTCTCATTGGCGGATTCGTCTTCCAAGCCCTGGGTTGGCGATGGACAAACTGGGTTGTTATGATCGGCTCTGGTACATCCTGGTTCATGGTCTTCATGATCCCGGAAACATACAAACCAGCAATCCTTCGCGCCAAGTCAGCAAACAAGCGCAAGGAAACCTCTGATTCACGATACCACTCGCGCTACGATGAGAAGAAAGCCTTCTGGCCTCTGCTTCGGGAGAATCTTTACCGACCCCTTAGCATGGCGGTCAACGAACCGATTTGCATCTTCTGGGACGTATATATAGCATTGGTCTATGGAGTCTTGTACTTGTGTTTCGTCTCATACCCTATCGTTTTCGGCGAGCTCCGAGGTTGGTCGCCTGGACTTGTTGGACTGGGTTACATGGGTATCGGTATTGGGGGTGTCATCACGATAGCTTCAGAGCCTCTCCTTCGCCGTATGATCAACAGTCATAAGAAGGATCCAGAGACTGGCAAGCCCTACCCAGAGGCCATGGTCAGCGTGGTCGTTATCGCTGCAGTTTGCGTCCCGGTTGGCGAGATGATCTTTGCCTGGTATGTACAGCTCCACGATTAGTTATCGTCCTCAGAAGCTACATTACTAACACATATGGTGTAGGACATGCACTCCTAACGTCCACTGGATCTTTCCCCTCATCGCCGGAATTCCCTTCGGTGCTGGCAACTGCGGTGTCTTTATTTACGCATCTAACTACCTCGTGCATTCATACGGCATCTACGCCGCTTCTGCTCTCGCTGGAAATGCCGTGTTGCGTTCTGCTATGGGTGGAGCCCTTCCCCTTGCAGGCCCAAAAATGTACCAGAGCCTTGGTCCGCATTGGAGTGCGACAATGCTCTCGCTCATCGAGTTCGCACTGATACCTATTCCGGTAGTCTTTTACCTCTACGGACATAAGATCAGAGAAAAGAGTGCTTTGATCAGGCAGATGAGGGAGGACAGGGAGAGAGTGGATGCGAAGAAGAGGAAGGCTGCCGAGAGAGCGGAGAGGGCAAAGGGCGGTTTTGTTGATGAGAAGAAGCTAGAAGTCTGATCGACTTGCATAGGTAATGCTCGTTGAAGTCTTCAATCATATCATTGTTTATGAACAAGACCTTTCGTCAACACTGCTGATGAGACTCCATGCATCACTATCCTCGTCTCTCTTTCCTAGGATGACATATTCATCTTCGAAGTAGTTCCCATACTCCCGCTCTTGACCAAGATCAGCTTCTGGACCCTGTTCGTCCTCTTTCACTGTTCCTTGTAGCCTCCCCCAGACAACCTCGTCGTGATCGTTCTCCATATCCTCCCTCAATTTTCCACTAACCCACTCCACGATACTACACCTCTGCACATCCTCCGGCGCTGGCACCTCCCAATCCATTCCCACACCAAATTCCTCACAACAGCATTCGTACAGCATATGGCCCCAACACGGCCGTGTGCATGGCTCCTCGCAGTTCTCCTGACACGCGTGCCCGTAGCCGAGGTACCAACACCCAGACATGTTCCTATGCCATTGCCAAGTATATTCGCCCCACCAGTCGAAACCATAGATGATAGGCAAGGCTGGCAGGTTGCGGCTACGGCAGCGCTGTCTGAGATTCTCGGACGGTGTGAGGGCGCAGGCTAGTGTGAGGTGCGCACGAATATCCGAGAGACTCGTGGGTAGGGTTGTTTCGTGGGAGCTTGCGTAGGGCGCTGTGAGGATGGTGGCGCTGGTACGACCGGGACGCGAATCGTTGCGCATCGTATGCGATAAGACTGATAGTGGTGAAGGGCTTGTAGGTTCACCGTATCTGTGTATACGATGTTCCTTGACTTGTCGCATTTCTGCGATACGCCGTCGTGCCCAGGACCCGAAATCTTCGCCAGCCATTATGTCTCCCTCATTGTAGTATTCGAAGATGTCAGCGTTCTTGCCGAAGAGGTAGTACGCAGCTATGTCGTCTATGCGCTCCATGTCTATTTCAGGTGCCCAGTCGGCGTCCCAGTCGCCCTCCCATTCTCGGCTTTCTATCTGCTTGTACGGATCCTTGGATGCTGCTACTCGAGCGAGTGGAGCTTTATCGGAGCGACGACGCTTGTTGCCGCTATAGATGCGCTCAGGGTATCTCTTGGAACGTTGGTAGGTGCGGCGGGCGGAACGAAGGTCCTTGAAAGGGTGGTCTGAAGTCCGGCCAGCGGCATTCATCGCAGGTTCTGAAGGGAGAGTAACGAGACCAAAAGGGAGGTTCGTGTGCGTCTCTTCGGTCTCTGGGGAACAGACTGAACACCAGGCACCATAGGGACCTGCCCATTCGAGTGTCTTCTGCTTCATTCTGGGGAGGTCGAAGGGTAGTCCTGAAGCGACTTGCAGACCAAAGGCCTAGCTGTGTAAGTTGGATGAGGATTAGCCGTCATTATAGCGATCCTTGGTGGCTATGCACGATGCTGGGCATAACAGCACAAGGCATCCTACTATCCTTGGAGCTTCGCCCTTATGCGATAGATGAGGGCGCATGGCTGTGCAAAAGGGCGGAAGCGGACGAGGTGCTGCTAAAGGATTCAGCGATGACATTAGTCTGTAATCAATACGCATATGCGATTTTTGCCACTTGGTGCACCCCCGAGGCTCCGACAGTTGTTGTGCCCACGCTGGTGGTGAGGATTGCTGTCGAGGGACGGTTGGGACAAAGCTGTTGCTGAGCCGGAGTTGTACGGGAGCTTATCTCCGAGGCTATGTACAACCACGCGTCCTTCTCAATAGCTTATATACTGCGTACATGCATTATTACGTCTCGATAGATTTGTCAAGGAGCATGAATCGCATCCTTCCAAATTCTACATGCCACTAGCGATTTATATGATACCCGTCACGATGCCATTTCCCTTACTGGCGGAATTGCTTCATCTACCGTAAAGATCGGCATCAACGTTCGCGCCGGCTAGCCTTGCAATGACGCAATGTTCGCCATGCGGCTATACTCCAGACCGTTGAAATACAGACACATCCCAGAAGGTATCGGGTTTCTGATAATCGGATCCAGCCTGGTCTAGCGATTGTATACTTTTCGTCGGTTCAGACGAAGCTAGGAGAAAGGTTTGCCTACCATGTCCTCCACTACGGACTCCACGATTCCCCTCTGGATCGACAACCAGCCCATCCACACCAAGACCACCATCCCGGTAACCCAAGCTACATCCAAGGAAATCGCTCACTACGCCTCCTCTGCATCCTCCACCGAAGCGACTCAAGCCGCCATCTCCTCGCTCTCCGCCTTCAAATCATGGCGTTCAACCTCGCACACCACTAGACGCGCCCTTCTCCAACGTGTCGCAACGCACTATAGCACCCACGCCGACGCTCTCGTCGCCACGCAAATCGCAGAAACATCCTGCACAGAAGCCTGGGCGCGTCAAAATGTCAACCTATCAATCTCATACCTTAACGAAATCGCTGCGCAAATAAGTTCTGTGAATGGCGTTATTCCTCCAACCGAGAAGCCCAACACCCAGGGTTTTGTGTTCAAAGAACCAGTTGGACCGGTTTTGTGTATCGCGCCCTGGAATGCAGCGCTCGTTCTTGCAACGCGGGGAATAGCAAGTGCGATCGCAGTAGGTTGTACTGTGGTCTTCAAAGCAAGTGAACTATGTCCAAAAACCCACGGACTCATTACAAAAGCCTTCTCAGAAGCGGATTGTCCCGCTGGTGTGTTGAATCAGATTCAATGCGGACGGGAAAGCGCAGCAGAAGTCACCGAGACGTTGATAGCGCATGAAGCCATTCGCAAAATTGAATTCATCGGTAGTGCGGAGGTGGGCAAGAGGATCATGGGGATTGCAGCGAAGTACCTCAAACCCGTATTAATGGAACTAGGCGGGAAGTGTCCGGCGATTGTACTCGAGGATGCAGAGTTGGAAGAAGCGGCGAAGCAATGTGCTATGGGTGCGGTATTGCATCATGGACAAATTTGTTTCAGTACCGAGAGGATCATCGTAATGGAGGGTGTGGCGGAGAAGTTTAAGGGACTACTCGCTGAAGCTATGAAGGGAGCCGAGGGTCCAGCTGGATCGGCGGTATCGGAGAGTATCGCAAAGCATGCTGAGGATGTTATTCGGGATGCGCAGGAGAAGGGTGACGAGGTTCTCGTTGGAGGCGTTGACGCTACTTCTTCGAGCAACGGGGTTGTGCTCAAGCCTACGGTCATCGTCAACCCCTCGTCGTCATCCCGTATACTGGACGAAGAGACCTTTGGTCCTTCCGCATCATTATACGTCGTTTCCTCAGACGAAGAAGCTATCGCGCTGGCGAATCGCTCTGCGTATGGTCTCAATGCTACTGTTTGGACACGCGACATGGGACGCTTCATGAAGATGTCGCGAGAACTAGAGTACGGCCAAGTCCATGCCAACAGCATCTCGGTCTACACTTCGCCGACTGGGAGCCAAGGTGGTGTCAAAGGAAGTGGTTTTGGTCGGCAGAACGGACAATGGGGACTAGACGAGTTCGTTGTCGAAAAGTTTGTCACTTGGTGTGGGTGAATAGAAAGCCTTGATGTGTCAAGAAGAAGAACACTTTGAAGGGGTGAAACATGCAAATAGGGCACAAAAGCTGGGTTTTGACGTTTTATTGCTTGTAGTGATGGCTACGTCGTACCTATACGTACAGAAGAGCCAAACACAGTTCAAACATTAGCACGTGGGTGAATTACTATTTCCTCCGCAATTTTCTTCGTCCTCCCAGCGATACATTCTTCGAACAAAGCTTACCAGGTAAATGTCATCAACTGCGGGTTAAGCACAATAGGCAGTAAAAAGTGGAAAACAACCACAGTACCCATAGGCCAAACAGCGATAAGTTCTTTGATCCTCCAGTCCTCTTGCAGCGCGAACGCCATAGTGATCATAGTAGCGGTCATTCCAAGACAGAACATGAAGCTCCACTTGAACTTCCTCAGTACTCTGCTGATGGCAACAAAGAAACTAACGCGTTCACTCTCCTTGGACGTGGAACCCCATTCGAGCGGCCAGCTGAAGAAGTGAGCGAGGAGAGCCTGTGAAACATGCAGGGAGATGCCGCCGAGAAAGATGGTGAGGAGAGGGATCCACTTCATGTTTGTCCAGAGGCCACGGAAAATGTTTTCTTCTTCGATGCGATGACGAAGGACGGCGAGGGCGATGTTGCCGAGGACACTGAAGACGATCACAATGGCGAAGTATACTGAGAGGTGTTAGAGAAGTGCACAGTGAAGGATTGTAGAGAACTTGCCGCGGAAGGAGTTGATGTAGTAATGATCAAGCCATCCGTTGAAGAAACCGATCAAAAAGTAGTTGAGCATAGTAAGTGCCCATGAGCAGCCGAGAGCATAGTAAGTACCGATATAAGCCATGATGGTAATCTTGGATGCAAGAGGCATGTTGGAGCTAGTATTGAAAGGTTAGCTAGGAACGTATACGAAGACAGGCTCGTCGTAGCCCGGAAAGGTGTACTTACAAGATAAAAGTGCGGAAGAGCTTCGTAAAAGGACCTTTGGTGAGCCAGTAGACCAAAGGGTTGAAAATGAGTTCGTTGCAGCCGTACGCGTATCTGGAAGATCTGTGTTAGTATTTGCTTGAGAAGATAGAAACGGGTAAATCATACTTCTCCCATCGAGCAAGCTCATCATACACAGTGAGGGAAACACCCTCCTTAAAGCCATCGCCTTTGTATGAGGCTAGACGAATGATATAACCCACACTCTGAAGTCGCAGACTCATGTCAAAATCTTCAGACACCGTCTCCTCGGACCAGAACTTGTCGTACTTGTTACCGTTGGCTTCCGTGACTTCGTAGGCGATCTTCTGCACCGCTTCCCATCTCAGAACAGCGTTGTGTCCAACAAATGGCGCAACATCTCCGCCAGCGACGGCAAATTTGATCATAGTGTAGATCATGTTAGTGAAGAAGGTGATGCCGTTCTCGAAAAAGTTGTTGGTGACGTTCATGACTCCGGAGGAGTATTGCAGGATGGCAACTTCCTGGCCCTGCTCCATCTCGCTGACGGCTTCGAGCAGGCAGTCACTGGGTACACGGGTGTCGGAGTCTACCAAAAGGATGTAGTCACCAATACGAATGTTGCCATCGGCCCAGGCCTCGCCTTCATGTTCAGTCATAACTGCTTCCATGACCTCCTTGTAAAGAGCATTTTCTTCAAGCTGACTCCAGCCTTCTCCACGTGGCTGTTGTGCCATAAGGTCTTCGACTCTGCAGCTGATTCGGAGGGCATAGTTCATGTTGGATGCCTTCTTGAACTTTCCAGGTCGGACGAAGGGTTTCGCTCCGTGCTCACCTTTAGGATCGTGCCTTGGGCGGGCGACCCAGCCAATACCGTGCTCGTCGTAGAATTCCTGTCGTTCTTGCGCCTCTTCGGCTCCGAGAAGTTGCACTACAACAGATTAGTGTAGCTAGATATGTACTGGTGCATGAACTCACTTCCGTCATCATTCACGAAGATGTTAGCACTTCCTCCCTGCAACTCATACGTGGAAATTGCTTGCTTCAGCGATCTCACTGTGGGCTCGATGACAGTGTGTAGACCCTCCTTGTATACAGGCATTTGCACTGTAACGTGTGGGAGCGGCTTGCCAAATGTATCACGGTTGATTTTCCTGGGCGCTTTGCCTGAATAATATCGGCTGTTCGATTTCATCTGGTGAGTGGGCCCACAAATCTGGGCAAGATTGCCGACGAGAGCTTGGAAAAAGAACTGGCAAAGTCAGAAGCGTAAACACAGATTGTACGGATATATCTTACTAGTGAGAGCCAAACCTGGGCAGGTATACAGATCAGGAAGAGTAGTCGAAGCCAGTGTTTGGGAGCTTGGAACTCTTCAATAGCAATCTGCCTGCATCCAGAGCCGATAGCAGCCGTCAGTAGAAGGATTGACAGTCCGCAATAGGCTGCTTGCCACATTTTCATGTCTCTTGGTTCATCTTCTTGACCGTCACCCGAATAGAATCCGTCGTCGTATTCCTCGATTATAACCATGGGGTTCTTGCCTAGTGCCTTTTCCAGCTCCAAGTCCTGCGCATCATAGCCATACTCAGCGCCGCACATCATCCTCATCAAGCAGTTGATGATGAATTCTGCACGTTCGAGCGTCAACTTGGGGTCGTCTTGCCACACTATCAATATGCCTCGTGAAGCAACAAATGCAGCCGACTGACCCCTTTGACAGTACGGCAAAGCTTCAAAGTCTGGCACGACCTGCAACCGGAGACCGGTCTGGATTTGAACATATTGGGCCTGGGTCCGCTCAAGGATGTATTTGATCACCCTGGTGTTGACAGTCATGGCACACTAGACACGTTAGTGATAATGATCTGGATATGGTGTGCATATGCTCAGCTTACCCTGACATTCAATTCTGTGACTGCCTCATAAAGACCTGTGCCATCGCTTTGCAGCGCAAAAGGCGCACAGGAGTAGCTGCCTTTCGATTTTTTCATAAACACGCCTTCGCCAGCGTCGCCAAACGTCCATACTCGCTCTTCCTGTTTGGTATGGAGCCAGTTCGCCAGTATCTCGGCCTTGACATCTCGAACGGCATCTGAGCTTACGGTGCTATTGCTACAATTGATGCTACCAGATGAGTGAGATGAATGAGCGCTGGATGGGCCAAGTTGCATAGGTGTGAAGCTTGCCGGCTTGGATCCAGATTCCGTGGATTCGTTGCTAGTCCTGGTTTTTGGTGCAAGAGGATTCTCCGGCGGCGGCCTTGCGTTTTTTCGCGCATCGTCGCGCGATCGAGAGCTTTCACCCTCATTGCGAGAAATTAAATCTTTCAAGGCCATTGCTAATTCTAGAATGATAATAGGTAGCGACGGAAGAGAAGGTGAGATTTTGGAGGTCAGGAGGTAAAACGAGGCACATATCGAAATCGAAAAACGGAATGGTTCTGAAGCCAGTGCACATCCAGTCAGAAAATTAAACACAGTACCATAAGCGACTCACGATTCTGTGGACAATTCTGCAAGAATGGCGTAATGTATTGCGGGTCAATCGGTCTTCTGGCAGTTGCTTGGATTCAGGTTGTTTTGGAGGGGCCATGCGAAATTGGGTGGACTTGAAACTTGAAGGTGCCACAGTACCCAAGATAACAGTAGTCTAGCTGCGCTATAACAGGCAATCGTGTCTGTATTCTGTTACATATGCGCTACCATATGGTTTCCTCATTGTACAGAGCCAGTGGCGACAGCAACTGAATGTCCATCCAACGGATTTGCTTGTGGAGACACGGCGCACCACCATCACCAGCGTTGAGGCTTCATCGGATTGGGAGAGCCAGTAGCCTTGAGAGGTTATCCAAAAAAAGACTCAACTTTGGGTATAAGTGCCAAATGCAGCCGAGGCGTGCAAAGACGTTGAGTTGGTCTGGCAAATGAGAGTACGAAGACATAGCATACGGCCGTGCGTAGAGTGGGACGATACCGACCATGACAACGTGGGTAACGAGGCGATAAGGAAATATCGCACATCCGAGAAAGCCCTATGCCCACTTTCCATACGTACATGAGAAGACATTCGTCATGCCTAATCACACAAAGATCGATTACGTACGATGTGCTATGGGCATGCGGATCCTTACAACATCGGACCAGGCGCATACGAAGAGTTTTGAAATTCCGTCATAGTTGCAGAGCCGACCGCGTAACCATTTGGATATCCAATTTGAAGTTGACAAGAACTAGTGACTTTGTTAGCGAGACCCTGCGCCTGACGAGTGCGCATCGCTGATTCGCAAGGAAAGAGTGGTAACACCACCAACACATCTATGAACCAAAAGAGAGCGAAAGGAAATTATGTACGAGCAAACAAAGCCACCGCAACCACGAATCACTGCCCAACTACCAGGATGGGTGCCGTTGCAGCAAGGAACTCATGAAGACCTTTGAGGCCTAGGCGCACGACCAAGTTTGGACATGCTGGCGTCTGGAGGAACGCGAGGACAGCTGTGTAATTGACATTGGTGTATGAGTGTTATCGTTCGGGACATGTTGGGAAATGCTGCAATCTTGTTCTTGGATGCCTGAAATACATGCCGCAACCCGTGTACACCGTGCGCCTGGGTGAAGAAATCGGGAACCGAGATATTGGAAACAATGAAGAAAGTCCGGAAGCTCAAAGACAATTAGGTTTAGTCGGCAAGCCTGAAAAATTAGCATGTCGCTCCTGTAGCGGGTAAAATGGTTCCACTCACCTGTAGCTCACCAGAGTGTCTACACGATGGTTACTAGTGCTGAAGCTTCGCAGCTGCACCTTCTCCCCGTTTTTGATTTCTTTGGCGTCGCTGTCACCCCATTCGAGAGGCACCTCAGAATCAGCATCAGCATAAACTAGAACGTTGAAGGTACAGTTTCCGTCGAGCATGGGCAGGAAGGTCACTGATGCTGTGATCTGTCGAAATACAGACTGGATCTCGGCCTGGATCTCGGCTTCGGTCTTCTCTTCTGATGCTTCGCCAGCGCTAGGAGCTATTAGCATATGGTCAAGAAGGGTCAACTGGCGCACTCACTCTGGGACAGAATTCTCTTGATCCGCCGTTTGTTTGGAAGGTTTTGCCTTTGTGTTCTTCCCGTAAATTTGAACCTGGACGCTATCAGAAACTGGGATGTAGCGTACTTTGCATGACCTACGTCAAACTGCCAGCGCTCGACATGCTCGCCAGTCTCTTTGCTCGTAATGACAACGACAAGCTTGGAGATCTTGCCCCCATACATCCACTCCTTCAACTGACCCATGATCTTCTTGATGTACGCCTTGACTTGGTCATCGGCAGTCACTGTGAGGGTTAGAGAGAGGCTGACAGTCGAGCTGGCAGGTCACGTACCCATCATGGTCAAGCCATACTTCTTTACTCTGAATGTTGTTAGTGGAAGATTGGCGCTGTAGTGTGGGACAGGCTTACGCGGTGAAGTCCTCAGCAGGGTAAACACCTCTTTGAAAGCTTGGCAGGGGTCAGTCATGTAGAAGGAAGGCGCCGTAAGAGGACTCTATTCTTACAGTATGGTATTGACGGAATACTCGAACTAATTGGGGTAAGCGTAGATTGCGATGCTTGGCTCGACTGACTTACGAATTCGTTGACGACTTTGGAAGAACCCTTCAGGGCAAGCTTGTGCACCTTGGAGGAATCACTCTTTGAAGACTTGGACTTGGAAGATGTCTTGGAAGATGTCTTGGATGAGGTCTTGGACGAGGTTTTGGGTGCAGACATGGTGGCGGTGGTGGGCGGTGAAGGTTGGCTCAGGTTTGTTTCCGGGTTTGTTGATAGGGTAACTGCAAGCTGGGGAGCCTGACAGAAGAGGAAGCGACGAGATAGCGCAGTGAGGCCGACGAGTGAGGGGCGTAATTGGTGGCCGAGTAGGTGGGAAGATCAGAGTCAGGCCTAGTATGCTTGTGGGGTCGTAGTTGGGATGGAAGAGGTCTGGTCTGGCGGTGGGTCCCTGGGCGGCGCAGATGCAGGAACCGCCCGTGGCCGCCGATAAGATAAGATCAAATCAAAAAAGTCGTCGACACCATCGCCCGAGCGACGAGCAGCAGCAGCAGCAGCAGCAGCCAGGCACGGATTCGACTTCATGCCCACTCATGCGATCATGCGTTCGAACTGCGAGCAGCCTTCTGCACGGCTGGCGGACGCCTTCTGCCTCTGCCTCTGTCCGCGGCAATGGCTTCCCGCTTACCTCACGCCTGCTTGAGCGCCTGCCGCCCCTCACCAGACGGTATGCGCAAGCTTTCCGCCCCCAGGGAGAGCTCGAGAAGCGCATCGCCCAGATCCCCATCGACCGGTACCGCAATTTCTGCATCGTCGCCCACGTCGACCATGGCAAGTCGACGCTGTCGGACCGCCTGCTGGAGATTACGGGCACCATCCAGCCCGGCGGCCAGAAGCAGTTTCTCGACAAGCTCGACGTGGAGAGGGAGCGTGGCATCACCGTCAAGGCGCAGACATGCAGTATGATATACACACACGAGGGGGAAGACTACCTGCTGCATCTGGTGGACACGCCGGGCCACGTCGACTTCAGGGCCGAGGTGTCGCGGAGTTATGCCAGCTGTGGAGGAGCGCTGCTGCTGGTGGATGCCAGTCAGGGCGTGCAGGCGCAGACAGTCGCCAACTTCTACCTCGCCTTCGCTCAGGGCCTCACGCTGGTGCCGGTGCTGAACAAGGTCGACCTCCCCCACGCCGACCCGCCGCGGGTGCTCGAGCAGATGCGCGATACCTTCGAGCTTGAGCCGAAAGACGCTGTACAGGTCTCAGCCAAGACTGGCCTGAATGTGGCAGCGCTCCTGCCTACCGTCGTTGAGAAGATACCCGCTCCAGTCGGCGACCTGAAGAAGCCTCTCCGCATGCTCCTCGTCGATTCGTGGTACGATGTATACAAGGGCGTTATCTTGTTGGTGCGCATATTTGATGGCCAGGTGCGACCTGGAGATACCATACGTTCCTTCGCCACCAAGCTCAAGTACATTGTGGGCGAGGTCGGCATCATGTACCCTGACCAGACGCCCCAGACAGTACTAAAGGCCGGCCAGGTGGGCTACATCTACTTCAACCCCGGTATGAAGCGCTCGCAAGAGGCCAAGGTCGGCGATACCTACACCACTATCGGGTCCGAGAAGCTAGTAGAGCCATACCCGGGCTTTGAGGAGCCCAAAAGCATGGTCTTCGTCTCCGCCTTTCCCACCGACCAGGACAACCACGAACATCTTGAAGACAGCATCCAGCAGATCGTCCTTAACGACCGCAGTGTCACCTTGCAAAAGGAGTCATCCGATGCGTTGGGAGCAGGTTGGCGCTTGGGCTTCTTGGGCACACTGCATTGCTCCGTGTTCGAGGATCGCTTGCGTCAGGAGCATGGTGCAAACATCATCATCACACCGCCCTCCGTACCCTTCAAGGTGGTGTGGAAGGACGGCACCGAGTCCATCATCACCAATCCTAACGACTTCCCCGACCAGGACCAAGCACACTTCAGAGTGCAGGAAGTCCATGAGCCCTATGTGTCTGCCACCATCACTATGCCTGACGAATATCTTGGTGAGGTCATTAAGCTGTGCGAGGCCAATCGTGGTGAGCAAAAGGAGCTTACCTTCTTCACTGCTACCCAAGTCATCCTGAAGTACGACATCCCCCTGTCGCACCTCGTCGACGACTTCTTCGGCAAACTCAAGGGCTGCACCAAAGGCTACGCATCTCTTGACTACGAAGATGCAGGCTTTCACAAATCTTCCATCATCAAGCTCAACTTACTTGTCAACGGCTCCCCAGTCGATGCCGTGTCGCGCGTCCTGCACACATCACAGGTCGACAAGGTGGGTCGTACATGGGTTGAGAAGTTCAAAGAGCACGTCGAGCGACAAATGTTTGAGGTCATCATACAGGCTGCAGCTGGCAGGAGGATCGTGGCGCGGGCTACCATTAAGCCGTACCGCAAGGATGTCCTCGCCAAGCTGCATGCTAGTGATCTCAGCAGACGACGTAAACTGCTCGAGAAGCAGAAGGAGGGTAGGAAGAAGCTGAGGGCTGTAGGCAGCGTTGTTATTGAGCAGGAAGCGTTCCAGAAGTTCTTAGCCAAATAGTAAACCAATATCCGTCTCCGCTCGACCTTTGTCTTCTCGGTGCTGATCTCCTAATTGTGGGCTCTGGACAGAATTCGCTGTTAGCCAAGACGCCCGCTCGTTCGCCAGGACGGCTTGTCCGATAATTCCCAACCAATATGTGGGTGCCACAATAGTGCAGTACCCCCATGTGCATCGCCCCCGGAGTTTTCACATCTGCTGCAACGCATCC